TCTTAGGCTATAGTCGTATTAACGATACGCTAATAGCGAGCTTAGTACCGTTGCCCCCGGCTAATAATATAGACGGATCCGATTTCGACTTACTCGAGGTAATAGCTCGCCCGTAATCGTAGGGGACGCCGGGTAGCGAGTTTAGTACTATATAGCGTTAGACTATTGCTAGCCTATCGATAGTGCTTCCGAATCTAGACTATCCGCTCTCTAATATTAGACGATTTTCCTTTCTAAAATATTACGTACCGGCGGTTATCGCGGCAGTTAATCTAGATTACGTTTTCGATAGGAAGTCGTTTATATAGGCGGTTACGGCGCTTACTACGAAGAAGAAATAGTTAGCGGAGCTAGCGAAGGCGTTACTAGGCGAGGGCCGATAGACGGGCCGAGCGCTCTATAAGGCTATAGCCGACTACTTTATCGACAACGACGACCCTCCGCCGCACTATTTAGGTAAATAGGAGTTTGTTTAGAAGGGCAAAGCGTTATAGGTCGAGATCCTAGAGGCCGAGAAGCTATAGGACATCGTACCGGGCTTCTTTGCCCTTTACCGAGACGCCGCTATCTACGCGTCTAGTAGCCCGGCTAACGGTATAGAAAGCGGCCTAATTAATCCCGTTAGCGCGTAGCCTCTTAATGCGCCTTCGGCTTTAGAATCGGTACTACCGTTAACAATATCCGCAAATCGACCGGCTTTACTAGAATTACTATCTCCGCTAGCGTATATACTTCCTAATTTACCGCTACTATAGGTAACTGCTTCCCTAACGTAGGCGCCGAGTAACGGCTCGCTACAAGCGCCCGTACTAGCTCCTCCTAAGCTCCTAGCTACTCCGATCGAGTCGGTTTTTAAGGAACCTCCGGTCCTATCCCCTAAAGAACTTAAGTTCGAGCGGTAGCGGCTTCGAGGCTAGCGCGCGCGCTAGACTTTAATTAACAAGCGTCTCCTTCGCGCTAACGAGACGCCCGAATAAGCTACAATCCGGTAGTACGTAGAGTACGAGGACTATAATAAGAAAGTCGATACGCTAATCGCCGCTAATCCTATAGAGCGTAATAAGAATAGAGACGTACGCTTTATTTAGGCCGCGAAGCTCGCACGTAACGCTTACGCTAAGGACGCTAACGGTCGGCTGCCTAATCTTTTTCGCCTACGTCCGCGTAAGCGAATAGTCGAACACTATTTAGTAAGGCTTTAGCATTACCTATATTATCTGTACCTTATAGCTAGCGATCGGCGCTTCTAGATTCTACGCGAATTGCATTAGTATATAGGCAAGCTAGTTACCGATTTTGAAAACCTACTCTTTACGTAACTATACTCCTTCCGAATCGTAAACAACGATCTCGCCTATAAATACTCTATCTTTAGGACCGACCTCTACTCGGACGGTTACGATACGTAGTAGGAGATTTACGCGATTCGCTTTAGCGAGTACGTAGCGCTTATAACGGCGGGCGAATTAAAGGAGCTTCCTAACCTAGCTAACCTCGATACGAATTTTCTACTAACTATTACTTTCTACTACGCGAAGTTGTAGTACCGACTCCTAGTAAACATTACCTACTTACGCGAGAACTTCCTTAGCTTAAGTACCTATACCGGCGACCTACGATTCTAGCTAGCACCGTCTCTAATCCGTAATAGAGCCGTCGGTCTTATAGTACGCGCTATCTTATACTTCCTATAGACGGTCGACCTCGTATAAGAGTAGTTCTACCGCTTCGTCCTAAAAGAATATCGCGATAGCATTATAGTAGGCGGTTACCCGGTCCTATATAAGCGTAGCGAGAATAGTAAGGACGTATCCTACCGTAACTACGGTAAGGAATACCTAAAGACGGGCAAGCGACCTATCGGCGAACACGTCGGAGCGACGAAGCATTATAAGATCGACCTAACTACCTACGACGAAGTCTAATTCTTATAGATAGTAGCTACCGGACGACTCTCGATAGTGCGCCTACCTCTACTAGACTCCTAGCTTAAGGACTACACAGTTTAGCTGCTACTAATCGGTATAGAACTTAGTGCCTAGTCGGCTATATAGCTCTATAAGTAGTACGAGTCGTCCCTTAATTCTAGTAGTCTACCCTACCTATACCGTCGCAACCTAGGTCGCCTAGCTATTACCTAGGACGTCGTCGCTTATACCTAGCGGTATGTTACGGTCTGTAACGTATACACGCTTTGCGGCGAGGGCTATATATCCGCCCTCTATACTAATAAGGCGCTTACGGACACTAAGGCTACTAATGCGTCGCGTACGGAATAGTACGCTTAGCTTACTAGTAGCGGTCGCTACTAGAACGGTACCTATACCGCTAACAAGGGCAAAGGCATGCCTTTACTACTCCTTAACCGTTAATGCCCGGTAGACTTTAGCCTAGTCTACTAGCTAACTTAGATCGATCCGGTATACGCCTTATCTACCTTTATCGCCTATATCTAGACGCTTAAGGACGGCGCTATCCCTAATAGATTAGAGCCCGCGCTAACGCTATAGTTCTATAATTTGCCGAAGACGGCCTCTACCGATCTAGTCTTCGATCCTTTAGGCGTCTAGGAGCGTATTATATAGGGCAATACTATTTTCAAGTACGATAAGATAGTAACGAATAAGAATTACTAGTAGTATAACATCGACTATACTTAGGATCCTATAGGTGCATTCCTAGTGCCGTTACCCGACTACTCGCTAGACGAGACCGACCTTACTAACGCGTACCTTTTCGGCAAAATCATCCCTCTAGAGCTCGCGACTCGGGCTAAGCCGGTTGCCCCGCTAACTAAGGCGATCTAGCTAAATTCCTCGCGCGCGTTACTATCGACTAAGTTAAACACTCGCTAGAAGCTAACCGCTAGCCCGTTTTTAGCGCCTCGCCTACCGTCGAAGATGCCGCTACTGTCTAACCTATTCTCTACGCCTACGAAGGCTCTAGTTGCGGCTTAGCTACTACTGCCTAATAATACGGTTGCGTAGCTATAGTACAAGCTCCTATCGCTTCCGATACGCTTACTACCTTTACCCGCCCTATAGGAAAACACTATAGGCGCCTATAGACAATACTAATACAATGCGACGGCAATTGGTATACGCACGCTTAATTTACAAGCTCTCTACTATATACGCTAGTCCGAGTTAGTAGCAATCGAGGTGTACTAGCTGCAATAGATACTAGCTAAGGCGTAGATCCGCGAAGTAACTAAGCGCTAGATAGCCTAGTAGTGTCGTCTTTCCGCTACGGTCTTAAAGGAGTCGCTTACGCTATCGCTAACCTATCTTTACTACGATTTCTTACGCGTCGCGCCGCAATAGGCAATCCCTATACTATACCTAATTAACGAGGACGCTTTTAAGCTGCTCGGCGGCGTATAAGGCAATACTACTAAGGATAAGATCGCAAAGCTTAACGTATAGATAACTAACTACTTTAAGCTATACGGTGCTATACGCGACGCCGATACGCTACTGTTGCTAGGTGCCGACTTCCCTAATATCCCTATCGATTAGTTAGACCGCGCTACTACTATAGCGGACGTAGTTAATACCTCGCTGTCCGATAACAAGACTATAAAGACCGTCGCGCCTTAGCCGTAGCTAAAGGCGGTTTAGACTATACCGACTAGCTTACGCGACGCTCTTCGTAACCGTCGTAATAAGTAAGTATAAGACCGACGCAGTTATTACTAGAGAGATACGATTCTATACCTAGCATTACCGTTCTAGTATACTGTTTAGGCTTAGCCTTTGTGCGACGCTATTACGCTCTTTTGCCTTAAACCTTCCTACGGTGCGGCCTGCTAAGGACCTTTGTTTTAGGACACTATAGACAGTGCCGACCTTTTTTGTAGGGGGGGAGGCTATTACGATATAACACTATTGTATGTACGATAGCAGGCAGCGGTCACTATCGACCGCTACGGTCGCTATTGCTACTAATAGTAGGACTATTATATAGATAGCTTGCCTCGCGGTACCTTAGAGAATATATTAACTTTTGCACCGTATAACCGTTACGATACCTTCGTACTATAACCGTGTGCCTAGTATATAATATATAGGATACGTCTAGTTATACTAGGGTCTTACTTATCTAGTACTCGTATATAGCCTTCCTATCGAGGCTATAGATAGCTAATCGCTTTTTAAGACTAGTTAGTAGAGTATCGACGATATAGGAAAAAATATTAAATATATCTCTTAGTTGCTATTCTTTTCTAGGGGTAAAGGACTAGTTTATAATTAACCTATAAAGCGGAAGGCTCTTTCGCTTCTTGTATATTTAGTATAAAAGTGCCTCTATAAGATTAGAGCTTCGGAAATATTCGGCGAGAATACTAGCTAGTATTAGGTAATACTTATACTAATTATAATCTAGCTATATTTATTATATATAGCTCTATATTAGCGAAAACAGCCTCGTACTATAATCGAAAATACTATTTAGTTCTATATATATTCTACTTTTATATATATTTATAGGAATATATATAGAAGTTTTAGTATCTATAACACAAATAGGTAGTAAACGTAAAGAGTAGATAGTCGTCTTATAATAGTTCTTATACGGCTTATTCTCGTCGGTAATACTCTAGAGTACCTCTATAATCTACTTAGCTTTAATTCTTATAGTAGCGGTATAGATGTTTAGATACTAATACATTTATACTCCTTAACGATAGTATTTACTTTTATGTCTTCGACCTATCTATATAAGTCCCTATTAACCTTCTATTAACTATTATTTTTTTATCGCCGAATAGGTTATATTTAGCGCTCGATAGGGACGCTATATCGTAATTAACGCTTAAGAGGGTATTATAGGAAATTCTAGAACGATCTAAGAATTACTCGAATAGATATTTATAATAAAGAGAGAAAGGCTTCGTCTATATACTTTTGTTCGTTCCTACGCTGTTAACCCCGCTTAAGCTAGGCTCGAAGTTGTCAGCCTCGGCGCATTCTTATTATGCCTAGGAAACTGGCGCGGTATCATATCAAGATCGCGTTGAATAGTCTCAGTTCAATCAAACGCTATAGTCTCTGCGAAAAGAACAATTCTAGGTCTGAAAAGAGGCTGGCACTAGTGAGGCACGAGTGTTTTGATATGATCCCACTACTTAGGTACGATACAAAGGGTGAGTCCTGAAAACATCCAAGGGATGCAATGGCCGCGTTTCGACATCGGACTATCTGTTAATGCAGTTCTAGAAAGAAGCGAGAAAGAAAGGTTGACATATCGTCTGGCATGATCTCGCACCTTTCAGCTTTGACTACAATCTGCTTGGTAAAGGCCATGTCCTTCTTGGTATGGAGCACGAAGACGTCTGGTGTGGTCCGGAGGAGACCGAGTCCGATGTAGGGCGTCTGTTGCCTTTCGCCAAACGTCGTCCATGGCTGGTATGGGTTGATTGTGCGGTGTGGGAGTGTTGCATAGGCACCCGGCTCTCGGCTTCGGGATAAAGAGTTCCATGGAATGGACTGCCAGAACACGATGAAGGAGGTCTCTCGGGTCGTGTAGGATTGTGAGTATGGCTGTGGGAGAGCCCACTGGCCTGAAAGAGGCACCACAAGAGTTGTGAGACCAGTGTGCCCGGGACTACGGACAGCCGGCAGAATCCACTTTTCCATATTCGCAGTCCACTGCCGGTTATGAATCCGAAACTGGCAGCCGAGCAGAAGAAGAAGCGGCAAAGTTAGTAAGCGGAGCAAACCTTCCGGAAAAGCCGGGGAACAGGGCAACATAAGCTGCCGGATTTCTGGGGCAAGAACATAACATTGCGGTAAAGCAGACGTTGAACGCGTCGTGGTTTTCATACCAGATATTTTCGTTTTTGATGCGGAGAGCGAAGGCAGATTTGCAAATGTCGTATAAGTTTGGTGATCTTTCGTGACTCGCGAAGCTGATGCAGGCCAAACTTATATGTCGTGGAATGGCCGCCTGCGAGGTGATTCATGCTTGCGTGCACTTCTTGTGGGAGACCAATGGGATTTCTCGCTGTCGCTGGCAATTTTAGCCTCTCCGTGCCGCAGCGACCTCCACAGTCGAAACTTGTGTCACGCTCATGTCCTGGAGTGCTCTGACTTTCTGTCCGAAGCTGACATGTATCAAGTGCCAAGCACCGGTGCAGAATCCCAAGGCGTATGTGATTACGAATGAATTATGATGGCCAGCGTGGAGCAGAAGTGCATCAGATTTAGCATGGGATTCAGAATCGATCTGGCCAAGGTTTGGGCATCGGTCTCGCGTAGTCCTGAGGCCAGTGTCGCTGCGGAAGTCTAAACAGGATCTCTTTTGAATTCTGACCAGGTGTTATCAGCGTTGAGCTCATGAGCTGAATGGGTGGCCTTAGATCAAGACCCGCGACGAGCCAAGGGCGCCGCGGTAGTCCTTCACATACAGTGCACTTGGTCAGCGTGAAGCCTGCTTGTTATCAGTTTCAGCATAATCGCATCGCGGTGTTGAGCCTGTGTTGGAGGGTTGTCGTGTTCACCACTGAAGCTCTTGTTATTCATCAGAAGAGGCTTTCGCTTCTGAGCCTGTATCCCAATCTGCAACCTCTTCAGCGAGTTACCCCAGAACCTCTCGGCGGGGTATTTCGAAACATGCCATTCCTTCCAGACCGGACATTCGGCAACGGCCTGACACTCTGGATGCAGGCCCTTCTTTCTCCTCCAGCAACTCGAAGCAAGCAGTGGCGCGCGCGCAGAACATCTTCTTCATCGTAGAACTGCTTCCAAAATTGGCTGATCTCGTACCAAATCGCGCAGGCTTGCTCTTCGACAGAAGGGGATCTGAGGATCGCAATGCTATGATCGAAGAAGTCCACGATTCTTCAAGAAGTGTTCGCGTATAAGCCGTTGGGGCGGAGGACTGATACACGTTGGCGTGTCGCAAAGATCACTTCAGCAGGTAGGATCGAGGGACGCTTTCGTGGGGGTTTGGTGTCTTCGCGCAGAAGTCGAAGGTCTCCGCGGGTGTATTGGAGAAGCTGAGCTGCGCACGCTATGCTTGAAAAAGGCCAGGCTGGCACGAAGCTGGGTTCTGGTGGTATCGGGGCACCATGTCTTGGATCTGCTGAAACACAGCCGCGTGATATTGTTGCATATGCTCGACATATTGGTGCGATTGTTTGTTGCTTTGGTTAATTCGTCCACGTCGTACCAGATCTTTCTCAGCTCGATTCTCGGTAAGACAGTGCGACAGCAGGAGTGATACTCGCAGCACAGCGCCAGAGCGTCACAGCGTCAGAGGGACGAGGCGGTATGCTGAGCGGTATGGCAGTTGATGGCAGGCCCACTGTGTGGCGGTTTGGGTTTGGAGGTCGCCGGCGCTTTGCACATACGCGAGTTCTCGAGATAGATGTTGCGCTAATCACTCCTGTTTCCGGCGATGATTTGCATCCAGACAGCCTTCCTCATAATACGTGCAACCGCGAGCCACTTGTCGGCGTGCAAATTGAAGATGCTATAAAGGCCGCCTTGGCCGGTGGCCTTCACGGCGCCGTCGCCCAAGGTTTCGAAGTCGTCATCAGACACGGCCAGCCAGGCGAAGCGTTCGAAATGTATGCTTGGTGCCGGTAGTGGAACGGACTTGCGTGTAGAGAAGAGGATGGAGTGGTTGATGTTTGGGTCTGTCAAGTTGCGGGTGCAGCCTTTGCCTCTTGGTGGTTTCTCGGGCGTCAAGATGCAGAAGAAAGTCCAGGCGATAAGGGGCAGAAGCCAATGCTCTGTGCGAATACCAGGCATGATAGCGTCGGATAAGCAGAAAGGATTGGGAAGTACCCAGGTTAACTCGACTCAAGCAGGAACCATGCGTAACCCCATTACTGCTCCTCATCATCATCAATAATCATGCCCATGGCCTTCGCCTTGCCGTGCCCGAACCAGACACTGCAAAGATCTATCACATGCCCACCACGACATCGATGAAACAATGGAAGAAGAGGGAAGAACTCACCATTTCTCAGCATCAACATCCATCTTCCTCTCCGTCTTACCCATATTGAACTCCAGACTCCACTTCAAGTTCGTTGGAAGCGCAGCACCAAGATCGCTGCCGGCGGAGCATTACTGGCGAAGTTCCCAGACAGAACTCTCTCCAGCAATGTTCCTGTGGGCTTCGGTGATTGGCTGTGCTGGGTCGTAGACGTCGTCGGTGGATCGCAAGGCACAGCAGCGGATCGCAAGGCACAGCAGCGGATCGCAAGGCAGTGCGGCGAGGACGACGACGACTACCAGAAGAGGTGTTCTGGCGTGCTAGAGTCGAGGAGGATACGAGATTGAAGGAAGAAGGGAACCGGTCCTTTGGCCTGCCTAGTCTGAGTGCGTGCTCTCAGACATAGCGGTTGTAATGAGCTTTGTCCAGCCCCAGTCGTCCGGCTTATTTCGAGTTGAACGGCCTTGAATTTGTGGTCGCCGCGGGGATAAGCGTCAAGTGGACTGCTCTTGGCAGCACAAGATTTGAAGGCGGTAAAGCTAGGCGCCGTTTCGACCGCGTGGAGGAAGATAGCGGAGATGAACAACGTAAGTTTGCCGTAGTGCTCAGGAGAGGTAGAAGAGCCTTCAACGAGTAGGCATAGGAAGGCAGTAGGCGATACGTTGGACTGGACGAGCTAGGCTACAAACTTGATCGATCTCAGTTGGTCTTTAGGGCGGATGCCTTCACAATCAGGCACGCCGATCGTAGAGACCAGGTCCATAAAGGCGGTGAGAAAAGGCGTGCCGTTGGCCGAGTGTCCTATTCCAGCACGGATTGGAGAACCCAGAACTTCATGTCGTCTTTGGGGTCGGCGGGCCTGTCTGGGTGCACGTAGTGACTGGGTTGTCCACATCGTGCATTTCGGCAAGGCGATAAGCGAGAGGGTTATAATCAGTCTGAAGAGGCACGTATACCATTGCGAAGTTCCGGAAGGGCCAGGCCAGCGAATTGCTTGATGTAGCCTTGATTTGCGCTGACTTCAGCTTCGTACGCGCCGTCGGAGGAATCGGAGCTGGAGGCCCGCGTAGCCGACTTTGGCATCTTCGCAGAAGAGTTGGATAGTGTTGATCAAAGGAGCGGAAAGTTGGAAGCACGAAAAGCTACAGACCTGGTGCTGTGTCCTGCCTGGTAGTCAAAGAAGGTCTGGAGATGTTAGTGAAGACGAGAACTGGATATGCATCGGCGAAAGAGCTTCGGGAAGACAGGTGAAGCTAGGAAGAGTGGGCTTCACAAGATATACGTGCGTCAACGTGTTTGTTGGACGGCTTGAGGCACAAGTGTGTAAGAGATAGCCTTGTATCCTAAGCAGGTGCGAGCACCGCAAACGAGTACCTCGACCTCGTCAATGTGTGGTGTTGTCGCAGACGTCTGCTTTCTCTTTCTTTCGTACCTCGGTGGCACACACTACCGTTCAGACACCTCGCTCAAAGACTTCAATCGAAGCATCTTTGCACTATGTCACTCTCCATCACGCCAGCGCCGGCCGTTGCCTGTGTCCTCGATCATTTCGCGCATCTTCGCCATCGCCAATGTGTACTGGGTGACTCTTCAGGGCTCGCCAACCTCGCTCGCTTCAGTGGTGTCGTCGACGATGCACATGGAGGTGCCTGCATGCCGTTTGCAGGCCAGCGTGAGTGTGTTTCTCGTGTGTGTCCACGCGTGCGGATTCTGCGAAGCCTGGCTGACTTCAGGCGCACGAGTACGGAGTTCTGTGGCATTTTCTCCGCAGCTGTCTCGCGAGAAGGTTGAGTTGAAGGCGGGATTGAGGCAGTGGCCGAGAAGGATGTTGAAGCCGGACATTGACTATCCGCGGCTTTGGTGGAGTCACATGCCGCTCGCGAAGCGAGCGGTCTATACCCATTCGTAAACCATCTTCTAAACCCATTACCCATCCGTAAATTTATATATACTGCATTAAATAAATTATTTAACACTATTATAATGCTATTAGGAAAGCGAAAGTCGAAGAAACGCGTTATACGGCCCTAGCAAAAATCCACTACCGAGAATCGTCGCAAAGACGCCCGAGTCGCGATCGAATTAACTGAAATACAAGCATATAAGCGTACCTACTAAGCACTCGTCGACCTAAAGGTATAGTACTACGATAACCGATACAAAGATATATATTCTCGCCTCTACTACCGCTATAATAGCCGTAGTAGCCGCAGTAACCGTACCGCTTTACACGCTCGACTTAATCTATCTTAAAGCTTCGCTCTTCTCGAATACTACCGTTCTCGAGAACAGATAGACCTAAGCCTTCCTATATTACTAATCCGCGCTACCGCCGAGTTAATTATACGAAGAGGCCTCCCGGATAATAAATAGGCTTTATTTAAGCTATTAAGTGAGATATAGCATAAGAGATAGATATAGAAGAATAGGGTTAAAGAGATTAAGCGGAAGAATATCGAGGCAGTACGGAAGGAAGTATACGACCCTTAGTTTATCGGTACTTAGTTTAAGAAGCTATATAGCTTAATATAGACCTATAAGATTACTCTCGACAACTACTAGAATATAGACGAGACTAGCTTCCGGATTAGAATTAGAGGCATAGAATAGGTAGTTATAATAGACCTAAAGCGCCGCTTATAGGCTACAACTAATACCTATCGGAAGTATATAACTTTAGTAGAAGCCGTTAACGCTTATAGACGATACATTAAGCTAATGCTTCTAGTATAAGGTAAGGTCTTACTAGAAGCATAGTTTAATAAATTGCTAGCGTACTATCTAGTTAGAGTAACTAAGTCTAGTTATTTAAACGACGATAGGGCCTTCTACTAGATCTAGCACTTCGAGAGGCTTACGAAGCCTACAGATAAGACACAATATCGCCTGCTTATAATAGATAACTTTAGAAGCTACGACTTCTTCGAGTTTGTCGACTTCGCTCGTAGACACCGTATTCTAATCTTTACACTGCCGCTATATACCTCTTATTTCCTATAGCCGCTAGATGTAGTCTTATTCTAGGTCTATAAGCATTACTACCGGAAGGCCGTTATTAAATACACAAGGCTCGGAATAGGCGAATTTAGCGTCGCTTAGTTTATAAACGCTATCGATAGTATCCGGCGGAAGACCTTTAAGAATAGCAATATTCGGTCAGCCTTTAGGAAGACCGGTATTGCCCCTATTAACGTATAGCGAGCCCTCGACTTTCTCCGTAACAAGTACGGTATATATATAGTCTAGTACGTAGAGCGTAAGGCGGCAGAGAAAGCAGACCTTCTTATAATAGATCTTAATAGCATCTGTAATAGCGTAGAAACCGGTCGGCTCTTCGAGTTCTCGCATTTGCTAGAATTGCCGCCTCTAGTCGATATAGACCTATTTAACCCTGCGCTTACTATTCGCACTATAAAGCGACAGATTGATGCCCTTAATAAGCGACTTACAAGGCATAGACCGCCTTTATCTCCAATATAAGGCCTTCTTAAAGGAGTTACGAGCTTAGTGCTATTCTATACTAACTAGGGCGCTTAGGCGTTATATAACCTCTCGGAGATAGAGATTGCTATAGAGGCGAGGAAGGTACGCAAGGCTAATAATAGCAAGCAATAGAAGATAGGTATCGCTTATACGTATAAGGTTTATACTCGAGTCGCCTATCGAGAGCTTACTGCTATTAAGAAGGCTTAGAAGTTAGTAGATAACAAGGCCTATAAGATACGGAAGCAATAGAAGTCCTATTATAAGCGATAACGGAAGGAGCTCGGTACGATAATAAGTAGAAGGGCACGTATAGAAGACAGGAAGCGGCCCCTTCTTAAGCGTACTATTTAGTTACTAACTGAGCCATTTCTATCACTTCTAATAGGTATTTATAAGACTAGACCGCTCGCTAGTTACTATAAGCAGAGGCCGATTAAGAAGGTATATTAGATTAAGAAGCGTAAGCAATAGCTAGTTTAATATAAGTTAGTTGGCCGCTATCTTCCTAACGACCTTAAAGACCGAGCGCCGCTAAAGGTCTTTAAACTAGCAAATCTATAGCACAATACTAAGTCTATTAGTAACCCCTTCCCCTATTTTACTGCCGCTACACCTTCGAGGCTACTACGTAAGAAGAAGGCGGCTCGATTTGCACTAGTAAAACCGTTGCTATTAGTATAGCGAGTAATGCTAGAAGATAGTTAATAGGCGTAGCTTATAGCGAGCGACAAAGCTATACTAATAGATACACTCGAAGAAGCTAGTTTCTACGGTTGTTGTCGCTATAACTGGCAGCTAGTTAGCCTCCGCTATAAGAACGAGCCTCTTCTACGGCTAGAAGGTAACGAGCGTAGATTATCGGATAAAGAAGACCTACTATACGAGGAGCATTATAAGAGCCTGTTTCTATTACGTATACGACCGAAGGATATAGCTAGAATTGCTAAGTAGCAACAGCAATAGCGTACGTACGAGGACATTATTAAAGAAGAGTCCGATAGTAACGTTAGTAACCTGTTTAATATAACTATAGGCCTTAGTTCTTAGTTACAGCCGTATAAGTTAGATAACTAGGAGATAGATTTAGGGTAGGTACTCGATCTATTACTCGCGGAGGATACGGAGCTGCCGGAGATGCCCGAGGATGCAGAATATACATAGATACTACCTTATTTAATGCTTCTAAATATACAGTATTATCGCGGTAGAGCCGCTATCTCTCGTATAGGTATAGGAAGTAAGAAGTCCGTATTCGAGTCCTTTAAAGCCCGCTAAGCCCGAGATACCGGGCTTTACGAAGGTGCACTAAACACTACCTATACTAGCTACTTATATATATATACGATACGAGGTATTAATCTACTTACTCCGGGCTTTTATATAATATAAAAATCACATATATACGATGCGTAGTAGTGATATAAATAGTAGGTAAATAGCGGTGGTAGTATTATATAAAGCTAGCAAGAACTCGAATTGCTAGCACTATATAACAACCCTATTACCTTATATAGTAATAGAACGTTCTAGCACTATTGTAATAATATAGAATCGAGCGAGGGGGCTATTTACTATATAAAACACCTGTTTTCACCGACTATAGGTCATTTCCGGATGGGTGATAGGTTTAGTTAGTGGTTTACGGATGGGTGTAGACTGCTCGCGTAGCGAGCCGCGTTTGCCTCCAATTCAGCTGCGGATAAGCGGGCAAAGCGGGCCGGCTGGCTGTGATGTGGTGTGTGGGGAGAAGAAGCACATTGAAATGCTCCTCCGCTCCTCTGCAACAGCATAGCACAGCGTCGTCACAACAGCCACATACGCCTGACACACCACACCACACCACACCACACCACACCACACCACACCACACCACACCACACCACACCACACCACACTACACCACCACCAGCGCCACCACCAGCGCCAGCCGTGCCGCGCCAAGAGGCAGAAGCAGCACAGGCAGCGCAAGTCATTAGCGAGCAAGACCCAGCAGTCGCAACAGCCTCCGTCTCCTTCTCTGAAATCAGCGAGCACGACTTCCGACTCGGAGCAATCTTTCAACCCACCACTTCTTCGGACAGCCATCTTCGCTCTCCTAGAAGCCAACCACCTCCCATTACCCATAACAGCGCCCCAATGTCCTCCCAAGATCCTGTTGCCCATCTGGACTCGACCCACATTCTGGGTGCACTTGTTCCATGCGAAACCCGCTTTCTTGCGATTAGCGGAGGAGAAAGTGCTGCGGAGCTAAGGCGACTGGTGCCGGGGGTATGATATATCAATGCAGATGGTGTGGAAAAGGCTTTTGCGCAGACTGTCTCGACCGATGCTGATAGTGTGAAAATGGCTTTTCCGAAGAATGTCTGACTGGGACGATACTACCCTTATCAACAAAACACCTTGCTAGAGTTCGAGATGATCGGGTTTGGCCGAGTTGCGATCGACGAGCCTAGCTTAACATCTGCTGTGATGTTCCCCGTTCCAACATGCTAGGTCATTTCATTTTCAACAGGGCTAATCTAGCCCATCAACCTGTCAAGCTGCCGAAAGCGCCGCATCGGTGATGCTACCATTGTGAGCAGATTGTCACGCCAGTTCCACGGGTGTCTCACATATCGAGGACCTTATAAACTGACCTCAAAGCATAGGTGGACAAGGCCACGATGGGTCCAAGTTACCAGAATGTCTGCAATTGGGAACCACACCAACATGAAGCCGAAGCCTAGGCCTATTGGGATTGCCAGAACGATCGGTTGGGAAGCACGATGGAGAACTACAATAGTCCGAACAGTCCATTCGAATCACACACTGCAAACACTGTTTCTCATACCAGCGCTACAGTCGACTAAGACACCCGTGTCCGCGATTGCGATGAGATCAGGGACACAAGTATCTTGGTTGTTCAAGTTCAAGTTTGAATACCACGGAACTAGACGTGTTGTTGAACACTCCAAGTAGTTGGCATGTAGCACGACAGACGTTGCTGGCGACAAGAGCGTTCTCGCTGTCGCGAATGTAGAACCATCCTTCATAAGCCTCCAATTTCGACGAGCAGGTTTCATTTTGCGTAATTGTTGCTCAGTGCTTGCACTCATCTGGGAACTCCCGCCCTACGGGCACATCACAACAGGTCAGATGGCTGACAGGAGAATTGGCCAGCAGCCAGCATTCCACCAAGACAGCAAGAGGTAGGTCGCTCGTTGACAGATGGGATGTGGTGGGTCTCTTATACTTGAGCATCGGCATGTCGTTGCTTACTCATGCGCCAAGACGTTCTGCGGAGAATCGGCCGTGCAGCATGCTATTGAACAATTCCTCGAACTTACACACCTGCACCAGCGCACCAAGCTTATGCCATCTTCGCTTCCAAGAGCAGCGCGCATTTTGTCAATGATGTCTTGGGCGTATGGCCGACTCGAAATCGGCACCACACCATTACTCACAAATGCGCTCAGATTTGCAGCTCCAGCAGCAGGCAGCTTCCAGACCATCCTGACGAATCCATCGCCTCGACGCCGATGTGCCTCATCTGCTCTGCATCTCACCACATCCTTCACACTGCTGACTGCGACTCTTTCGGGGTCGATAAGCAACACAAGAGGCCCAGCGTCCTCGCCTCTAGCAACCGCATCCTAAATCCCAATCCGCACAGCCATCTCGAATGCCATTTCCGCAGTGTCTTCTTGCTCGTGGCTCGCGACGCTAAGTATAGGGAGAATCAAAGTACGCGCGCTATAAGAGTCAGCCTGGATGAAGAGAATCAAGCAGCATATACATACTCGCTCCATTGCCAGTAGAGGCATGGACCGCTTTCATGGAGCCGCTTTCGTGGAGGTGCTTCTGCATACTCTTTCCCATTATGCCAGGTATGCAAGATCGACTTCGACTAGGTCCTGATCGCAACGGAAAAGTTCAGCTTGTTTAGCTCGCTTCTCACGCTCCTTTATATCGCTACAAACCTCCATCTTGGGACAAGAAGTCATGCTCGCAGCGAGTACCCTTTCGTCTTTTCATGCCGTAGAAGCTGATCCAAGGTGCTGACTTCAGTGATGGCCGAAGCCTATGCTCCGACGGCTTCCCCTTGCTTTTGTAATCATTCTATGAGAGGACTGATATGACCGGCAGTAGTAGCGGGTTCCAGAGATAGCGGTCTGCGAGCGTCTTGAACCGTACAGCAACTCGCCAATTCTGAACAGTCTGGTGATAGTCGGAGAAGCCACCGATGCTAAGCATTTGACAGTGTAGATGCTTCGATCCATACGACTCGAGAATCTCTGAAAAGTCCCTGGTGACGCTGGCTTCTGTCGGCTGAGCGCTCGACGTATCGTTCTTCTTCGTCTTAGCCTTCCTCTCCATGCCCGCTTTCGGCGCTGTTAGAGACGAAACTGGATCCAGCTCTTCTCGTTCGATGCTCATCCCACCTTCGTCAACATCCTCCCGAACTAGTTGTCCTTCTTCTAGCCTGGTTTTCAAACGATCCTACTTTGGCATGCTCCTCGCGTATTGCCGGAGATGTACTCTCTAGCCGTCTCTGCATCGGATGTCTTCTCGCCTAGAATTCTTGTCTTCTCGCGCAGTCCACTGATTATGATTAGCATTCCCGACAGCAGATGCCGGCGCTTTAGCATAGCACTTCTTTAGTTCGCGGACTGTCGTCTTCAGTTCTTTGCCGATAGGCATGCTCTTATTGCTATAGTCACTAGTCTCCGAGCCTACTGCGGCGGATCGTCGGCATGCTTGCTTACACTAATCGCGTCACGTATCAAGCTGTTTTAGTTTCTTAGTTTCTGCAAGCTTCGCGGATTTGGTGGCTCCGCGCTATAAAGATGCACTTTTTTCTCTTTACCCAACATTACTAGGCCACGAAGACGCCCTAGCTAATGGAATCTTGTCAGGCTAATGAATTGGCAGATAAAGGCCTAGCAGATGTAATTGGCAGGATTATGAACTTGGCCGCACTCCGAGTGGCTAGTGAAAAATCTCGACCAACTATACTGTGCTTCAAGCCTGGCTGCCAACGACAATTTCTAATCCCGCTATTGACCCTAAGCTAGCCCTAGGTGTGCGAGAATCCTTTGCTAGTGTTCTTGACTTCTGGCATTATGTCTATCAGGCCGGCGGAAAGGTATGCTTTGTCACATTTGCCCCGGTCCTAGTTAACTGCATTTCTGGCTTCCCGCTATAGATTGTATCTAGATCGAGCATAAAAGGACCGAACTTGAAGTTTTGCAGCTTTCCGTCTAACAATGTTCGAAGGAACCCTTTCCGACTGCGAAGAGTATAGCCCTTCATTATCTGCCAAGGAAGCTACTGTATTCTTTGCCTCGGCAGGAACCATTTTTAGTCTAATAACAGCAGTCTGCATTCGGTAGATATCGTGTAACTAACCTCTCCGCTGCGCTGCTATACATCCGCGGGAACGTTGATCTAGCTTATCTGCAAGTTGCTCGAGTTTCGAGACAAAAGCCCAGAGGACGATCCAGTAGCTGACCTGTTAATACGCAGTCCTACAGCGCCGGAGCCCGTGGCATTCTCAACTGTTGGTATCGTATGCGTCGTAAAGGCAGCGTTGTTGCTCTCGGTGGCGGTTACGGCAGCGGATGGATCTCACGCGCTCACTCGCTATACCTGGAAAGCGGCGGACAGGGCCGCGTTTGACAAGTGTGGCGCTCAGCCATCCATATACCACTTCCTATGATTGTTCTCATACTCACCGACCTATGTATCTGGATGAACCTGCTGCCCGATCCGCTTAGTATCTCCTGCCTGCTTGTAGGGCACGGTGAAGAGATTGTTAGCGTGCCTTGGTCAAGAGCATCTAGAAGCCGATCAATCTTGGTCGGTACATCCTCAATATGAACTTCCTCGATAGTACTCTATATACTCAGCTTATGAAAGTGTTCAACTCCGAAGGCATAGTTGACATCCCACTCCTGACCAAGACCACAGATCGGTAATTAATTCCCGCGATTTCTCAACGATACTTGGAATCATAGCCGCAAGTGTCACTCTAGTACAGCTCACTGCTCGCCTACTAACTTTGCTACAGATCAAAGACACAACCGAAGTGCTATATAGGCAAGCTCTCTCGAGAACACATCAGCTCTTGCTTAAATTACGACTGCCTCAATCGCTTCGCTACCCTGTTAGATGCTTCCTTATAGGTTGCAAGCAACCTTCTTCCCTCCCTCCTGACCGAGGTGCTGCGCGGCAAGGCGAAAATTGCCGCATGACTTTGGGTGTCAGTTGGAAATCAGTAGAGCAAATCCCACGTACCAGATGCATCCTTACCAGCATTTGCGGCATCTTGGAACTCTCTCGCCGAGGCAGAAACTCCGCGTGCGACCTGACTCCCATCAGCATGAGATGCTATAACGAATGTATGCTGTCAATTGTCGTGCCGAATCCATCAGACAGCAACTGAGGGCACGATGCTCGAAGATATTGGCGGCCTTAGGAGCAAGATCAATTCCTAGACGGCATGAAACGCACATATCAGCTTTGGCAGAGTGACTCCCATCAGCATAAGATGCCGTAACGAATTTGTGCTGTCAATTGTCGTGCCGAATCCATTAGATAGCAACTGAGGGCACGATGCTCGAAGATATTGGCGGCCTCATAAGCAAGATAGGAAGAATTGGGAAGGATGCCTTATTCGTATCGGACCGGACCAGATCTTCCTCGTACACTATAGGAGGATAGTCTGCATTGGAGTAGAGTCAGACCCTCGCAAATTATGGATGGCATCGCTTCGATATAGGGTATACCTAGGCTCGGTAAGGACTTTCTGCTTCGGCAAACGCTCTTCTGATAGCGTTGATATTAGGACAGATCGTGAAGGCAGATGATAGAAAGACCCACGTCCTCTTCCGGCAGCAATGTCGTTGGGTGAGATGATAGTTTCGACCACAGCTCTGAGCCCTACGTGCTGGAACCTCTTTCTTATAACAGACGACCTACTGGAAGTCTACTGTGCTTCACTTCCGGCTGCCGCCATAGCTTATAATGCCAATATGCTCACCTTTTCCCAGCTCTTCCATTACATCCCGAGAACACCGAACGAGCTCGACTGGAGAGCTGAATAGCGGCGAGCGAGTGAATGATCAATCCACGTATAACGGCGAAGACTACCGGGAAGAGAAGCGAATCTTGCTAGCCGCGCCGCGCGCGCCGCGGAGAGGGAGGCACCGTACAAGAAGTGCAATGCAAGGTGCAACAGTGTTGGTACACTATGCAGATGCGGCGTATTTGGCGCGCAAAAAGAGGAAGCATGTATCGGAAAGTGTGCTGATGAAAAGTCGAGAAACTTGAAGCTCCGCCAGGTATTCTTGGCATGGCATAGGTGGGCTTTTGCCTTTTACCCTTTCACCCTTCCACCACGAACACCACGATAACAAAAGAGTCACGCGCACCGCACCGCACCACACCACACTACACCGCACCGCACCGCACCGCACCGCACCGCACCGCACCGCTTCAGAGACGAGTACAGCATGCCATGTCACACCGATACGCCCAAGCCAGTCCACCACAGCCTGCTTGACGACAAGCTGGACCGCTTCGCCCCGACTGTAGCTTGATAGCGCCAGATGTTGACGCCGAGTCAAGCAAAGCGAAGGACGTATGCTGCGGCCGCAAACAGCCGCGAAAGGAGGAAGTCGACGCAGCTGCGGCTTGGGCCAAGTGAGGATCAGGAGGATAGCGGCGAAGCTGATGTCAACATGGCCGACTGTCCCAATCCATGTGCAGAAAGAGCGCGAGTTGGTCTACTAGCCCTGCGAACTGCGACATCGACACTCTCGCCCGAGGACATCTGCAAAGCCTGAGCTGGTAAAGGCCGAGCCAGGCGTGTGGAACGGCGTATTAGGGACACAAATGCAACGTCATAGACACTAAGGCAATGTCTGGTTCATCTCAGCTCATTTGCAACCTCTCCGCAAGCAGGAGCTTCACGTTGCAAGCAGCTGGCCTGGCTTGCCAACCGCGTGCACTAGAATATGAAGAGTTATAACTCCGCGGGAGAGGTTTGAATCGCAGTCCATCTAGCGACAAGCAGAGGGCTGTGGACGATGTCAAGAGGATGCGATTCTGTGCGATAGAAGAAAGTAGCTCTTCAATTCCACAAGCTATAGAAGCCTGCATGTCCCTTTGTCCGCCGATTCCAGACTCGAGAAGCCAAGTTCTAGAAGACCAGCATGAGGCTTCAATTTTGCCAGGACACCGGAAGAGTGGCGAGATGCAGGAACACAATAACCTCTTACTATAGAAGAGACGGAGTACAAAATCAAAGCTCTGAGTCCAATTGGCCTAAGATTCAAGAGCATGTCAATACCGACGGAGCCGATATCATAACGATCATGATGGTTGATAATGATCAGTATGCGGTAGGACCACTACCATGAGTCCATTCCTTCGCGATGCTGCTTACCAAAGGTCCATTAGAGTGCTGCAGTTCGGCATCAGCCCCGGCCTGTCGATAGGCGCTTTGTCGTCGTTGTCGCATCGAAGTGAAAGCGCTTGTTTCCTCGATCCTGGATTTCATGCTTTGCAACGACTCAGATGACTGACTTTCATCCACTGCCACACCGATGTGTGAAGACGAGGTATGTTGACGGTAGCAAGGTGTCGTTGTCACAAGCGTAGGACAGTAGGCCTCAGCCAGCATCCGAGATTGGGATGGAGATTCATTATCCGCAGCTGCAACGCCGATACTTCATTCTGATAGGAGCAGCGGCGAGTTCTTCTCGCTCTAGATGTTTCGTCGTTCCAGCTACTGTCTGCGCGAGTCGTCTCCGTACTACCAGAGAAGAGAAGAGAGCGTTCGAACTTCGATCTGTGCACAAGCTTGCTGGGTTGTCGGGTAAGTACGGTAGGGATGGCCTGCTCGCTCGCGGAATCGGGCAAGCTACGTCGTGAACATCCTCATTATCATCATTCACGTCAAGCGCTCCAACCAAAGCGTAGCTCAGCATCAGCACTGGAACATCTCAGAAACATGCCCTCTTCCGTCCATTCGCAGAATACAGACCGTAGTGCTGAGCATGATCGCAGCAGATTGGCTCCTGCTATAGGGAAACCTGAGATTTGCGGCAGCTTGTAGGCCTTGTCATGAAGCAACGTTGGATGAAGCGGCGAGATTTCAATGCTCAAGCAATTGATGCGAGTTCTCTATGCCAGTGTCAAGACGAGCCCTTGTAATAGCACAGCACGCTCTTACGGACGAGCAGCCATCTGCTCATTTAGAATCCGGCTCGTTTTCTCTGACCACATACGACTACCATAGCAGCTAGGAGCATCGAAGGAGGAGCGGTGTAAGAACAGCCTCCTCTTGAGACATCAAATGCGCTTTTCCGCTGCCAACCTCCCCCTTCGTCGCTAGCGGCGAGCGGGATTCAGAGCATTCATGCAGGCCGACATACTGCATTTCTTTTGCGAATGAAGCAATAAGAGTACATCATTCTCCGCCAACCCGATCTATATGGCACGGAAGAAGGCCTGATGATACGCAATGGATTTGGAAGTTGCGTATGCTGAGGGAGACTTTGCTTTGCCTCTTCACTCCTTTGAGAGCGTCCTTGTTGCCATGCTTCAGCCAGCGAGCAGCTTTGCCGCCTAATGATGTCTGACCAGGCGCGCGGACTGTAAAGCAGCATGGCTCTCTCGGTGATTGCCAGTGATTGCGGATCCCGACACGCCCTCAGTCGTACCGCAGCAGCCAGCAACGACTGCTGTGCCAGTACCGCCCTTCGACGCGGCACGCCAATCCATCACCACTGCAGCTGGCCTAGCCACTGGAAATCTCCTGCAAATCTCATCCTTAGAAGTGTCATGTCCCACATGGGATGGCAAAATAGCAAGTCTACCAGCCGCTCCTGCAAGGTGAATTCTGGCGAACTGCAGCCTTGCCAAAAGCTCTGCAGAGCTGCTTCGCAAAAAGCCTTAAGTTACACCCTGGCTACCCCGATTGCCGGACACAGCAGCAACTAGCCAAACAGTCATCTGCTGTCACACCTTTTGCGCCTCTCAAGCGTGGCCGCCTGCTAGCACCACCGACATCCAAATTCATTGATACTCTTGTGGCACTTTCGTCTCCTAGTATGGATCAACCGGAACCTAGGCGAGGCAAGTCAATCATTCGGCGTTGTCCTCGGTCATTCAAATTCCTAACAAGCTTCTCAGTTGTAGCCAAACCAGACGAGTTTCAGTATCTCGAAGTGAGGTTTTGGGGTCTCTTCGCTCTCGAACAGATCTCGGAGATGAGCTCGGACATCCTGCTTTACCTGTTTTCACTGTATGTATTTCCAACTTCCTCCACCAACTCCAGCCCGGCAGATGATGTGCCTTCCTTGGACAAGGCAGCAACTCGTGTCTTCAATGCGAATGACACGGGCTCACCTGACAATACTCCCAGCTCAGATGGCCAGCAAGACAAGTCCCGTTGACTTCACAGCATTCCCAGGCCTGGAAAATGTTCCCACTTCCATCATTCAGAACAGCAATCAGGTCAGAGCACTAGTCGCAGAGCCTCAGAGCTAACCAGATTCTTACACCCCGTCGCAGGATCCTGGTCAAAGTAGCAAATGTTTGCTGCTTACGACACCCAGGACACGCCACCCAGGAAGCGCAGACGCAGCACTGCCGGGAATCCGCAAGCCAGAGACCGAGTCGCTCGATTGGGATATGGGCAACAACAAATCAAGATGCACACTATTGCGAATGAAGAATCGATGGGGACGAATGAATTGAACAACTTTTCAGACGCATAATGACGCTTGGAACAAAATATCAAAAGCTGCCTCCTAAAAAAAAGCAAAGCAAAGCAGCCGAACGTAGAAGAAAACCAGCCGCCTGGAGAAAACAGCAAACCAAGCAAAAGTGCCAACCCAAACGTAGATAGAAACGCAAAAAAAGCCAAACCCCCACCCAAAACGCCTCGAACACGCTCGCAAAAAAAAAGCAGAAAAGCAAATTGCCACCCAAAACAACACCTCCTTTCTCCTCCTCCTCCTTCCTTCCCTTCCTTCCCACTACACCCTCCCATCCTTCCGCAGCACATGCTCGCAACGCCAAACATTCAAACCCAAAACCAGGCAAGAACCAAGCAGCAGCAGACTAGTGAAAAAAAAAAACCCCCCCACTACCAAAAAGACCCAATCAACTGAGTCCCCTACCCAAGGGAGAGAAAAAAGGATCAACGCAGCGCACCCAATCCCTCGCTCTTTAGAGAACAATCAGCTGCAGACTGATATCAAGTTCTCTAGAAGTGGGGAATGTCTGCTGTCCTGGTCTCTCGACTTGGGTAGTGAATGGGAGGAGGGGGGGGTTCTGTTTTTCACTAGAGGCGCGGGTATAGATAGAGGAGGATTGAGGTAGGAGGGGAAGAGCGAGAGAGGAAGGGAGGGAGGAGAACTAATAAAGAATATCGTCGTCGGGGCCGGGGGCATGCATGCTAAGGTAGGGGGATTTTAAGTTATGGTCGAGCTGCGATCCACATGCATGCATGCCAAGCTAAGACTCGAGGCGATAGATACGGAAGGGCCCGGCCGGAAATAGGAAAAAGTCGGTGAAATTTGCATGAACTTGGTTCTTTCGGAAGAAGGACTGATGACTATCTTGCAAGGCCTGAAGTTCTTCTACATTGATATCCGCGGATCCTCGTAGCATGCGCTATATAATGACGACGACGACGTCGCGAAGTGATTGGGTGAGTGTGTATATGTCTGCATGCATTTATGTGGCGTGACTATTCTCTCATCTTATCTAGACAACGGGCGGGCATATTGAGGCAAGCAAGGTAGTGATCGGAGAGTCATATGCAGAGTTCCGACTAGGGCGCTACAACTCGTCCCATGTGCATGTGCTTCGCGAAGCTCCTACTCCTCGTCCTCACTCTTCACAGTCCCGGTTTCGGTGTCATCGCCGCTGGCCTCGCCGTTACCCACAATCGGGTTTGGCACATTGACGATGAGCTTCTCGAAAGACTCCTGCTGCCTACGAGGGGGAGAGAGTGAACTGTTAGTTGGTCTTTTCAGTATCGTCCGGTATGGAAACTTACCAGGCGACGTAATCCTTCTCCTCGTCGAAATTCATCGTACAGCCATTCCACTCCCAGCTCTTCTTCGCATGAGCTGGCAGGTCATCTAGGTCTGCTTCCTCGGCAGCCATCATCGCCTTCACCATGTACTTGCCCCAGTTCTTGTACGCACGAGCCTGGGCGTCGCGGTTCTTGTCCTTGGCTGCGAGGGCTCGTGAATCCGCTTCGGTCACCGTGACGGTCTCGTGGCCGTAGTACGCAGCGATCGGGGCCTGGGAAATGGCCGTGCCGGCTCGAAACTGCCCTGTGAAGGGGTTGCCGGATGATCGGATCTGACCCGTACGGATGAGATGATCGACGACAATCCGAACCAGAGACTTGGTGGAGGTCTGCGCATGAGATCAGAAATAAGCATCATTTGTTGGCGGTGCACAACAAACAAACGTGATGAGGCGGCGTGAGGGGGAAGAGATGAGACTTACTGGCAAAGCATCGCTGGCAGCGACCATAGCCTTCATTCTGCGGCCAAGCTGAGCGTGCAGGTCTTCCAAGTGTCCGCTCTTGAACATGCTCATCTTCAGCTCATCATTTTCCACAAGCTTGATGAGAGCCTTCGACACAAGCACACGGTACTGGTCTCCGTCCACCTTCTGCTCCTGGACCAAGCCGGCGGTGCCTGAGGCGCAGAGCAACGTAGTGAGCTCGCCTGCAACGGATTGGACACATGAAGTGACGATGGACTTGCTGCCGAGACTGGTGACAGCTGTGCCGCCAAGCTTGTGCAGGAACAGATCGAGGAAGACAGCCAGGGTAGGAGGTGACTTGGCGGCGTATGCGTTCGTAATGGCGTGGGTAATGATAATCTTCTTGAGTTGCTTGGAGTAGTGGATGGGCTTTCCTGGAGTTCACAGTCAAGATCAGGTGTCGAGCAATTGCATTCATTTGAGAGGCGAAACCACACCATCTTTGAGCTCGGCCGCGGTACGACCAGCAAACACGACGACAAACTCATCTACGTCGGAGCTGGAAGAGGAGTCATCGACAGTGAAGGAAGCGTTGTCTCGCGAAGCTTTGCTGTTGCGTGGCGGCATGATGGCGACGAAGCGTGGTTGTCAGTAGATTGGAGTCAAGCGAGTGCTAGGGAGAAAAGAAGGAAAAGAAAGACTGGGCAACGAAAGGTAGAAAACAGGCAATCAACGGGGCATGGATACTGGCTCAGGTATTTCGCTGCCAGCAGAGTGCAATGCGCTGCACTGCAGCGGCGTGTAGCAAAGCGAGACTAGCAGCAGATTGCCTCGCACGCTGCGATCATGTTGAAACGGAAGTTGTAAGGCGGGTTTGATGAATATCATAACAAGCAAGCAGAAGAAAAGAGTTGAAACATCTTGTGGTTGTGTAATCAAAGAACACAAAGAATCAATCGCTGAATTGAGCAGTGGGCTTCTTTCTTTGACAGTCGCGACCTTTCGCCTACCTTGGCAATGTTCGCACCCGCACCCGCGCCCCCACTCCCGAGCTCCCGCACTTCCATTCCCATCTTCCTCCACGCACAACTCTCATCAATAATCTCCTTCTGGGAAAAGCCTGGCGTGCATCTCTCGCCAACCGTCTACACAGCAAATCAGATCAGTACTCGCTCGCTTGATGCGACGTACAACGCGCCATGAACGCCGGCCGGTGGCGCAACGCTTACCTTGACGACCTCTGTCGTAAACGGCGGACATCACAATGATACACAGTATCAGAGCGACGATGATGGCCCAGATGGGAAGGGCGATAGGCTTGGACATGAAGCTGGCACGCTCCGGGCTGTGCTGCGTGGGCGGCGCTGGAGCTGGTGGGTTTGCTAGTGCTGGTGGTGCTGGTGCTGTTGCTGTTGCGCGCGTCTGGCGACGTGTTTGTGGCATTGTTGCTGGCGATGAAATCTTGATGGTAGCGGTAGTATGAGAATGGTGCTGATAGCAGCATTTGCCTACTTATCTTCCTCCGGCAGCCTTTCGCCAAAGCTGTCTTGCCTGGTCTCGCCGCGTGTGTTGCCTGCCCGCTGCACCTCCGCAACGACATGCATTCCAGTCAGACCCGCGGTGACAACCACCGCTTCCAGCCATGTTGTTGACAAAGCCTTGCATTGTAGACAGACGCGCTTTGTCACAAACAACTGTCCATCGCTCGCTCGCTTCTTCTCCCCCTCCTCTTCCCACGCGTGAACCATCATGAACGTGCTATGTCTGCTTCGCTTCGCGTTCGGCGCCGCATTTGTCCTCTACATTAACCTCCTGCGCCCATTGGACCGCCCCGTCCAACCGATCTGCTACGCCCTTGTGGCATTTGCTCTTCTTCCGGCGGGCTCTTACGATGCGTTGAACGCTCTCCGGATTTCACTGACACATGCGCCGCCGCCGACACCAGAATATTTCGGCTGTGTGACGCCACCATGTACGCCTGCGCAGACGCCGCCGATATCAGAGTCGTTCAACTGTTCGACGCCGCTCAAACACCACGCCATGTCTCTGGTCTCCGCTCTGACAACCGAGTGGACCGACTACAGGGCCGAATGTGAGTTCATCCTCACCGTCCGCGCTGCCTATTATCGATCCCATCCTCCGGTCCCCGATCTCTCCGCATTCTGGTTTTTCAGGCGCGATCAAGTCCCCGAACAGCTGGAATTCATTGACGGCTTCTACGCGAAGGAGCGCGAAAGGTGGTCTGCGGGTGAAGCTCCGTCCTACGAACAAGACGTGAATGCGCATACCGACTGCCTCCGCCCAGGCAGGTGGAAGTGGTGGATCCAGTTCGCGACAGCCCCGACAAGGCTGCTCCACTGCTTGGTCTACCTCATCGGGGGAGAAAGGTGGCACGAGCCGGCATACAGATGGCGGGTCGAGAACGAAATTGCCATGAAACTTTTGTCGGAAAAGTACAGCAAGCTGTCCGAATCGCTGATCCCACAAGACATGCGGGTCCAGTAAGTGTCGTTCATCTCCGAGCAAGCTGCATCCGGCGCCTTCCAAAAACACACTGACAGATGTCGGCTTCCATAGGGAGCAGTATTACGAGGGGCTGGAGTCGCAATACCGAGGTCAGATCCGGAAGGTCGCAACAGAAGGGCGGCAGCGAGCGGGTGGACCGGCTTTTCCTCGCAGGGTCGCCGAACTCCAAACTCGCGCGCTCATCGCACTGGTCTCAATGGCTCACACCGCAGGCATACTCGCATGGTCGCAGGAACGGTACCAAACCGTCTCGACGCTTGCCGAGCGCATATCGACTGTGTCTATAATGCAACCCCTCCAATTCCGGACCCCGCCTACTTTCGATCAGCTGCACAACTTGTCGACGACGATTGCCCGTCTGGACGTCGAGGTGGAGGATGTTCTACGAGAGCCAGCGAACCCAATGGGAACATCGGTCTACATCGATGGCGCCACGGCTTGGATGCAAGATTACTTTGCCGAATTGGAGTCAAGGCGACATCCTCCCTTCAGCGCTGTCCCACCGCTGGCATGTTGGGGCAATAAGTATCCGTTTGAGGAATACTTCCACAACGATCCAGATTTGGCTGCCATTGGTGGCAGCAAGAGCAGCAGGAAGCGAAAAGAACCATGGAGATGGATTTTTGAGGCGGTGTGTGATTGGACTGGAAAGTGGTGTGATGCTGACTGAATTTCAAACCGCGATCTAATCCAGTACGTAGTGCTACCAAATGATTCCATCTCTCTTCGCAACCTCAATCCTTCGCCACGAGCCTATTGGGAGTCGGGAGGAGGTAGACTTGTCACATTTCTCGGAAATGGTTGCTTTGAATTCTTCATTAACGCTGAAATGTACTGACTGACAATCGTCTGGTAGGATATCTACTGGAAATAGATCGTCCTCTCACGCTGGTGGCATCACGAAGTTCCCGTCTCCTTGGCACCGAAGCGAAGTCCCTTGAGGTTCTGAGTGAGGTCCCGAACGAGCTCCTGCGATGAGGGCATTCCCGCAATCCTGCCTCCCGACTTCTTGTCCTCCTTCTTCTTCTTTGGGGCCGAGGAAGAGGGAGCAGGAGAAGAACGGGAGGAGAGCAGGCTGGCTCGAGGTGACTTGGCAGTATGGCTGTTGCCTGGCTTCCCGCGCTTGCTGTGCTTGTCCTGCGTCTCTTGGTGCTTCTGGGTTTCCTCCTCCTCCTGCCACTCTTGCATTGCTTTGCTCTCCGCTTGTCTCTCCCGCTCCAAGGCCTGGTCCTCGTCATCCTGCCGCTCTTGCATTGCTTTGCTCCCCGCTTGTCTCCCCAGCTCCAAGGCCTGGTCCTCGTCATCCAGCGCACTGGCTTGCTCCAGCTTCGCCAGGAGCTCACGATTATTCTTCTTCTCCTGCATTTCGTGCTGCGTCACATGTCCACCCCGTGGCTGTGGCTGTGTCACGCGCTGGAGCTCCAGTGTCTCGACGGCGTGAATCACTGAGATGTGGGAGGTAAGTATCCATCCAGATGAAAACGAGCTTGGCATGACTTACGTGACAGGTCAGGCTGCCCGTGATTGGAAGGAAACGATCCAGGAAGCACACCTCCAGGATCACCGCCTCGAGAGTCAGGAGCGGTGTCAAGACCTGCTGCAGTGGAGATTAGACAATTCCCAGGCGAAATACGACTCAGAGTAGGGTATGATGATACTTACGATCAGACCCGCCTTCGAAATCCATCAAATCGACAGAAGCGGACGAGGGAACCCTAGGGCCATCGGCGGAAACTTGTGCAGCTGCATCAGCACAGGTGATCGTCAGTTCCAAACTTCCCATCATTGTCGGAGAAGCATAGGAAGGATGAGGCGTAGCACATACCGTTGCTCGTCGAGACCTGTGTCGTGCCACCCATGGCAGAAGAGCCAGAGATGGTCATTCGCTGCTTGGGGCCTGCAAGTGTTGTCGTCAGTATAACAGATGTCCCGGCTATTCGTGCCATATCCAGATGTAGCCTTACGTTTGCCCAAGGCTGGCTTCAAGTCCATTGGATCCCAGTACTTCAAGCTCTCTTTAGTATGGTACCCCTTATCAAAGTCCTCCTCCCACTTCTGCCCGTACTTCTCCAACGCATTGCTCAGCGCACTCTTGCGCTGTTCGAATTCTTGAGTCGTGAGCACTACCTTGGAAGGATAGACCTCCGCAATCACCTCAGCCATAACGGCGTCGTCTGCATGGCACACTTCTTTGACAGGGACTCCATGGTCGCGGCACCAGACAACGAGACGGGCCTTCTGCCAGTTCCAGTGGTAAGGGGATCGTTTTTCGCTTGCCACTTCGCGGATTGTGCGCTTGTTGTCATCAAAGCTCGTCGGCCCTGCGGTCTGGGAGACACGAAATGATCAGAATCAGCATACATGTCATTATTTCTCCGCAACTGTAAGCGAGGCGGGAGGATCGCCTACCTTTTCAACTTCGAGGTATCCAGCCTTTTCAGCGAAGGCCATGGCCTCCTCCTGGGTGAAGGCCATGGTAAAGCGTGGGCCAGAGAGATGGTTGGCGATGGTGTGAAGAAAGGGAGGTGTGCGAGAACGCGTGAGCGGAAATCGGTTGGGAAAGAAAACGAACGTGCGTGTCACCACAAGAAGTCGTCTCCGCCCGCTTCTGTCGTGGTGATCTCATGTATGCAAGTATCCGCCGCTCGGAGGGGCACGCAAGAGACGCCGAAATGAAGGGTGAAGTAGGATGGCAAGGAAATGGGGAGGTCAAACGGAATGGTATGATTCTGAGGCCTCCAAGCTTTCTATGCCGCAGTATGAATCAGAGGCGTGTGGATAGCCAGCCATAGCTCCTGATATCCTGACTCCTATTTTCTGATCCCCATCTCGACGATCGGTTCGGATGCCATTCCATATTTTGCAGCGCAATGAGGGTGAAGTGGGATGGCAAGAAAATAGAGAGGTCAAACGGAATGGTATGATTCTGAGACCTCCAGGCTTTCTATGCCGCAGAATCAGAGGCGTGTGGACAGCCAGCCACAGCTCCTGATATCCTGTCTCCTATTTTCTCGTCCCCATCTCGACGATTGGTCCGAATGCCATTCCATCTTTTGCAGCTACCGTAGAGCGAATGAAGCGACCTTCTTAGAATCTCCGCTGCTCGAAGTCCCAGCTCACCAGTAGCCCGCATAGGAAGGCGACATTCAGGCGCGCCGAGCATCTTTACGCCTTCGCTCTTCGGTGCACTCGGCGTCGGTCATGCCTCGCTTCCTCTTCTTGCTGGGCATAGGGACAGCCGTGCCGAACACGTGCTGGCTGGTGCCTGTGGCAGCCGAGGCAGCACGGCGCATCGAAGAGCGAGTTACTGCATCGTCACCAGCGCGGCTGCTCTGGTCACCTTCCTCCTCGCTGCAATTGGTGCACTCATCCTCATCCTCGTCCTCATCCTCCTCTTCACCGTCTGACTGCACTTGGTCGTCTTCATCTGCCGAACTGCCCTCAGTTGAGACGTCGTCTCGGGTGCTCTTCAGCTTGGCCTTGGCCGTCCTGCTACGCCTAGGGATGGCCTTGCGCGTCTTGGTGAGCCGCGCCTTGCCACTACCGACCTTGACGTTGCTATTCTTAACCAACGACTCGAGAGCTCCGACGACCTCCAACGCGGCCTTTCTCTTTGCAGCGCCGCGATTTCGGTCCTTAGCACCCTTCTTTAGAGCTGAGTTGACGCGGGCGGAGAGGTACGGGTCGGAAGTGATAAGCTTCATAGTCGTAGGGTCTAAGGAAAGGCGTGCAGAGAAGATGGTCTCGGAGGTGATAGTAAAGTGCGCTGGAGCATGGCCAAGGCTTTGGAGCAGCGAGTTGAGTCGGGAGAGCGTGTCCATAGTCGGTCATATGCGATTGTGTAGTTGGCAAGATGGCAGGCGAGTGCAGGGAGCAGTAGCAGTGGTCATAGTAATGGGTAGCTTGGAAGGCAGGAGAGATTGCTCATGCTGCATCGGTCGGAGGCCCGCCAGACAGCCAGGCTTGAGGTGTCGGGCCCGCCAGTCTGCAAGGCCAGCGGTGTGCGGCGGAGATGCGACATAGCGCCGATGGGGATGGATGTTTGACTTGCGCGACTGCTGAAGTTGCTCGATACACTCTCCTTCTTCAAGGCAAGTGGAAGTGTCCTCGCACTTGCGGAGAATCGAAGCTTCAGAATTAAACACGGAAATGGCAACCGGGGCTGGACCGATCCGCGAAAGCCACACCTGGCACCGTGACGGGCGCGAGCACACCTGGTGCCGTACCGTGTCGAGGGAGAACCAGGCCAACCTAAACACTTCTCCAGCTCACACCATCCACCACGAGGAAATCCGCCATGACATCCATGACCCCGCCCAGAGCCAGCATCACATCCAGACCAAGTCGCAAAAGGTCGCCGTCAAGCACGATGGCTTGACTGTGCACATCCAGTGGCACACCGAGTTTGAGGTAGGTCTCACTGTCGCCCGTCGCCAGTTCTTCATCACATACTGCACATGCCCCTAACATAGCCTCTCATCAGCGTGCTCTGCGATCCAACCCCGCCGACGGCGAGAATGGCAATGGCACCACCATTGTGGCCCAGGAGCAGTGGGAGAGCGAGTTCACTCTGGACCTGCGCCCGCTCTTGAATGGTTCTGGTGCGCCCATCGAGTCTTTCCCGGCGCCGCATCAACCACCCGTCAATGTCCAGCCGCCGCCAGGACCACTACAATCGTCGACAGCGCAACCACCCATTCAACTAAGGCTCACTGCTCCCGAGCCGTGCTCTCGCAGGCCAGCCAAGAAGGCCAGCCAGCCAATATTCAGCGTCGAAGAACTCTCATCCGACCAAGAATCAGTCACCGGCGATCATAACGAAGACTCGGAAGACGAAGACGAAGACACACTCTTCGTTTCTCAGCGCAAGACTGTGACTGCTTCTGGCAGCAGCCGTCGTCGCAAGCCAACGTCAGACTCTGAGGATGAAGACGAAGACGCTCTCTTCGCTTCTCAGCGCAAGAATCCTGCTGCTGGCAGCCGTCGTCACAAATCAGCGTCCTCTACGAAGCCATCACGCCGGCCCAGGCCTTCAGTCGTTGATCTGACTCGCAATGATCCTGCCCGCGAAGTTCATACGCTCAACCAACGCATCCAATTACTGGAACGGCAACTTTCGGAGAAGAGCAAGAGCAAGGCACACGAAGGCCAGGATGGTGGTCGTGAGAAGAGGCGCAAGAGAGGTGGAGCGAGCGAAAGACGTCGAAAGGCTACTACATGGGCATCCGAGGACGAGTGAAGGAATTGGAAGACAACAGAGGAGCCTGACGACTGGTACAGGCTGCGGAAGGAGTGCAGCGGAGGGAGCTCGAAGCAAGTCTGGGTCACATTGCGGTCCACGTTACTACGCAGGACGTCTGCAGTGCTTTTCTTCACCTCCACACGCATAGTTCAGCATGCGAATCCTGACGAGCATTCCGTTTTGATGTAGGCCAGCGTCACTTTTGGCAATCATTTTTTGGGTACTTTCCCAATCCCAAGCAGATCCGTGGATGCAATCAACTCCGAATGAAAACTTTGAGCATCCGCTTCGCGATTCTGAATAGCCAGTACCCTTATGCTCATGCATTCACACTATTTTCCACCAAAATATCACATTAAGCACGATTTCCAACCAACTCGATACTGCGAATTGGTACTTCGAAAATTTGGAGAGGGCTTGCGGGCATTTGGAGCTCACCCAAACAAAAGTTGCACCAGTGACTACTTCATATTGGATGCTGACACTCCCTCGTGAAGTTCCAGAGACCACACATGGGAACCCGAGCGCTTCTGCAAGAGTGCTTGGACCTAGCCTACGCCTCGGGAGCTCCTGGCGCTTCCTGGAGAATTTGAAGCTCCGCGCACAAGCACAAGTCGAACTCGATCATCTCGCTCTGCGAATCATTCTCCAGATCCTCGATACTTGCGTTGTCTAGGAACAGATTGGCCGAGTCGATGGATATGGAAGAGGTATAGTGGGTTGCTGGGAGGGCCACTATTGGTGATCAAGGCATCGAAGACCGGGACATCTTCTAGTTGTCTGTCGATCCCGCCATTCTTATGCGACGGCGAGGCGGGCTCGACTGCAGCAGAACCAAACTTGTGGACTTGGAGGTCGTCTCTAGAACGAGCTGCAGCCGCGCTATCCATGGCGTTCGTGCCGGCGACAACCGACTCGACATAGTGGTTGCGATGGTACCTGGTTTTCTTGATCGGCGGCACACTATCGCTGTCCTGGAGTTCTCGCTTTCGTGTCTTGGGCCCATCTGCTATATCCCACATGGCAGTACTGGCGATTTCGGGCTACAGCCACTCCTCCAAGTTGCGCACAGGGTCGGTGATAAGGCGTTTCAACTGGCACGCTCTGGGACGATGCTGTCGCTCTTAGAAGTGGTTTCTGGAGGGCTCGAGGAGGAAGTTTCATTTACGAAAGATGCGGAATAGGACCATGCGAAGGCGCGTGATTCAGCAGCCGATGCTTCAAAGCACGCGAGTTCATAGGAAGAGGAGGAGGATGGGCAAACAGCGGTGGAATCGGACTCGTTGAGGAGCATAGTCGGGCTGATCAACTCACCGCAGTCGGGGGGGGGAGTGGGAGCAGGAGAGTGCTTGAGTCCATGAGCATGATCACATTCACGCAGATAGAAAGGACGAAAAGCAGATACATGGCCGCATCGTATCGCCCAAGTCGACCACAAGCGTGCAGGGAGCAGTCATTTACGGCTAAGGCAGTCCCATCAACCTTTTTATACTTGTTACCAAGTCCCAAGTCCCAGAGGTGACGGCCAAGGCGGTCCCATCAACCCGCTCGTCGACCGCAGGTAAAATGTCTAGAGATGTGTCGGAGGACAGAGGAGCGTTTACGATCTGAGGGAGGAGGGGGCGGCGCCTAGACCAGAGGGCGAGGCGGTTGGTCGAGGTACTCGTGCACTCCGCCAGTGCTGGACTCATTGATTGTCGGTTGTCGCTTGAGCTGCTTGCTCTTCTGGTGCTGGGTTGAGTCGCCGTGGCTTCACGCTCGGTTCCAATACGTGCGTGCAAGTCATCTTGTGTTGGCGCGTTAAAGCAGTGCCCTCTGGAGGCGACAAGGCGCGGTCAGAGGTATCGTTCAAAATGGAATACTTCTTGCTCCGAAGCGCAACCTTGAAGGTTTCAAGGTTGAGAGAGCCTACCTAAGAATTTTCAACGAAACTGCAAATCAATTCTCAATCAAAGCGGAAAAGCGCGGAACGCCAAGCATACAATACATGACTTGAGCCCCTCTTTCGTACCAGTTCCAAAAATTTAGACTACATTTGACGTTAGCGCCGATTGCCTTGACTCCTCCTGCCTTTTCGCTTGACTATGTTTCCCGAGCTGGGAGCGTAGGATTCAAAGGCCACGACTTCTACCCAGAAGAATCGCAGACACCCAGTCACTGGATCAGAACGATCGCTGCAATGGCATCCGAAGAAGGTATCACCTTCGCACTCGCGCCAACTTGAGCAGGCGTCTCGCTGTCCTATAGGTGTGCCGAGGAGATGAGGTCGCCGTATCTCTTTGCATTGGGAGCATTCAGATTATTGAGAGAGTTCGGTTGCTTACTGTAGGGCGCTCCAGCTGCATGCCATACCGACCGGCGTCTGCCTTACCTTACATCCTCAACCACCGCTCCCAACTACACGAAGATACACAAACGCGAAAGCGCAAGCGCGACACGATGGAGAAGAGTGGAGCACCATGTTGAACACAGAACGAGCATGAAATTGCGAAGAAAGGCTACGAGATGGACACAGAATCGGCATGATTTGCCAAACGATCACGACACGAGACGATACAGAACGAGCAGGAAATTGTAAGCAATCTGTCTTTCCCGAGCGGGGGACGCTATGTGGCAATGAAGGCAGATGCGCGCTGCGGGACATTGTACGGAGGGAGGATTAGGGACAAGTTGTGCAAGGCCGCACAGATCTTCGGAGAATGTTAACTATGTCGATCGAGGTACATAATTAGCTTAGGCAAACAATGAACTATCTTGTGTCAATAGCCACCGCTACCGCAGTACCTAACAACTTCAATGGGGTCGGAAGACATCTCGGCCAGGCACTCTGCCTCCCCAATCCGACTCGGCACTCTAGCGAGTATCTCACGCCTTGATTTAAAGAAGAAAAGCAAGCCCCAGTGAGTATGTCGGACACAATGTGCTTCCGTTGCCAACAGCCAGCCTATGGACCATCTTGCATATCAAATCGGATGTCAATCACAACTTGGGATTAGAAGACTACTCCTCAATCCGACTCCGCAGTCCAGGCCTTGATCTAAAGAAGACAAGCAAGCGGGAGTGAATGAGTGTATTAGACACTCCCGCCGCCGACAGCCAGGCCGTCCCAACACTCACCCAGCACTTCGGGAGAAGGTCTCCATAGCGCAGCACTCGCAAACCACGCACTTCCTGACCTCGTAGAAAGAACGAGGCTCTCTCTCTCTCTCTCATTGAGTCACGCACGTCTTGACCTTCTCATGAAGACCGACAATCGAAACTCGTAGGCTGCAACGACAACTTCACTCACTCTCACGCCTTCAAAGCTTGCAGCCCGCCCGCCTATGATACAAAATCCCCCGCTTTGCCTCGCCGTCATAGTATCTGAGTCCTCCAAAACTGAATGACTGATTCTGAAAGCCACGTAGTTGTAAGTGCTGTGAGCCTGATTCACTACGCTGCTGTTGCTCTTTCGCGCGAACCAACGAGAACTGCCTCCTCTCTCGACAGTCTCAAACTACTCGCAATCGCCTTCCTTGATTTCACTTTGCATTATTGGCTCTGCCACTGGTTGCCAGATACCTATTGGAGCTGAGAACGGCGGTCCAATAGGAAATGGGAGTGTAGCCACATATCATGAGGTTTGCCGCTCGGAGGCATTGACTGGATTTCGATGTAGATACATACATACACCTATCTGGCTTCTGGCAGCCCCAAGATGGGATCAATGATCTCCCGCTGAAACCATGGAAGATAGGTCTCGGCCGCCCACTGCATCAAAACTTGCAAGGCAGTATGAATCTGATAAGCGCCGAGGAGAGACTCCGTCGATCCAAATTGACCACAGTGCCAAAGCGTCTGCAAGCCATCAGTCAGCAAAATGAAGTGCATCGACAAGCAGGATAGAACGTACCGCCTTACTTCCATAGTCCTCCAGGTAGTAAAATGACCAGTCGTGCCCGAGAACCATGACCAATGGCAGTGGTGGGATGGAAGCTTCTGGTTTGCCTGCGGCACGAAGCAATGTGCGCAACTGATGCACTTGGGCTGTGCACCATGTTGTAAGCTGGACTTGGGCGTCTGCACCAGCCTCAAGATTGGTTTTGGTCTCGATGCTGACGGCAATGGGATTGTACCGAACGGGTCCGTAATCAGTTTGATTCAGCTGTCGATGACCCATCTGAAACAACCTCTGGCCGATGCTGTCTTCCAACTCGAGACAAATACAAAAGTCGACCTTTTTAGAGTCTGCTCTTTCGCGCTCGTCTTGCTCGGGGATCAGTGTGGTCGGAGAGATGCCAGCTGTAGTTCTGCAGTGGAGGTCAGCCTGGCTGAAGCCATAATCAATGGCTATAAGGCTGATGAATAGGATCGGGCATGATGAGTGGGAATGGGCGTAGTCAGTGACGATGGGAGGAGTCAGTAGGAATGGGAACAATCAATGGGAATAGGCAGGATCAATGGGAATAGCCAAGATCGGTGGGAATGGCTATGATCGATGGGAATGGCCATGGTGGGGATGGCCGTGATGGGAATAGCCTGGCCATGATCAATGGTGGTAATGGCCATGATCAGTGGGAATGGCCATGATCAGTGGGAACCGGCAGGGGGATAGTGACCTACATTGTTTCCCATCTCAGCCTCTCTCTCCAAGCCGATCGTTTTTGCGCTTTCTTCAAAAGTATGCCGTGTACGCTAACATTCCATGCCGCTTCCGATGCGCCAAGTCTGCTGTTGCGGTTTGCTTGATGAACTAGCGTCTCCATCGCTTCCAATCCCGGAGACGTACCAAGCCGGTCTCTCCATTCACCGCCCAAAAAGATGTCATCGTCGACGGCATCATCTCCCTCACCAACCCTCGTTTTCCATTCCGGCAATGCATATCGACTGGAGAGCACTCCCCTTTTGGTTCCAATGCGCCGAACAGCCTGAATTACGTCGCGAATTCCGGCGTTCACTTGGCCCAGAGGTTGCACTGGGGAGCGTGTCACAGGATACGACGCGTATTGCCTCTCTTCCATCGCCTTGGAGGGACTTCCTCCACGCTTCCGTTTGCTTCCGCTTGCCGTGCTGCCGCTTACGATGCTCGAGTGTGAGCGCGATGATCGCGGAGATGACGATGTGCTCGCAGGCTGGGCGGCCGCTGGTAAAAAGGGCACGCTGCTGAGTGGGTGAGGGACCGCTCTCGGCGTCGCATCTTCGCTGTGAGTCTGGTCGTCCAGGCGCCTTGACTTTGGTGGTGGTGTTGTTCGTTGTTGTTGCACATTGCCGCTCATCTCGGAGAGTACTCGTTTTCGCCCGCGCTTGGGGTGGTGGATAGGAGAGTCAGTGTAGTCTTGATACAAGCCGCGAAGGTCAGAAGTCTGATCCCGCCACGCACGAATGCTGTCGCAAGTCCACATGGGCGTTGTCGCGTAGCGATGCCGTACACTCAGACTCAAGACTGTGTTGGAACTTCTTGAGATGGTTCGAGTCGCGTCGCGCGGAGCAACCTCGGAAGGAGGGACTTTGTGGGGAAGCGAAGTGCGGGAAGTGCAGGAAGCGCGGCGGCGTCTGCGTCTCCGTCTCCGTCTCCCTATCCAATTGATCATGAAGTATCGAATTCGCCGCACGCAGCGATGTTGACCTTGACACAATATTTGCACGAGCATGGGCGGCGAGAGGCTCTACTGGAGGTGGTATCGACTTGGATCCGTACTGCGACGACGCTCAAGTGACAGCTCGTGAAGCGTCGGAGAGATCGCGCTCTCCCGCCTCGATCAAGCTGCCCGATTCACACGAGGAGCAGCAGAATCCGGAGCAGTTGAAGCAGGAAATCAGGTCATTCTCTCTCCTGGTCGATATGAATTTGCTCGTCATTGTTGCCTACGACGAAAGCGTAACACAAACATTTACCGCCGGGTCCCGAGCCCTCCCTTCGGCTGCGGAACAGCGCCATCAAGTAGCAGCTCTTGATCCAGCGAAGACAGTCCTCAAGACAACCAAGAGGCGGGACAAAGCTGTCACTGAATCTCCGGGTATTGTGATGAAACATCGCCGATTCAACAGGCCTAACGACTTGAGTAGCGTAACAACTCCCGAGCAGAATGTAGCTCCTGGTAAAATGGCAATAGGTCCAAGTTGAGGTCAGGAATTTTTCGTGAGACAACAAAATGAGAGGCCGGAGGAATTCATCTCTGGCCAAAAACGACGACTCATCGCTGATGATAGAAATGCCGTGGCCTGACCACTGCTGGTCCATGCGTGGGTAGGTGATGTAGAATTGCCATGGGATAGACAGGCCTGTCTCCATCAAGACTTGTCCGGGTCGCAAACCAATGGAGTCAATGAGATGCAAACTGGCCTCCTGAGGTTCACCCACGACGGCAAGCTCCGAGTCTATGATTTTCGACAAAGCAGAGATGCCGGTGATTTCTACATGTGGTGAAAAGCAATGCCCATCCTCGGGGCAGTTCTCAGCCGCGATGCGCAAGCCAGAGTTCAGCATGGTTTGGGCGACGCAACATCAGCATTAAGGTCGTGGTCTGGGTAGACGGGAGGGGTGTGGACCCGTTGTGAAGCTAATACTCTGCCTTGCATCACTCCGGCAGCGATCAGACCGTGCTTTCGGCGGAGAGTAGAATCATCTTCGCTTCGGAGTCCTTCATGAGCAGGATAACGAGAGGAGTTTGGCATCTCCGCCATCGATCATGACATACTGGTCTGTTCCAGGCCCAGGAGTAAACACACTGAGGGCTTCGGTGCGCATCGGGACACCAGACTCTGACAGTTGTGCCATGTCGGTTTTGTGCGCCAACGGCATTTGTTGAGGGAAGCACTGAGAATTGTGAAGTCACACAATGCATGCGGCGGGCTTTCACTCCGGTTTGGGGCCAGCAAAGGCAGAGCCATAGCAAACCCAGCCTTTTGCCACTGGTATTGTTCTGGGGTCCCGAGAAGCCATCCTGCGGACTCCAATTTCTGCAAGAGCTCCTCGGGTTTGGACAAGCGTTGACGGATTTTGGATAGTACCAAGCTCTAAGCCGGAAATGAGTGGCTTCCAGGAGATAGTAGCAGCAAACATATTGGCAACAGCAGAGACTCTCCGTACACCTCGAAGTGAGCCTCCGTCGGCGGCGTGAAGACGAGGCCGCAAAATCGCGGCCACTAGTCTTAAAATTGGCCCTTGACTCAGCACGGTACCACAGGGCATTTCGTGATGTTTGCCCATGTGCATAGAGATGATGATGAGTCGGAAGCAGGCATCAGGCGTGGTAGAATGAATACGATCGCGAGACTCTCCTGATATGCTTAGCAGCGCCGAAAGGAAAGCGCTGTGACATCCGCCGCTGCATACTGCGAGACGTGATCGGTGGGTACAGACTGGAGCTTTTCAAGAGGAAGACATGGCCGTATTCGGATTTGAGATATTCTAACGCGCAGGCCTTCGGTTTCCGTGATGACTTCGAGAGCCTGTCTTTTTGGGACTTCAACAGCGAGAGAAAGGTGCTGTGGATGCCTCAGGTTCTGCCAAGAACCGGCTATGACGCTGGCGCAGGACGAGTTCGCATCTCCGAGCGGAGTATGGATGTATCTTACGAGTTTTCATCGATGTAAGGCGCAAGGCTGAAGACCGTGCATGATGATCTCGAAGCCACAGCGTATCAAGCTGACTGGGTGCTTCCTCGTCAGTCCGGTCATATGTGTACTGTTTCCCACCGACTCGAGGCTCTGCCCAGCACCCACACCACCGACACGCCAGGCCGTACAGGCTTCTTCACCAGCCATGATGTTGCTCACCCACGATTTCCCACAGTTCCATCGCTCCGGCGGCAAGTCTACAATCACATACTGTATGATACCCATCCGCGCAGGCGCTTCGGAGAGGAGCCAGAGACACGGCGCAGGTTGACTTGTGATGTCGAAATGGCGCAGAAAGAGCCGAGTGTGGTACAGCCTCAATGGCACAATTGATGCCAGCGACCTGCGTAAACAAACCCTCTTGCGCAGATTCGCACTCCAATACCTGGATGGCACAGTCCCACTCGACGCAGTCTCCGTCAACCAACGAGATCATGGTGCAGCCATCGGACCGCCATGCCTCGACCTCGTTCCGCAACAAGGTATGCTCTCTGCATCAAGGTACGCCTCCGCATCAAGGAACATCCTCCGCACCCAGAAACTACTTGCTCGAGCAAAATTTCGCACGTTTCACCCACGGTCTGCACATGTGTCGGATGGCATGCTCTTCGGGTCCTGAGAGTTCTGCAGAAGATGCGTTTGCTGCTCAACGCCTTCTCCAACGCCGAGATCTCTGTAGTGGAGCTGCCGAGAGTGACGCTTTTCGGTCAATTGTCTCCCTGCTCTGAAGAGACCAAATCCTCCATTTGCTCTGCGTCGGGCCTGGCCTGGACTCTTGCATGACAGGTTGGCCTTAACGGTAAGTCGCAAGCATGACTTCGGGCGCGCTGACAAGCCATGTCGCGTAGACCGCTCTGTGAGAAGTCACCTTTCAATTCAATTCACCCGGTACAGAGAGGCCCCAAGACATTCTTCTCAGACTCGCCCGATCTCGGCTGATGAATGCCCGATACAGCCTTCAGGGTACATATTCCAAGACGCGAGGAGATCTGCCAGCGCGATTTGGATGTGTGGCTGCGCTATGTCGGCGGCCACTGCTCAGTGAGAAGGCTTCTTCTTCCAGAGCGCTCACGAGCCTGAATGGCTTGCGATCTATGACTCGAGGCATCTGTGCGTATGGAGAAACAGTGGGAACTCCTTCATGGCGGACATTGCCATGCCACCTCACTCACTGTGCCTGAAGAAGCTTCAGTGCTGAGCGCAATAATGGATCGATCTGGATCGCCTACTCCTTGGCCGGTGAACAGGAACGCCATTGGCACTAGTCTGGTAGATTTGCTCCCAACATTCTAGGGTTGCGGTAGCGGCATGGCTTTTGCGTGGCTTTGCATGATCGAGAATGCTCTGTCTCAAGGCAAGATCGTCGCAAGTCGCATGCTCTTGAAGCGATGTCTTGTCGTTGGTGGAGAAGCACAACAGGTCGGACTTTTCGGGTGAAGCATTTTCGCCGAGGCTACATGCAACCTTCGTCCTCGCGTGATGGTGCCCAGGGAACATCGGTACCACAGCTTCGATCACCACATGGCCATTTGTACCTCCATAGCCGAACGACGAAACACTGGCTCTTGCCATGACCGACTCTTTGGGCCAGGGAGCAGTATTTGCATGTACACGGACGTCCCATTCTTGCCGAAGAACTCGAGAAACGCCACTCGAGAGATGACTGCGACTTCTTTCATCAAGGAAGACTTTGTCAACGTAACAATGGCTGACTGAGTCCGTGTATCAGCGTTTTTTAGCTTTTCTGCCATGGCATACACCTACCGCAGCTTCGCCGTGTGCCTCCCATGTTTGGGTTGAAAACGCACAATACGTTTCTGTCTACCATTTCAGCTGGGATTGGTAATTCCCAGCCTGGCGACTTTGCCATTACCACGAGGCGTACGAATCTCGACTTGCTTACTGAAGTAGCCGCAACTTCCCTGTTCACAGCAGTAGAGTCTGGATCTCCATTGCGTACAGCTTCACATGGAAAGCACCGGCACCTTCGGCTCTCCCATGACCATCTTCGGGCGTCAGATATGTGACAGGTCGATGTCGGAGATAAGATGCCACGTTTTGCTGTATTCATATACTGATTGACGATCATGATCAGAGTGACGCCTCCGACGATGGCTGCCCGCAAACACGACTGCGAAGGGCATGACAGCCGATATGAAGAGGACAGATGGAAGGAGAGCCTGCCGTGTTGATGGTGAACTGATGGTGTCAGTGAGGTCTCATCACGTCAAATCTAATCGTCACGTACCTTGGACCCTTTGAATCGAAAACGACGCCTTCTGATGTACGCCAGTTGCTGCATGATTGTGTCGAAAGTCGGGGTCTCGAATGGACATTTGCTCTGCTGATTCTGGTCAGGACTGGCTTGATGAGCCTCGATCGGGGGTCATGCTGAAGAAGCTTGGGTCGAACCGAGGAAGTAGCCACCGGCGAGCCTGAGCTGGCCTGGTCGCTCAAGCACCTCGTGCGGGTGAGCGTCGATGTTGAATTTTGAGGCTGCGACTCTCGGCGGCTGGCCTGCTCGTTTCTCGACTGGCATCTGCCAGAACGACGAAGGAGAGCCAATGCCGCTAGGAAGCTGACAATCTTGAGGAGAATGAGCGTTGTGCTCAGACTCATATTTTGAGACAAAGCTCACGAACCCATTCCGCAGGCCGCGATCACCTCCAGAGTTGTCGACTCCGCCACCATATCGCGGACTGCCGATGATGTGGATATCGCTCGCTGTGCTGTGTATACAGAGAAGCTTGTTGCGTGATTCGATTCGATCTCTACTCCCACCCTTGCTGTTTGAGCGCAAGTCGATCGTGTGTGTAAGCGCTGTCCGAACTTGCAGTCAACCAAGACACGACCCGACTCTTTGGCACCCATCCACACTCCCTGTCTTTCATGTGTCTTTGCAGTTGCGATCCCGAGATCCGAAAAGCCCAATGTTCGATACAAAAAAGTCGCAAAGTGCAGATGGAAGCCACGAAGTCACAGGGTGAAAGAGCGTGAGGAGAAAGTAGGCAGGCGTGTTTGAAGAATTGAATACAGGTTGAACTCGTCCTGGTCAGAGGCCAGCATCCTATGGGAAAGATCTGCGGCAGCCGGCGATAGATTCATCATTCCAAATCAGGGCCTTTGGTGCATACATACCACGGCGGTTCTGAATTCGATCGGCTGCTTATCGGATTCCTGTTGCGACTTCAATGCATGTCACACTCGGCCTTGAGAGGCAGCGGAGCAAACTTGGGTGTCTCGGTTTTCGAAGGATTTTATGCAAAACACTTGTGCACTTTGCCTTGAAAACAAGCCCTATATCCTTTCAGGCGCTGGCAAGCTATTCTCGTGCCTTCCGCTGGAGGTTTTAGTAAAGATAGAAACGGAGTCGGGTCATGGCTGCTACACGCCATTTCGTATCTTTGGCAGCACTGGGGCCGTTCTTGCTCTGGGGAGTTGGCACTATCAATGGAACGGTGCAGGCACTCATTTCTGTAGTATCTCTCGGCGATACTGCCCTTCTGGTTGCCTTCTGCTACCTTGATACGAGCAGGGATACCAGTGTACTTCTCCTCAACGTATACGCAGCTCTTCAACCAGCATACTTCTGGTGCGATAGAAAAAGACTATGGGTGGTCAAAATTCTTCCTGGCTGCAGAGGTGAGCTACCCTTATCAAATCTCACATGTTTGCGCTCCAACTACGACAACGCCGGTCCTCTTGGGAGTCCTCGGGCAAGCCTTTGGTGCCGGAATTCAAACTGGATCTAGGGACTTCAAGTTCTCCGAGTTGGAAACAGCAACACATGTGCTCGGGCTTTACCTCTTTGAATACATTTTCGAGGTTATTATGCCGACCATTGTGGGAATAAGCCTTGAGAATGAATCGGACGATCTACGCTAGTCTTCAAACATTGCTTCTTGGGCCACAGTTCAGAACCTTTAAAGCCTATATGTGATTCTACTGCTACTCACGAGTAGGTCAGGGTTGTCACTATGACGTGATTTGAGATCCTGGACAAAGCGGTACAGAAAAGTGCGGTACAGAAATTGCGGTATAGAAAAGTGCGGTACAGAAAAATGCGGTATAGAAAGGTGCGATATAGAAAGTGCGGTATAGAACATATCCTTCCTCCCTCCGGACCCTAGACTTCTGTCCGGCTTATAAGCGATATAAGACAGACTAGTGTTAATAAAGTATAGCTACGCCTATAGACAGCACGCGCTACGCTAAGTAGATACAATATATAAGAGTCTCTTAAGCCTTTTACTATCGCGAGTATATACTATAGTCTCTACTAGCGCTAATCTTAGGATTTAGATACTTACTTACTTACTCGACTAGTAGCTAGACCTTCGTCTATAATATAGGCTTAGAATATAGTATTTTCGCGCCGCGGATGTTTTATAAGCCCTACTTAATCCCTTTACGGCTCTCGTACGCGGTATTAGGGCTACTATAATAATATAATATATTAAGGCTTTTAAATAACTTTTATAAAAGCCTTATACGGAATATAGCGAGCTAAACGAGACTTTTTAGTAGGTAACGCTATAGCCTATAATAGCGATTGTTTTAGTAGATTTTAGAAACTATTCGCTAGAGTAAGGGAGGTAGTTACGGTAGTAGTAATAGGATTAGGAGGAGAAAGTTAATAGCTATTTATTACGTTATACTACTAGCAAACAAGGTAGGGATAGTGTCTAGAGGTACTATCTTTAAGTAAATATCTTTTACTACCGGATCTATAAAGTCGTCCTTACTATTTAAAAATTTCTTATAAGTAAAGGATATATTGCCCGTATTTAAGTTCTCGAAGTTATATAAGCAAGTAGTAATAGACTCTATATTTATAGAACTAGGCGGATATCCTATACTTATAGTAGGAGTTAGTAGATAGGGACCTTTAAAGGAACTAATAGCTCTAGGTCTAAATCGTCTTAAATTAAGTAGATAGATTTAGATTTAGATTTAGCTTAAGAAGGCTAAGCCCTTAAAGTACCTACTAGCTTTAAAAATAATCGGTATAGGTAGTAATTATAACCGAATAGGACGTTTATAGGTACTCTAATTAATATAGCGAGGAAACGCTAGTAGGAGGTTAGGGCGTTAATTGTTATCTAGGGAGTAAGGATTAAAGCGAGGGTAAGCTATACTATTACGTTAAGATTAAGCTAATATAGGCTCTCTATATTTTTATAAATTCGAGAGGTAGGTCGCGGCCTTTCTTACTATAAGGGTACTAAGCTTTACTAATTTCCTTTCTAGAGAGATAATAGTCGGCGTCCTCGAAATAAATAGTACGATTAGCCTCTACCGCCGACTTCTTTACTTTCTCTCCCTATAATAATAAAGCCTAAGAGACTTTATTATAGTCCCTATTTTCCGCAAACCTAAGAATCTAACTAGGTAGTACTAACGCCTTACTTATAATACTTCCCTAGTATTCGGAGGGTAGTTCGTATTCTTCGTCGAAATAATCCTTAAAATCTATACTAAATTATACTAGAAGATCTACGTTCTTAGGTATCTCCGAAAGTACCGGCTAGATAAATACGGCTATAACCGAGTTAGGTATTAGCTTATAATTAGCTATAAGGCGAGCAATCTTAAGCGGTATAATTACTCCTACCTTAGTAGCTTTCGTACTACTACGCTTCTTCCCTTCTATAATTTATTTTTCCTCGAATAATAATATAGTTTTCTATCTCGATTAACGTAGCGGCTATTGTCCTCTAGCTATTAATATTTTTCTTATTAAACTTCTTTTTTAGTCTCGAAAGACACTATAAAGATTCTAAGACAAATATACTTCGTCTTCTAGTAGTTATATAGTCCTAGGGCTTTCTATACCGATAGTATCTTACTTAGCTTTCTTCTCTCTTTCCTAAATCTTACTTAGCTTTTCTTCGTTACGATTATAACCTCTACCGTCGCCTTTACTCTTATTACAACTTCTATATACTATTATAGCGTTATCTTCGCTCTATACTTCTTATTACGGGCAAGCCCTTTACGAGCTAGCAAACATATAAAAGCCGGCTCGGCCCGTACCGAGCCTTAGCACCTCTAGAGTCCTATTTAAACACTTAGTCCCTACGACCTCTTAGATAGTTGTTCGCGACCTCGTAGTTACCTCGAATATAAGGTCTCCGTTACATTTCGCGAACTATATACTTATAGAACACTACTATATTAGTATCGCGTATCTAGCCTATTCGAAACTCGTATCCGAAAACCGTATTCGAAACCGTACTCGTAAGCGCAGTTCTATAAGAAGGTAGACTCGTATATATATACTCGTATACTCGTATATCCGTACTCGTAAGAAGCAGTCCTATAAGAAGGTAGACTCGCTCTATCCGTACTCGAAACAACCTCGCCGCTCGAATATAAAGGAGAGCGTAGTTCTATCGCTTAATTATACCTTCGCAACCGACGCTATAGCGCGCCCTAAGTAGCTACGCTATCGGCGCGTTACTCGGGAATCCGCATTGTTTACTACGCCTAATAAGGAGACTTAAGGAGCTCCTAGCGCGTTCCCTCCTAATTAGTATTAAGAGCGCGAGAAAGTTGTCCTCGAGAAGCTACCGGAAGGACCCGAAGAAGAGGTAGGAAATCGTATAAATGTCTTATACCCCGATCTTCTAGAGCCGATATTTAACTTGTCTAAGCTCGTTTATAATGCCTATATCCGCAAATAATGCCTATATCCGCAAAGATAATACGACTAGCAATCTCGAAGTAGCTATCGACTTTAAAGCAGTCGATAAGTCCTAGGCACCTATAATAGTAACTATCCCCTTAAAGAACCTATAGAAGCTAACCGTAGAACAACTTGCCTCTATTACTTTATAATAACCCGAATCGATATATACGATCCTACGGCAACTCGAGCTCGACTTCCGTAATACGGTTTATAAATACGGCGTCCTCGTAGAAGCTAATAAGATTAATAAGGCTAAGTTTAAAGAAGTAAATAGCAAGGTTAAGTATATATCTATTATAGCCGAGAAACTCTAGAAAGAGATAGAGTCCTATAGAAAGATATTAAAGAGCAATCTAACTACCTTAGATATTAAGCGATATAAGTAGTATTACGCTAAGTACCGCCGAGTTAGAAAGAATGCGGAAGTAGTAGTAAAGGAAGTATAATTAAAGCTTCTCGATGCTAAGAGCAATATAGCTCGACTATAGAGTGCACTCGACGCTATATCTAATCCTAATATACCTACTCTATAAGATATAGCAGATCTATACGTAAAGATTAGCTAACTCGAGAACAACCTCGTAGATACCTAGTAGTAGCGTAGCCGCCTATCCTTGCGTAACAATTCGCCTCGTAACCGTCGGTCCTCTATCTCTCGGTCTCTATCGCGTAGACGCCGCGGTAGTCTACTACCCCCGCCGCCCGATAATAATAGTAGCGATGCCGGTAAGGGAGATAAGCCGCTACCCGTTAATCTTACTAGTAGAGGTAACGATCTACCTAATCTATCCTCTTCCGACGACGACTCCTCTAATAATAGAGGCAAGAAATCTAAGAAATCTAAGAAGTCTAAGAAGTCTAAGAAGTCTAAGAAGGATAGGAAGATTAAGAAATCGAAGTCGGCGAAGGATAGCGATAGTAGCTTAGATAAGGAGGATACTATCGACCCTATTAAGTACGATCCTATATTACACGATACGTTTAAGACCTCTCGTAATATCGATAAGCCAACTAAGTTTAAGGGAGATCGCAACGAGAAGGGTTAGATTATTAGGATTAATCTTAATACCTAGTATACTACTCTTAGTACTAAGCTTAGAGTAACTCGTTTCTGCGATATATCGTTAGTATTACGCTTTATCTACGGCTACACCGATCCTAATAGACTTATATATAAGATGCTTAAGCTATACATTCTAATAGTCCTACTACGTAAGGATCCGACTACTTTATCTAAGCCGTTTAAATCCGTTCGAGAGATATTCGACTTTATAGATAAGCACTTTACGGAGCATAACCGTATCGAGAAGGCTTAAGACTCGATAGATATACTAAAGTAGGGAGACTCTAAGAACTTTAGCTCCTTCTATACGAAGTATTAGTAGTACGCCGCTCGTATCCCCTTATTAGACGACGCTTATAGTAAGAAGCTAGCTATACGTCGCCTTAAGAAGAAGCTCAACTTTAAGTACCGTATACGACTCGCTATAGAACTATACGACGACGAGAATAAGCTTGCTAAGCTTTACTAGGGCATCGAGTATAAGCTTAAGCGCTTAGAGATCGACTTTCTACGTAAGCCTCCTACTAATAATACTATAAAGAAAGCAGCTAATATAGCTAAGAAGGCGGCTAAGGCAGCAAAGAAGAATACTACGAAAACGACTACAAATGTACTACTAGCTAGCAACGCTCCGCTACTAGGTACCGCCGCTACTACTTACGTAGCTATTGCCTTAACTATCTCCGCCGAGGCCCCTCGTAGCCGCTCGCCTAATACCGGTAAGCCGCTTAAGCCGTAAAGCGAGCGTTCGGAGGAATTTAAAACTCTACCTACGATAACCCTAGAACTTCGTACCTAATTCGTTACCTCTAGTACTTATATTCGTTGCCGTCGCTAAGGCTATTCCGCTAGAGAGGCTACTTGCCCTCTTAACGAGTTCGAGCGCCCTACTTACTATCGCAACCCTCCTAGCGAAGGTTAGGGAAATGCTTAGACTACTACTTAAGCGTAATAAGTAATAGTCCGATACCGGATGTATTGCTAATACCCCCTCTATATAAACCGAAAGCACTCTCGTTAAAAGCGTCTATAGAAGAAGAATCTAATAGTTACGCTTTGCTATACTCCCTTCCTCCTATTTCCCCCTACTTTATAGTTTATAGCAAAGTTAGTTAACGAATAGTAGACGTACAAGATGCTAAACTCTTCTTAGACGATAGCGCTAATACAGAATATATCCGAAAATCCTTTACGCGTAAACACAATATTCGTATATCTACGATCGCACCTATCCCTCTAGGTCTAGCCGACGGTAGTTAGGCTACTAAACTTATTAGAGAAGTATATATAGTAAACACGAACATCGGAGATTATACCGAGCAAATACGATGCTATATAACCGAAGACCTCGAATACGATATAGTATTAGGTTATAGCTAGTACGCTAAATACTAACCTCGAAAGAACTAGAGGGAAGGAACCCTTATATTCGATAATCCCTCCTACTAGGAACACTTATAGTATACGGAAACTATTACAGTCCCTATAATCTTACTAACGTCTCGAGTAATACGAACTCCTCGTTATAAGGACTTCCTATCGAGACCCGATATTACTAGACTAGATATACCTATACCTATAACTATTAGCGTAGAACAAATAGGATCTCCTATTCGCTAGATAAACCTCGTAGCATTAAGTAGGCTAAGCCTCGAAGAGGGTACGGAAATTTATACGATATAGATTAATCCGCGCGAGACGTATTTATCTAAGTCAGCTATAGACCCGGTTACTATATATACCCTATTAGCTTACGCTATAACGGTACGGCCTGTCTAGAATGTATCTAGGAACGCTGCTTTTGCTTATATAATATTTATCGCACCGGCGGAGTATAAAGCGATTCAATTAAGCAATAACGCTATATCTATAGGCGATTACGAGAAGTTTATAGCTAAAACTAAGGCCGAATAGGACAATATAGAGGAAGTATTACGCAAACTTCCGAAGAGATATTATTATCTCGCTAAGCTGTTTGTACGGCGAGAAGCCTCTAAATTGCTACTATATCGCCTAGGTATAGATTATAAGATTATTACTAAAGGCGACCCGCTATATAAACGACCTTACCCGATATCTGCTTTAGAAAACGTAGTCGTAAAGAAGTAGCTCGATAATTAGCTCGAGAAAGGCAATATATAACGTAGTAACTTACCGGCTACTTCGCCTATTATAATCGTTAAGAAGCCCGGTAGAGGATTATATATATACGTCGATTATTAAGCCCTTAACGAGCTTACTATTAAGAGTCGGTATTCTATCCCTCTTATCTAAGATATACTAAACCGTATTAGTAGTAAGAAGTTCTTTACTAAGCTCGATGTTATCGTAGCTTTTAATCGTATCCGTATAGTAGAGGGGTATAAATAGAAAACCGCCTTTACTATACGATATAGTTAATTCGAGTGCTTAGTAATGCCGTTTAGGCTATACAACGCACCCGGCACCTTCTAATTATATATTAACGACGCTCTCCGCGACTTCCTCGATAACTTTATATCTACCTACCTCGACGATGCTTTAGTCTTCTTAGATAATAAAGAAGCATACTATTAGTATATCGAGAAGGTTATAAAGAAGCTCCTCGATACTAGCCTATAGCTCGATATTAATAAATACGAATTCTACGTTTAAGAAACGAAGTACTTAGGCCTAATTATCGGTAAAGATAGTATACGAATAGACCCCGAGAAAGTAGCCGCTATTTAGGAATAGGAAGCTCCGAAGAATATTAAAGACGTACTCTCCTTCCTCGGGTTTACTAACTTCTACCGGCGCTTTATCCGCAACTTCTCTCGTATTACGTTGCCTATAACCTAGCTTATCCGTACTAAGGAAGCTCTACGGTAGGACTAGACACTACAGTATTAGAAGGTATTCGAAACCCTAAAAGAAGCCTTTATATAGGCACCGGTGCTAGCTTACTTCTAGCTAGGGTTAGAAACAGTGTTAGAAACTAATGCCTCTAATTTTGTAATAGCCGTAGTATTGTCGTAAAAAGGAACCGACAATGTCCTTCGCCCTATTATATACCTGTCTAAGAAGATAAATCCTTAGGAATGCAATTATAATATCTACGATAAAGAACTTATAGCAATCGTAAAGGCTTTCGAGGAATAGAGACTAGAGCTAATAGTATACGAGTTTATAGACAGTACGGAGTTTAAGAACCTCTACGATACTAAAGGCAAGCCTATCCTCGTATTGTTAGATTATAAGAATCTAGAATACTTTATAACTAGCAAGCAGCTGAACCGACGACAGGTATAGTAGGCTAAGTTCTTATTATAGTTCTTCTTTAAAGTTGTCTATCGACTAGGTACTTAAGGCACGAAGCTAGATACTTTAATACGCCGCCCGCAAGATAAGCTACAAGATAACTCTAACCCTCGGCTAGCTTAGCAGATTCGTACGATCTTAATACCTAACCGGCTAGTTATAGCTACAATTACTACTACGCCTAAGTCTTAACCTTACTAAGATTTAACGCTCTTAAGTAGCATCCGGAAGGCGTATATAAGTAATAAAGCTAAAGAGATAGTAATATAGTTATCTAAACGCAAGCCTATTAGCATCTTCCGCAAATACTATATAAATAAACAAGACGCTACTAAGATTAGGGGGTTAGTATACCTTAAGAATTGCTATAGAGGCTACTACGTATTTATTCCTCCCGGTAACTACGACCTATATAACGCAGTATTGCGTACGTACTATAATGCTCCTAGTGCCGGGCATTTAGGCTATACTAAGACGTTCGATTTAGTGTCTCGAAACTTTATATAGCCCGGTATATCCTAGTTCGTACGCGAATACGTATAACGATACTATACCTGCCGCACTATAAAGCCTAATTAGACTTAATACCCTAGCCTCCTACGTCTAATACCGATACCGTTTAACCTATAGGATAAAATCTCGGTCGACTTTATAGTATAACTACTACCTTCCGTAGGATTATACGATAGCTAGATATATAAGAATATATATACAATTACTAATCGTATAGCTAAGGGAGCGTACCTTTTGCTAGTCCTATCTATAGAAGCCGAGTATATAGCCTATGTCTTCCTTAAATACTATTACCCGTACTACGGCCTCCTAGTCGGGCTAATATCGGATCGTAGACCCTAGTAGGTATCGGCCTTCTAGAGACGCTTATACTAGTTACTCGGTATTAAATAGCGCTTGTCGACCGCCTTCTACCTAGAGATAGATAGTTAATCGGAAAATACGAATAAGGAAGTTAAGAAGTATATTCGTGCTTATATTAACTACGCTTAGGATAACTAGGTAGATCTCTACCCGCTCGCAGAAATAGTATGCAACAATTATATATCTAAGACTACTAGTATATTACTATTCTATATAGAGAAAGGTCGATATCCTCGGATTAATCTTAACCTTAATCTCCTAGTTAAGCTCCTACCTACGAAATAGCGGCTAGACGTAGTAGCGGCCGACCGCTTCGCTAAGCGTATAGTAGAAGTTTACTCGTATCTTCGAGAATAGCTAAATCTCGCGTAAGTTATATAAACTAACTATACTAATAAGTATAGAACACCTGCTCCCCGGTACGCTATAGGTAATAAGGTCTATATTAGCACCGCGAACTAGAAGACTACCCGACTAACTAAGAAGTTCGATATCCGATAGTTTAGTCCGGTTACGATTACTAATAATCTTAACGGCGTATATAAGGTCGACCTACCTATACGTATCCGAGTATATAACTCTTTCTATCTACGCTACCTCCGACTATACTACGGTAATTATGCCGTACGCCCGCTATCCCTTAAAGTTATAGGCGAGGATAATCGACCGTAGGATAAGTATAAGGTAGAACGAATACTAGATTCCGGAGGAAATAGAAAGGGACTAAAATATCTAGTTTAATAGAAAGGGTACTTAGATACAGAGGCAACGTAGGAGCCCTCTAAGGTAGTAATTAAGAATGCGCACGCATTAGTTATAGACTTTTACTATAACTACCTAAACAAGTCTAAACTAGCGAACTTCTAGCCGCCGAAGGACTAGATACCGTACGAGGTAGTAGAGTCTGTTATAACTAAGCCTATTAATATTATTATCGGCAGCGACGCTATAACTAGCTTAACTAATACTCGTATTATACGCTTATATACCCGTACGACTATCTAGTCTTCTACGCTCTATAAAGGGGGTCTCGTACCTGCTTAAAGTAAGTATCGTAGCGAGAATACTAGAGTTACTACATTCTTAGAAGTGTCTACAAACTTATTAATATCTTATAGAATAGGCGACGTTGCCTTAGGTAAGGATACTACGCGGAAGGCGCGGTTAGTCTTAAAGGAAGGAGACATTAACGCAACGTCGGTGCCTACTAGCGCGTAGAACGTTACTAGCGTTATAGATAGCGCTATCTAGAGCCTAATAGAAGTAGCTTATTTAAAGGAAAATATGTTGTCGCCGCGTAGAAGCGATAGTTTAAAAGGGGGGGGAGGGGGGTAATATTACGGGTAAGCCCTTTACGAGCTAGCAAATATATAAAAGCCGGCTCGGCTTATACCGAGCCTTAGTACCTCTAGAGTCCTATTTAAACACTTAGTCCCTACGACCTCTTAGATAGTTATTCGCGACCTCGTAGTTACCTCGAATATAAGGTCTCTATTATACTTCTCCTAGATCGCGACTACGATTATAATCGCTATTATTACTACTACTTTTAAACGCTACCGGAGCGCTATCTTTACTATTGCTAAAAGCCGCTACCGGCCGACTATCTAGTGTCTTATTTGCCCGGATTCCTAGTTTAGCGCAATTAGTGCTTAATAAAGTCTCTCTATAGAGGCGTATAAAGTCCTATACTAGCGTCCGAGCGCCTAACCTACTATAAGCTAGGGCCGTAGACCTTGTAGAGCGGCGGTCGGTATAGATTGTATACGCTTCCGCTCTAGCGCGTCTACGCGCCGGTCTTTATTTAGGTTATTATTTTCTACCTCGCTATCGCACTTTACTATCGCTATTTTAACTATTCCGCTATCGTTTCTATCTCTTCTATTATTTAAATTATGCCTTTAATCTCTTCTAATACTATATCAATTGCTAACTATCTCGGAGGAGGTAGGGATAGTATACTAGCGTCGTAGGTATAGGGTAACTTCGCGCTAGGTATAAGATTGCGACGAGAGCGGAGCGCGGTCGGAACGCTAACTTTTCGATAGAGGAAGAAGAAGGGGACGATTCGGTTAATTCTAGTAATAAAAACGCGTTAGTTTCCTTAGACTATCGCCGCCCTCGAAAGTCTCGAGTTCTAGTAAAGCTAGACTCGTACTACGCGTCCTTACTATATATCGATAACCTCCGCGAGTAGCGCGAACGAGCTATTCTATATAGCTTCGACGACTCGTTTAAGGTGCTAGCGAAGCAATAGTACGCGTTGTTACTATATATTAATAATATATAGACGAAGAATAAGGACTATATCGAGAAGAGTAGGTTAGAAACGACGCGTTATATTTGCCGCTTTCGTAAACAACCGTACTAGAAGTCGGATAGGACTAAAGGGTATAGTGCGCGGCGCTTTAATAAGAAGATTAAACGCGCGCAAGGTTGTCCTATAACTATAAAGGTATACACTATATATAGTAAAGAAGATAAGGAGTCTAGTAAGCCGGAGATTGTCGCGTATCGAGTTTAGCGGATAAGCCGCGAGGATTACTCGGATTACTACTAACTCGATAACTTTAACCTCTTCCGCCGGTATAGTACTTTATTAACTACTATAGGGCACGAGGTATACTATAGATATAAGCCGAGTATAGTATAGAAGACACTAAAGGCTTAGTACGACCTAGTAGCGAACGCGCTATTTAAGGCCGCCGGCGGCAATTTTATAATAAAATACGACGTACTAAATTCTAGTCGCGCCTTCCGGAAGGCATATAAGGATAGAAGGCTCGGCGGCGCGTCGCTAGTATAGCAAACATAGAAAGAAGATGTATTCGAGTAGTATTAATAAGGTTAGTTAATCTTATTATTATTATTAAGGTTAGACGTAAAGTCGATAGAACAGCTATACGGACCGTCGCGTCCGCGTATCCGGACTCCGATTAACTAATAGATTAACGTATAACCCCGCTTAGCTTATCTAGTCCCTCGAGGAAGCTATTAGACTCGATTGCTAGCGAATTCTCGATATAAAAGCTAGAATTTTAAAGATTCTCGAAATCTTTAAAGTTCTTCGCTTAAAGCGGTAGCGCCGTAGAGCCTTAGCTTCGAGCTAATAAGATAATTTAGGAGCCCCGGCACAAGCTCGGTCCGGCTTCTAGCGCGCCTTAGCAAGCCCGAACCCTAAATCTTAGGATTCTTATTTGTTTTAATTCTAGTTTTTTATTACAATAACTGCTAATACATTATTATAGAAGGGCTATTTTGCGAGAACATAGAGGCCGTACGCTAAATTAACAAAGAGACTACCTACGGCGTCGTATATGCTAGTAAAACTAGTATAGAACTACTAAAAGCCTATCGTACGATCGCGTTTATAGACGCGACGTATAAGACTAATTACCTTAGTTAGTTCCTTTATACTATTATAGTAAAGGACAAATATAGCATTTCTCGTACGGCGGTATACATGCTTTTACCTACTAACGATAGCGATATTATAGCGGAGTTTTTACGTACTATAAGCAGGTAGATAGGCGGTATTTAGGTACCTAAATTCCTCCTTATAGACGACTCGGCGGCCGAGCGACGCGCTGTTCGTATAGCATTTCCGACGACAATATACCTTCTATACTACGTCTACGTTTAGCGTACTATCGATAGACGCTTTAGCGCGAAAATCTACTAAGAGATACGTAGATACCTTCGCGCCGCCGTTGTTTATCGCTGCTTACTCGAAGGCGTAAAAGAGTCGCTCTAAGCCGCTATCGATAACCTCCCTCGAAACAGCGATTACGAGTTAAACTACACCTATTTGGTATAAGACTTCGGTAGCGATATTCGCCTATAGGCAAACTACTATCGCGTCTATAACATGCCTACTATCGTTAGATAATATAAGGATACTAACATAAACGAGAGCTTTTACACGTATCTTAAAATAGACGGCAATAAGTCGCTAATAGCGGCTAACTTTATACTAAAGGGCGTAGCGATATATATAATATAAGAGGGCGAGCTTAGAGACCTTCGGTTGGATATTGCTAGCAAGCGTTAGGTATTAAACGTATATCTACTTGCGCGTAGCGACGACGACGAGCTCCGGACCTAGCTTCTACGCCTTCTATAGCCTATTTAGCGCAAGATTAGTACTAAGATTAATCGCGTTCTCGATAAGTCCGTATACTAAGACCCGAAGCCGTTATTAACTAAGGAGGCAGGCGCGCTTACCTGCGACTATAAATTCTTCCGCTAATATCGTATCCTTTACGCTAACCTCTAGTATTATTACCTTATACTTAAACGCGTTATTATTAAGGATTATTACTAGCAATAATAGGTTAATATATTCGCTAAACGCGCTCTCGAGATCTACGAAGAAGACGCTTCTAAGTTAATAGCGGTATAAGAAGACGCCGCTACTAAGGCGGCGGCGGCGTACGCGCCTATCTATCGATTAAACGTCCGCGAGGTGCTTACTAATACGTACGAGTTAATCTTCTAACTTAAGCGCTTATACGACTAACAAGGTATAGATAAGAGCGATAAGCAACGTAAGGTTATTATCTCAAAGATACTAATAGTCTTCTACGAGAGCGGCGATAACATTAGGAAGGGCTTTACTAAGCTAGTCCTTACTTACTTTAAGACTACGTATCCGGACGCTATTCTTATACTAATAAAAGCGCTACCGAAGCTATTACAAGCGCTATTACTAAGCGATATTATATCGAGCTATTACTATCCGAAAGCAACTAACGATATAGCGCCGCCGCTAAAGAAGCAGAAGGGTAAGAGCGTAGATAAGAGCGTAGATACTACGAGTAAGAAGAGGTTAAAGAAATAGATAGAGAAGTTATATATACCTAACCGAACACTAGCGGCGCTAGTTCTACTAAATCTTAGTAAAGAAGCGGCGTTAGCAGTTCTAGGCGGTACCGACGCGTTCTCTACGCGTTTTCCTTTATAAGCCGCTACGGAGGTAACTTATAGCTATTAAATGCCTTCGTCGACTCCGCTAGCGCCGTATAGCTACTTTTCTTACTAAAATAAGTAGTAGAGTAACGATCCGAGTGCGATATAAGTCTATAGTAGTATGCCTTATATACCGCCGCCCTCTAATATATATTACCGCTATTAATTTGTTAATAATTGCTAATAATACCTTACTTTTTACTATACCGCTATTTTGCTAACAAACTTTAGCTTTATTTTTAGTAATATACTTAGTATCTATTAGCAGAGATGCGGGGGTCGTTAAAATCTATTAAAACAGTGCGAAATCTATTAAATTGCGACCGTACGACCTCTTATTCGCGATGTTTAGTATACTAGCGGAAATCGCACTACTACTACTACTACTACTACCGTCGACCTAGCAACCGCGACGCGCGGCGACGACGAGATTACGTTTTCTATAGTCACGCACACTATAGAGCGGACTTCTACATCTCACCGAGTCCGCTGCGGCAGGCCGAGCTTATTCTTAGTACAAGCGACGCTCGGACGGTGGTATGGGACTTTATACGGGCCCCTCTCTATCGCCTACGATTTGCTGGCCGAAAGCTTTCTTCAAGTCGTCCACGCATTGAGCATAGATGTTGTTGTCTGCGTGTCCACTACACTCCTGGGGAACTGCGGGTTAGGAGGCCATTTGTACAGTGTGAGTTTTTGGTGTAGGATCGAACGTGCAGCTGGTCTTGAGTGATACGGAGAGCCTTTGACATCTTCGATACTCGCCAGATTCTTCTCATCTTGTGTTTGTCCTCTTGGCAGATGCAATGGCAGAATCGCAACGTCCTTCCCAGGCTTCTTTTGTGGACTTCCTGCGACCTGTGACTTTCCACCTTCCGCCTTCTACCTTCCGCAGTATAACTAAGCAGTGGAGCATAGAGTAACTCCCTCTAAGCCTTGAATACCTCCCATACCCTGCTTCTCAAAAGCTTCGACTATTCCTTTACATATTCATCTCAGTTCTTCTTCGACTTAGGGAGCACGATACCGCACCCACTCCTCCACACCCATCTTCTTCTGGGGACTTGTTACGCAGGCTCTGATCCCCGCGCTTCTTCCCTTGCGTCCAGAAGCTACAGCATGCGAGCCTCCACTTTAGCGACCATTACTAAATGACTGCAGTGTGTCTCCTCAACAAAGCCGCCGAGAGCATGCTGCTTCGGCGTGGAACATGTCAGCTCTCCTGTTACAGGCTGATGAGACTGGGACCACCGGATTTGTGCATCGAGCAGGCCTCGTTCCAACTGTGACTACTGTACCTCACACTCCCTCGACAAGCACAGCCTCGACGTTGGCTTATAATGCGTCTTCAATGCGGCAAGTATACAGGTGTCTCAGCAGACCATATTCCAGTAGAACTGATGATTTGTGCATTCTGATGACGGGTCAGGCGTCGCTTCAAAACTTCAATTTGGCGATCCATGTCAAGACGCAAACCCTGTGCACGCCTTCCTGTTGACTCATGGAAATCCATCTCGAGGCTGTAAATCACCCGCTGTTCCAGCTGGTCAACACGAGTTCGCAGTGCCCGAAGTTCAGTTGCAGGCTCGCTTATGGCAATCGTGGTATTCATCCCATTCGTGAAGCTACAAACCGCCTTCACTCATATTCAACCGGCACCCACATGCGTAACGCACACAGACGCCCGTGGCGACGTGATGCACCTTTCCGCGCCAAGTGAAGTGAGCTTGCTCATCAACAACTGTAATCTTGCCTTCAACCCAGTCCTTCTCGAAACCTTCGACCCATACAGTAACGACCATCAGTTCTGGCCATAGTCATAGAACCTCTGCACATCACATCGAGCCAACTCACCTTTCAATCGCTCGACCTCCTACCTTAATTGAAAAAAGGATCCGCTGAAATTTCTTAAGACTTGAGGTCCCATGGACAGCACGACTGATCTGGACTGATTGAGTACGTGTCTCAATGGTGTGAGCGTGAGCCAGAGTCCACTAAGCTAGGAACAAGTCAGCCAAACACCATAGTCCCATAGAGAGGTGACAGAACTCACTCAGCAATGCTGAAGGTTGGAGTCTTGACGAACGCCAGCCTGGGGCAGCACGGAGCGGCTGATCGGTGCAGAAGAGAAGGTCGATGTCCAGCAATTTGTGTGAGGCTTGGCGATGTGGCTGACGAGGGGCGGAGGAAAATATTGCCTGCAGCCTGCACCGCTGCGACGACCTAGCAAGACGGCTTAAAAACTACATATTCGAACTCAGTGGACTGGAATACACCTGTCTGGAGACATTGTGAGTTGGCAAGGGCTTGGAACACGAGGTTGGACCATTCTGTGCAGTGTGAGGTGCGAAGAGATGAGGCTGATGAGCCGAGGTCGCGATGCACGCTAGACTACTTTCTGATTCACTCCCGTCCTGACGCCTTCCTCGACCTTCCTCACTGAGAGTGTGTTCAGGAAGAAGCATGTCACTCGCGTGGCATGGCCACTCTTCCATCAACGCACCATCATACCATTGCCACATTGCTATGCATTTTCGCCGAGATGCCATGCCTCATCTGGCTTCCAGGACCAGGTCCAGACGCTCGTAACTCGTTACATTCCCGCACAAGCCAAGACTGATAGTCACACAGCAGCAGCGGCACACGCAGAAAACAATGATCTCGTGATTCTCCTCCTCCTCATCAACCTCCGCGATCGATAACGCTGTCTGCTCTCCTTGTAGCAGGCACCAAGACGGATACGGACAATGCGTGTTCAGACAACCAGATTTGCCTTCCTGCGTGCTCCGCGCGACTGCCGCCTCAACAGCGAGTATTCTGGTACATTTGAGTCACCGTCTCTCTTCACACATCTCGCCAATGAATCATAGTTCGCTACCTCCAAGGGTCGTTTGATTGATCTAGGTCCGTATATGTATGTGCCGCCACGGCAGCGAGAACTGATCCGAGTAACGAGTCTATGCGACTTATCGGCTCCTGTAGAGGCTGTCTGGATGAATCGGCGCCTGAACGAGATGACGCCCAGCGTTATTGCTGTCGAGCAGTCGACTGGAGATGATGCTGTCAGCTGTCAAACGACAAGCATACACCAGCTTTGGGCAGAAAGCATGCAATCCACCATAGATGAACTGCCGAATGAAATCCAAGATTTCCAGTTCTCTCCCTATCGAGATACTGCTGTTCTTGAGAATACGTTTGAGGCGTGGGAAGTGCAGCGAGGGGCTACCAAGATCTGCCTGGGCATTCGAGCGTCCGGCAGAATTCTCGGGCAGTGGACAGCGGTACCCAGATCAGAGATCCGTCGATACTCCCTCGGAAAGGTGTACCTGTTAAACCAGATCACTCAGTCTGGATCGGAAGTCCATCTCGTCGAAGCCAATGAACCCTCTGCTTACGTCGACGCGGGTGCCCATCTATTGCAGCAGTCAATGGTGCTTGTCTGGTGGACCTACGAGACCGGGAACTATGCGGATGTCAACGTGGTGACCTCTTGAGAGCGGCGGGAATGCTCGATTGGTTTCCAGAGTATGAGACTCATAAGTCCAAGATTGTGAAATCTCTACGTACTGAAAAAAAACAGGTGGTGTGAATCTCGGTAGAATTCAAGCAGTCCTTAGCATAACAAGTCAATGACCAAGTCTCCTCTCCAATTCGGCATCAATTTTTCATAAAAACGACGTGGCGGAAAGTCGTGAAGTCCGCGGAGAAGCCATCAGCCCCGATTCTTTCACAGCCTCTTTCCCGAGGAACACGCACTCAAACATTGAGGTCACAACATCGCAATCTTCTACGCACCGCTCTGCTATACAATTCGAGCACAGCGGCGTCGTCATGAGATGTTCTACAAAGACGGCGTGGCGGAGTGCTGTGAATTCGGCGGAGAAGCTAGCCCAGCAACCCAGATTTCTTTATTCTACAACCTTTATTTTTCTTACGACCACGCACGCACTCAAACATTATGGTCACGACATCAGACTCTCTTACATACATCAGTTCCTGTCCGAGGTGGAAGTTTGGAGCGAACTGCCGACTTCAAGCCTGACTTTCGCTGTCTGGAAGTCGACCTATCCACCTGTTCACCTGTCTACCTCTGCTGTCCACCGACTACGAGCGCTGCCTCTCAATCGCAGGACTTTCCCGCCTCTCGATCTTCACTGCTTGCCTGCAAGCTTCGATTCGTATGCCGCCGAAGCCAAGATCCTCGAAGCAACATGGGCCGGTCCCTGAAGCAAGAGCCTGGATTTTTCGGCGAGACGTGACAGACAGCGGACCACTTCAAGCGCAGTAACGTCCTCGGTGTTGGTGAAAGCTTGAGCAATGGCGACCGATCGCGCAACATGCGCAGACGCCTGGTGCCTGGCGCTCGGAGGTGACATACAGACAGCGGGCCACCTGCATTTCAAGCGCAGCAACGTGCTCGGTGTTGGGAAAAGCCTGGGCAATGGCGACCGATCGCGCAATTTGCGCAGACTCCTGGCGCCTGGCGCTCGGAGGTGACATACAGACAGCGGACCACTTCAAGCGCAGCAACAGCAACGTCCTCGGTGTTGGGAAAAGCCTGAGCAATGGCGACCGGTCGCGCAGCATCCGCAGACGCCTGGCGCTCGGGGGTGACATAGAACAGACAGCGAACCATTTCAAGCGCAGCAACATGCTTGGGTGAACGATGGCGGCCGGTCACGCATTGTTCGCAGACTCCTGGCGCCTGGCGCTCGGAGGTGACATACAGACAGTGGACCACTTCAAGCGCAGCAACAGCAACGTCCTCGGTGTTGGGAAAAGCCTGAGCAATGGCGACCGGTCGCGCAGAATCCGCAGACGCCTGGCGCTCGGGGGTGACAGAACAGACAGTGGACCACTTCAAGCGCAGCAACGTGCTTGGGTAAACGATGGCGGCCGGTCACGCATTGTTCGCAGACGCCTAGCGCAGATGAAGGAAGACTTCCAGTTCATACAGTAAGAGCAGGAGCCGCTTGCAGCACCGCGTTCGAAACGGCGCATCTGCATGCCTTCGCCAGTAGGTTGTTGGATCATTTTCATCTACTCTCGAGCTTCCATTTCCTTTCGCGCGAAGCTCACGTTATATCGGGCTCTACGACCAAGATTCTCTCTCACACATCAAAGAGCCGGCATCTTTGATTCCTTCCGAAATGCGGCTTCTCTATCTGCTCTGTCCACTGATATGACATCTTCTCTCGAACCATCCTGGTAAATCTCATAGCAAGTCGGCATCACGCGAGCGGAAACACAGCTGACGGAAGATGTCAGAATTCCTAGAACGTGGTTGTTGCGAATTCGAATCAAAAGGTTGATTTCGGCAAGATTTCATAACGGCTTCCTTCCGCACTGACTGATGACTACGGGGTGATCACACTGGCATGAATTGGCGGCTGGAGACACTTATGTACGGACAGAGCATTTGGGCAACCTGCATCGGCTTTTGGGCACCACTGCAAGACGTGTCTTTGCTGCCTTTTATGAACGCCTGAAAGGGTACATTCGCTGCATGGCTGCCGACTCCCCACTTGAGATGAGATGACGAATACCCACTGCAGCGGCCTGTCATCCCCATACATTATTATTCATTCACCAAATGAGACGTCAATGCATAGAGTGTGCATCTTGGGTAACATGAGACGGGAGGCCTCGGGATCATGGGCATCTTTCTGACACGGTGGACCGTTGACGAAATTCATCGAAACTACACAGTCATTGTAGTGCCTCTAAGCTCGGTGTGAACACTTTCGAGCTTGAACGTCCCAAATAATTCGGGAGGCCCAAGGGCCGGTATACTGAGCTCCGATTCCTCTGAGCCCGGTTCGCTTGCCATTCCTTGCCCGCTATGTCTACCACCATCGGATATTCGATACGCAGAAATGCGGCACCGTACGAGCTTTGCGAAGGTGGTGCATTCGAGATAGGTGGTAGAGATCGTGATCTCGAACCGCCAGGACTGCTGGAGTATCGGCCTACCGCGACCTGCCGTGAGATGCTACGACAGGCCCTGGAGGTATGCAGGCGGTAAAGTGGCAATATCTTCTCCTTACACAATATTGGCAGCCGCAAATCTTCCTAGCCCAAGACCTGACCCGACAAGAGCTTCCGTCAAGGTTGCAAGACTGTACAGAGTCGATACTTCCTACGTCACTAGCAAATCAGGAACGTTCTCGCCATCGCCTTTACAATATTGAATGATGCCAGCGGGTAGAGCAGATCTATCACAACACGAGAAGAGACAACTGACGAGCAGCTCGTGGACTTGGAACTCATGATCTGGAAAGGGGAAAGTATAGGAAGGTCGGGTTCTAGCCAAGGAGGTCTAGTGATTCTAGTGCTGTTCAGCAAAGGATTCTGGGAGTCGTTGGCGTGATGATCTCGGACAGCAATGTTCCTGAGAAGAATGGCAAGTCACAGATGACCTCAGAACCACCACTGCATGCGCATGGGGGTGCAGAAAGGTCGTCAGCCCAAGAGTCTAGAAGGGGCAGAAACTGTGCAATGTTGATCTCGATTTCACGCTCCACAAGGCCGGGAAACTCACCTGGTGGGTATGCCATCGACTCAGCTGCTGGTCACTGCTGAGCCGTCTAGGTATCGTCGAAGTGAGCGTCAACTCCGCTGCTACCGGCGATGAGACGGAACCGTAACCTTCGTTATGCCTGGACACCACACCACCAACCCGAACTCAGAAGTCTGTTCTTTGGAAGAGCTTAGTTCCCACAAAGTCGTACCTCCGATGGTTCGACTGTCATTGAGAAGTGCGTTTAGATTGCCTTCTCTGTCTGCGTTATGCTCGCCAGCTCCTCAATTGGATCAGGCCGATATCTGGAGCCAATCTTCAGCCAGTCTGTCTGCCCACACTCCCCTTAGTAGCTCAGGAGCTTATGGGACAGTGCATGTATCAGTCGATTTAGCTTCGATGCCGACGATCGCCTCATCTTAGTTACGGTTCTGATTTTCGTGGATTTCTTTCTCACCACTCGCAAGTATCAGCTTTTCCCTTAGCTCGAGACAGTCGAAGTGGCCCACCCACAAACGCCGTAAGCACACTCAGTGCTCTTTCGCCCTCAGAAACGGCAAGAAATTCCCGCAGCGTGAGAATACTCCCCGGCCAATTGATGTTGAGGGAGCGTGAGCTGCGGATTATGCCCTTCTCCGCAACGCTTGGGATCGTACACGCAGTCTAATACTCTTGCGCACTTGAGAGATCTTCAAACTCATTGTACGGGTTGGCCATATCACCAAAACCGGTGAAACTACGTGGTTTCTCACCCATGCCATGAACGAGCTTTACCAGCGTGAGATCTTTTTGTGCTTTCCAAGAGCTCGTCCAAGTCGCGATCAAATTCAAGACGAGGATCTCTCCGTCATTTCGCAGCCTGTCGGGTGGACCGATGGCATCTGACGCTGCTCGTTGTTGGCTGACTTGAGCCGAAGCAAGCTGATAGGTGCCTCCGTCTCATGTCGCAGTCGTCAAAATCTGCGCATTATCGGCTTGCTCTGCGCTCTGAGGTTGTGATCTGGAGGGGAGATCGGGCAACACTACTGGGATGCAATGGTCGTCTCGATCGAAGCGGGCTCGAAATGTGCTGACTGACAAGCACCTGCGCTGAAGTAGTTCGAGCTGCCCTGGTTTGCTCAAATCGTTGATCGGATGGATCGAGCTGACCGCTATGGCGCCTGCAGATGATAATGGGTTGAAGAATGCACAGCATCGAGACGCTTGTTGCTGGCGAGCCTGATGTCGTGACCATTCACGAAGTATTGGAATTGAAGGCTTCAGTAGCAAAGGAGCCAGGATGGAAGATCCATATCATTCATGAAATGGTAATGGTCGATGAACGCAATGCGTTCGCAAGTTCATGGGCATGGGAGGCCGAGCGCAGCGTGCGAAGGAAGAAAGCCTCGTTGTGCAGTCGCCCAGATCAACCACTGTTATGACCTGGAAGATGGATCCGCAATTGTTTGTGCGGTTTCAGGTGAATGCTGCATCGGCACTTCGACCATTACATGCAGCTGCTCTTCATCATACTTCGTGCGAGAGGCCGAAAAATGTATAAGACGTTCGATTACTCGGCGGTTTGAAGCACTCCAATTGAGCGCCGAACAGCCATGCTTATCCCCAAGACTATCTTCAAGAAGGCTGTGTCTTTCCTTGATCACTCCCAGACGAGCCAGCCTGTCCGCTTCTACCAAGCCTGGTGTCTCATAGACATGTGGAAGCAAGGAAGTAAACGAGGTCATTCTTCAGATTGTCCGCCATCGAGGCTCCAAGTCAACGCTCATCTGCAAACGAGCAATACATTACTCGAGCGTGTGAAACTCCCCAGAACCGTGGAACACAATGCTCGGCCTTCTAAAAGAAGGTCACCTGCGAGACTAGCTATAGAGTATCAATGGCAACAAGACTGCGAGATTAAAGATGTTTACCGCCGCAGCACAGCTCCGCCATCGGCAATCTCAGGCCTTTTTTCGAATTGAAAGAGCAGAACTGGAGGTCTGGGTCAGGATCTCACGAGCTGACGATGCACCATCGCTTTCCGGCTAACTCAAAGTATCAATCATATAAACATCGCAATGCCAATTAGGCACCCCATCAGATACCTCTTTGGCAACAGACACTCAATAGGACCGCAATGGATTGTATTGAGAGCCTCCTATCTAGGGAAAATCGAGAGCGAACATCGGAGACCTGCGAGAGTCGAGCTGAAATCAGCTTGGGCGAGGTCAGAAGCGGAATTTGGCACGATTCACCTCATGTGACAGGCGGGACGTTGGCGACAATTTGGTTCATGTGTGCCTCGAGCAAGAGTTTGCCTGCCCGTGGTGGTGGTCGTGACTGACGTGACAGGCGGGTACTCCGTGTCAGTCGTGGTCGTTTTCGTGGTCAAGGTCTCAGTGTGAAGAACATGATCACGCTCCTGGAGGTGTCTTCGGGCTCGGGAACACTGGAAGTGGCGAATGGAACCTTCAGAAGTGCTTCGCGTAATCGAGGTTGTGAGCGGAGCAGACGATCTTGGCACATCAGAAGTTGGCCACAAAGATTGACTGCTGCTGCTCAGATGCGGGACTTGCGTGATCTTCGCCCCAAAAGTGCGGCTACACAATCGACTGAAACTTGACATTGATCTTCTTGTCGAGCATGAAGGTTGGGTTCTTCTTCTTGGCTTCTGCGCTGGAGTATTCTCTGTAATCGCCCAGAATCGCTTATGGCCTGGGATGTGTGACTGCCATAGTCCAGGCGAAACCACACGGCTGGAGGCAGTAATGGCACTGGAAGCGAACTTCACCTGTGACGCTATCACCGTGGTTGCCCTGAGGTTGGCCATCGATGGCATCCGCTTCACATGTCGCGCCATTGGTATCGTCCTCATGGCGCTGGCGAACCTCCTGGCGTTGGCGATCAGTCGCAACCGCTTCAAGCACTGCGCCATCGACCTGATTGATCTGGAGCTGACGCGCCTCATTCAGCTTGTTCTGGAACACCCGGCGTGCCTCGTTTTCTCAACGTTCCAGCGCCGTCCTTCCCGCCAGCCTTGAAGTTTCGCTGGGACTGTATTGGTGACATCGCAGCCCATACATGTAAGCGCTATCGATGAGGTTGCCTCCCGAAAACGCGCAGATGAGCGACAGATGCGTGCTGATGCTGTTGTGGATGAGAGCCGCCGGTGTGATTAGCCCAGAGGAGCTGCAATGCTCCTGGCGCTCAACGTTTGCGTTCAAGGACTGCCTCTGCCCCAATGCTGTCAGCTCGGCGAGCCGATCATTCCCTATAACGTTGAAGACCACTGCTGGGGGTAGGTATGCATGTACGGCGTCTACAGCATCCGTGGTGAAGGTCACACTGCCGATCTGGTCCCAACCGAGAGGATGGAGGACGTCACAACGACGCATGAGTAACGTGGCCGACGGACAACCTAGAAAGGTCTTTTCGGGGCTGATGCTGATGCGGACGGCATCCAGCACGCGGAAACGGCTTCCAAATGGTGCAGCTGCTCCTCCAAAGTCTTCGAAAACATCGTAATATCGTCAATGTGCGCTCGTGCGACTCCGCGGCAATCTCGCAGTAGGCGGTCCAGTTTCGCTGCACGAATTTGACGCTGTTCGAGGATCCTATGAGCGCGCCGAGCGGTAAAGCCGACATGGTCGCCACAACAATCGAAATCGCCATTGTCGACGCAACCTCCACCACCCTTACGCAACCGGCCGCAGCCTGCCTCAGAGCCGCCATCTGACCCAATACAACCAGCTGCGAAACCAGCTTCGGAACAACCACAACCTCTAGCAGCCTGCGCCACTGCGGTGATCTCAATCTCGATCACCACCGCCTTCACGCAGCCGAACACACCGAGAGTGAGAGAACGAGCTGGAGAGCGCCGGGCTCGCGCGAATGAGATTCTGTAGACCAACGACTTCCTGGACAGACATGCGATGCGAGTCCTCGCACACACCGGCGTCGAATCTGTCACCTGAATAGTGTCACGTCAGATGGGACGATGTCGAGAAGATCTGTCGTTCCTTGTTCTCGGCAAACACACCTTTGTCCTTCACTGCAGGCCTTTCTTTGTTTCCCACATAGCTGCTTGTGCTCTTGTCCTTGTTCTCCTGAGTCGCACAGTTGTAGCGCATCTTGTTTGGCGTGATTTCGTCGAGGGGTTGCTCAGATGTGTGTTGACTCGAGTGTCAGTTTGCTAGAGAAAGCTCAGTGCCACTTCCTAGGCGAACGTCAGCGGTAGGAACAGCATCATCATTGATCAGGAATGATGAGAGCGGCCCGATCGGTTGGATCGCACGACGATTGTTGACTGACCAAGTTTCACTCCGACTTGACCACACCTGTTCCGCGGTCCTGATTGCCCACTTGCAGTAGAGTGTGGACCAGTCTCTGGAATCCGTGAAGTCATAGGTTACATGGAGGTCGTAGAAGATTTGTAGCTTTCCTTCGTGCTCCATGTCTCGTTTCGCCTTTGCGTCGCTCAGGTTATGGTCGATGGAGCGCTCGATATCAGTGAGGGACTCCTTGTTCGCCTGACGATGCAGGTTCTCATGGGCTGACTGTATATGAACTCTGAGACTCATCACAGAATCGGACACTCATACGGTAAGCCATCTCGATCCATCACCAATCTCCTTCGAGTGCTGCGAGTTCGAGGCTGGCAGTGTCCTTCTTATGCGGCCCACATGCGCGGTTTGCCGCCGCGCCGCCATTGCCAGGCTCTTTTTCTGTGTTCTTTGGGACGTTACGTGAGCGGCATGAGGGCTTGACTCAATCTCTTCGGCGGCCTGGTCTGGAACGTCTCGATATGCTGGGTCCATAGCAAGTGTTGCGTTGTGTCGGTGGCATGCGTTCCGCTAGCCTTGACGACCTCTTGAGGGACGAAGGGAGAGATGGTGATGACGAGAACGGGGAGGCAACTCTGCGAATGTCTCATCGTTCCTCATGCGCAGGGCAGGCACTCCAATTCTGTGGGCGCGGAGAAGATGCGAGATGCGACACGCTGGCAGGGTTCGGGCACGGGCCGAGACCCTTGATTCCGCAGGGCAAGTGCAATGGGCCGCCGCATTTTCCAACACAAGTAGACGCCGCAGCAACTTCACCAACTCGACTCCCAACCGAACTCCTACTTCTACGCATCGACATCAAAGCAAGGGTCGGGTCCAAGAGAGTCCTTCCTGGCTGTGAGGCTTCGAAATCAATGCCCACTGGAATTCGAAGCCGTCGCTGCGAGTCGGGCTCGCTGAAAGAAACAGGCTCGATATTCTATGGCGCAAGCTTGTAACCGGCCTACGCAAATCAGAAAAGGCTGCAGGTGTTCATTGCCAATCCACCTTCCGCTGCAGGAAACATGAATAAACATTTTGTGCTCAACTGCAACCTCGCTTATTCTAGGGCCATCTCGTTTGTAGTGAAAGCGCGGCCGTCGTGGCTTTGAGAAGCCTTTGACAACAGTTGCCCGAGTCTGTGACAATCGAACAAAATCCCATCCGCAACGAGGAGCGCGATGTCTGTCACAGCGCTATCGATGAAAATACCATCAGGGCCCGCGCAGGCTTGGCGCTTGCATTGTCTGGTCATGGGCGAGCCGTCTTCCCTCGTCACGTTCTTCTTAAGTTCTCATCGAATGGTTGGAAAGAGCCTACCCTCCCTGACCGCCAACCACGCAGGAAAACTCCTCGCCCTCAAACAGCAAGGGGGCGAAATGGAGGTAGGAAACGTCACTCCAGAGCTGCCAAGTGCGAGTGTCATCCGAATCTGCTCATTACCAACACGTTATTACGCGGAGAAGCAGACAGTCCTGGAGTGAAGGGCGGCTTTCTTCTTTCTAATGTCATATGCTCGTGCGGCATGATGCTTCAGCCACCGGCTTCCAAACAGCACACCACCAACACTTTCAGTCCTCACATTTGCTCACAAGCTGCATCTGCACAAGCGTCAAGGATCAGACGTCTATCATTATCAATGTCAGCGATCCCGTTCATACACTGCCTTGACTTCATGTGATCTGAAAACCAGGCTCCCGGCATGACTGTCAATGCCATCCTCGTTTGCTACGACTGCCGCAGGAACATTGTCCTTAGCGGACAACACACATAGACCGATCCAAGCAAGCAACTGCCCGAAACCACGAATCTCGACTCAGCTACCTTTGTGAAATGCCACTCTAGTCTATCTCCCGGATTCGCGTCCGCGGCTACTACGGCGAACGCAAGTCACAGTTCAGGAAGTTGATGAGAAGTTAGGAGACATGATCGGCGTAGAGTTGTGTCTCGCTTTGGGAGATCTTATCCTGCCCCATGCGGTACTAGACAGTAGTTTGCAGGGTTTGTCGACTTATACAAGCAAGGCAAATGGAGAGGCCTCATCATCATTGGGTGTAACCTATTCGTTCGCAACATCAAGCCGAGCACTGAGATGTGGAGTCTCGTCGACGGCCGCTGCGCACGCCCATGTAGTATGAGTGGGCCCAAAGAAGCGGCATGAGACGGCGTGGAGATCTTTCATTTGCTTACGGCGACACGAAAGGGCATCGAAAACTGCATATCCGACTGGCTTTGGTGTAATTGGCTTGAGCTTGTGCCTCTCCGGTATCAGCACCAACATCACATATAGACTCACGGCACTGTTACGAACTTTCACGAACTTTCACGGCCTTTCACGAACATTCACGCCTTTTCACGCCCTTTTACGACCCTTCCAGGCTAAACAAGGAAGCGTCGGAGAAGACTCAAGCGAAACAAAAGCAGTCAGAGCCAAGGAGCAAGTCGCAGGTATACTTGGGCTTAAAGATAGGCTCGAGGTAGGGCTTTTTGGTATGTACTTGCCTTGGACTCCATCACTTTTCGCCTACTCGTCTCCACGATCGAGATGATCTGGCCACGGATTTTCGTTCGGGGTGGCCCACCGATGCGGAAGAGGTGAGGGCAGAGCATCGAGGCTACATCAGGTCCTGGGTCTGAGTCACGCCGGAGGAAGTGGGAAGTATATTCGATATGTGGAACGTACAATTTGGTCGCCAGGACATGAATCGTATCAGCATGGAGATCTTGCGCTGACGAGTGATGCAGGCCTTTCGCCATGAAAAGAGACCGAAGGAATCACAGGTTCGATAGATGGACAGCTTTGATTCTGCGCCATATTTGTCTGGACTTTTCCTGCTCTCTTTCCCCTACGCTCAATTCTTGTGCTTATTCCTCCTCCAGCCCGCGAAGCATAGTGTCGATAGATGGAACGCCCTGATTCTGCGCCACATTTGTTTTGATCTTTTCCTGTTCTCTTTCCCGTACGCTCAATTCTCTCGTCACGGAACGCCCGCTCATTCTTCCTCCTGCTCGCCAGGCGCAGTCTCGATAGATGGAAGGCTTACCAAAGTGCACAATTCAAGGAAGGTGTATGATGTTGTTCCAAGGCGTCTTTCGTGGGAATCTTTTCTCGCGAGTGCTATCCGCATGCGGGTCGAGTCACTCCCCGCATCTGCTCGGCGGCACAGAGGATGAATACGCTGAGTGGTGGAATGGTATTTGCTGGAGTTGCAGCTGGAATCAAGATGAAATACGATGTCGATGGAGTGCGAGAGGATGTTCTGGAGAGATGGACTCTGCAAACGATCGGCTCGGCTCGGCTCGGCTCTGGACGAAGGCAAGCGCAAGGCGACGACATCAGTCTGCTTCAGCACACATCGACATGCAGCCCAATGCAGGCACACGCGGGCACAGGGATGATCATGGAGGATCGACAGGGCGATGGGCGATGAACGACAGTTCGCAGCACGTGAACGATGGTTTGCAGCGATGGATGTAACCACTCCACTCCACTTCACCTTACCTCACCTCACCTTACACATTGAACCGACTTCCACCTCCACCACACCACACCACACCATACACCACCGCCCTTCAAACCACATCGTCCGCGAAAGTCAGCCTTCGCCGCCCGCCCACGCCTCGCCTCGCCTGGCCCACCGGATTCGTTTGCACTTCGACGGCAGCAGCGCTCGCGACTGAAACTGCATCTGCATGTCTCGGCTGACTTCCATCCGCCTCTTCGCCTGCTCTCCATTGCCTGCGCGACTCCTGCTGCCATCGCGGCGCCGATAGATGGACATTGGACGGTGCGCGACGGCGGCAGTGAAGGGCCTGCACATTTCCATCAATTTCCCCGTCTGCTGGACCATACCCTGCGTCCCAATCCTCCACCGCCCTGCCCTATCTGGCGTCTCTCGCGAACAGGTGTCTGACGCACCTTCATACTTCCGACGACTCTGGTGGTTTTGAACATCACAGCCATTGACGGGCCCGAGACATTTGGGACTCGATTGAATCGCTCGTCTTCTCATTTCGACCCTCCACCATCAATTGAGACGCAGAATTCACGTTCTCTATGTCGTATGTCGGTCACAGTCGTGCGCAAACACCGGCACTGGCCCATCGCATCGCATCGCATGGCATGGCGATCAAGCGGCAATGCGCGCCAACGGGAAGGTGGATGATGCATGCAAAGCATCCAGCTTCGTGCAGTGAAGTCCAGTGCAGGCCGCAATGGTCATCGATGGCCATTGATGGGTGGTGAACGCATTCTTCGTTTGACTGTCTTTCTCGCCCAAAGATCAACACATATCACTGGACTCTCTTTCGTGACCAAACATCGCTACATACCTTTGATGCCCTTCGGTCCCGCTGCTATGGCCGCCTCATTGCCGCCGCTCAGTGACGCTGCCTACTACAACCCTACCAATTGCCCGGTTGCTGCAAAACTGTGTAGCACACTCCACGCCGTCAGTGCTCTTGGGAACAGCATCACTGCCGAGAAAGTCCTGCGTCACCTACTCAGCGATCTCCATGGAACCATCTCGGCCGCTTCGCCACAAGCACCAGCTTTGACAACTTTACCAGGCACACTGCAAAACAACGATGAGTGGGCCAAGGACCAGCTATCCCTGCACTTCCCCTCCGTCCTCTCGAACACGAAAGCATGTCGAGAGTGTAAGAGGAGAAAGAAAAGATGCGTTTTCTCAAGAGCGAATAGTATGTTCGGCTACGCTCTGCTGTTGATTTGCTTTCTCTTTTGCTGACTGCATGCCCTTAGGCCATACATGTGACGACTGTACTAGGAGAGGCTGCGACTGTGAGCCGATCCCGCAACCACCTCCGAAAGCTGGCAGCAAGAGGAAGAGAGTGGAGCCCTCTATTGCTGATAGTGGACCTATGCCGTGCAAGAAGACGGCATTGAACCACGCTCTTCCCCCTGGCAATTGGGCAGAGCCGCCACAGTTCAGCGCACATGTTTGGAATGCTGCTGGCAAGCATGGAAGCAGACCAGTGGTCGGAGGTGAGCTCCTTGGGTTGGATCCGTCTCCGACCACTGGAGCAGGCGTGGACTTCGGACATTACAAGCCTGGAAGCTCCTACCACGCTCCCGACCAGTATGGTAGCGCCATGGTGCCTCGCGGTCTGTCCAGTCAGAACCTTCTACCAGCTTCATTCGGCAGCGCTTGTCGAGCGAGCGAGAACTTCGGACGCCACAACCCTGGAAGCTCCGACAATGCTTTCGACCAGTATGGTAGCGCTGTGGTGCCTCTCGGTCTGTCCAGTGAGAACTTTCTACCAGATTCCGGCAGCGCATGTCCACCATCCTCCTGCGGCAGCATCTTTGCAAATGCACTGGGTACAAAAAATCACATCTCTGCCAATGGAAATCGATCTCCCGAAGACATCACGAACCCGGATCATCAAGAAGCTGCTACCACAGTGCGGGGCGGCTCCATGGCAAACCAGTTTTTTCCTGCGATTCACGATACCAGGGCGGTGCGGGAGCTCGGCAACAGTGACCAAGACGATACCGACGAGCTGGCTGCATTGGCCTTCGATCCCGGTCATGCAGCGCCACACCAGTCACCCGAAATCGGTCTTGCGGAACTAGAAGACCTGGACACGTCGTGGCTTGACGATTTCACCTCGTCCCAGAGCCGGAAAAGAACATAATCGGCAGGAGATCAAGCATGCTCTGAGATCTAACACGGTGGTATAGAACGGGCGTGGAAGTGCTTCAACGCCATCTATCTGCATAATTCTCGTTCACGTCTCTCGATTGCTTGCTTCTTGGTTCGACCTTGACAAGAAATCTCAACTCCTGAGTCTGTCGTTTCTACCAGGTCTCGGCTCGGGAGTCTCAGCACTCTTTTTTCCCCATTCCTGACAGGAGGGTGGTCATGAAGCCCAATCTTACTGAGATTATGCAGTAGCGAAATAGATGAGACGATCATCGCTCATGCCTCAGCCTCAGCCTCAGCCTTGCCGCCTTTGAGCAGAAGCACCGTTGGTGGAAACACTATCCATGGCTGAGACATATCTGCATCAAAACGCGACGCTTGCCTAAAACCACCCAACTCCATCTCACATTTCATTGTTTCATTTCCCTTTTTTCCCCAGGCTGAGATACAGCTGCATCATATATGCGCCACGATTGTCTGAAAGAACATGAGTCCTTCACAAGTCTCGTTTTCCGAGTGCCCGCCGATTTTCCTACATAAAACCGAATTTTCCCGTCCCAGTCGGTTCTTGCGTTCTTCCATCTGCACACGACGACAGACACCACCTCGACGAACCCATCATCGTCATCAACTCACAATGCAGCCGCAACAAAACCCTCAGCAAAGTTCGAAGCAAGCTGCCCAACCACCGCCACCCAACCCACAGTCACCTCTAGCACCACCACAGCAACAGCAACACCAACAAGGAAAAGGAAACATCCGTCTTCTGGACCAAGTCACGCGCCAATATGAGGAAGCCCTCAGCAAAGCACTCAACCTCAACGCCAAACGCGCATTTTTCGCCAGCGTCAGACGCCTCCCGTCCTCACGAAACGACCTGAAGTTGATCTTCTGGCACACACTCGAACGTCTCAGCAGGATGCTGCATTCCTGGTACTTCCTGGTCATCTTCTACATAGTGGTCGCCGGCCTAGGAGGTTTGTCTCTGTCGTGGATTCTAGTCAAGGTCACCGTCGGCTTGTGCGGGACGCACACGGTGGCGCACGGGAGTCACCTGTTCAGTTCTTGGATCCTCCGAAGGCCGGAGCTCGACCTGTGTGACTCGATCAAGGTCTTTTCCGAAGGGCTGAATCCGTATTTCTTTCCGTCGGTCGTCACAACATCCGGCGCAGAAGGAGGCGGCAGCAACAACAGCACTGGTTTGAGAGCGTACCGTGTTGATACCGACCTGCTCCTCTCACTCTCCGTCAAGCACTACGCCAGCCTCACCCACCTGGGGCCCCAGATCATCGACTTATGCGCTCTCGTGAACACCGCTGCCATACATTCCCACACGATCTACGCTTGGGTCCATGCGAATCCGCACATATTCGCGAAGCATCCCGCGCTGGTGCAGAAGGTCGACGACGTGAAGCAACAGCTGGGCGAACACAGTGAATTGCTCGACAGCTTCCGGATATCGCTTGAACACCACCTCATCGACGGCCGCCAGCGAGCTCAAGCCCTGCACCGCGCCGCCACATCGTGTCTCGAAAACAACAAGAGCCATTGGGAAAGCACGCGGATCTTCATGCGCTTGCTGTACAAGTTCTTTCCGCCCCTCCACGCCGAAACCGACGACGCCCAGGTCGAGCGAGCCATTTCCCGCTTCCTGCACAACTTTGGCCCCAAGGTGGAGAAAGACTACCGCGTGTCCGACACGCTGAGATCGCAGGCGCAGCAGATCCAGTACGAACTCGAAGACTTCGCAGTCCTCCTGGACACCTCGTCAATGTTCGAGAAACGCTGTGTCCCGCGCTCGCTGATTTCCCAGCTCTTGTCCATGCCTTGGACCTGGTTCTCGTCGTCTCCTATTCCCTGTCTCTCCGTCGACGACTACCTGAAGGGCCAACTTACGTTGCTGCGTGAAGAGGCTTCCAACGCCTCCAAGACTGTACACACGGTGTGGGAACTTCATAAGGGAGTTCGTGGCCAATTGGATCATATCAAGACGCAAGTTCACAGGGAGAAATGTCGTGAAAAGAGAGAGAAAGAGGACGGTGAATCGGAGCATATGCAGGTAACCAGTGACGGTTTCCTGGGGAGCATGGAGAGAATACTTCCGAAGATTGAGCGTTTGCTGAAGGTTGGAGCTGGGAAATAGACAAGGTATGCTGCTAGATCGCCATATAGCTTCCGAAGTATCGCCATGCAGCGTACCGTGTGGCCAATCCTCTCTCTCTCCATCATCATCTTTGCTGCAGAGCGAAGGGCGCTGCCTTCTGTCTCACCCACGACCACAAAATTGCCCGAGCCACAACGACGGCCAATCGAAAGCTGACACAGTTACCATTCAATGTGAAGTGTTGGAAATTCGGCCATCGAATTATCGACGGCTCGGAGACTATGATGCGGCACGACCACGGCCGCGAGCAGTTTGAGGGCGGCGGAGACTGTTGGTAGGAGCGCTATTCATGCGCTCGCTCCCTCCCGCCGCTGGCGAGGAAGCAGCCGTGGGCGGCTGATCTGAGGAGTTGTCAGAGGAGTCACCAGAGCTGATCTCAAAGCGTTCCTCGGGAGCAACGCGATTTGCGAGGTTTGGGTTGCTTTGCTCGGAGTCGGAGTCGAAATACTCCGGACCAACACCCGTTGATGGACTTGTCTTGACTTCTTCGGAGTCAGAGCCGGAATCGAAATACTCCGGACCAACACCCGTTGATGGACTTGTCTCGACTCGTTCGGAGTTGGAATTGGAAGCCAGAGCAGGGTAGCCTCGGCGATCGGTGATGGTTGGTAGAGTTGTGCTTGCTTGTTGGGAGTCAGAGTAGGAATTCAGAACAGGATAGCCAGGAGCAACTCCTTCTGTGTCATCCACATTGGGGTGAGTGGAGTGCGAGCCAGAGCTGAGGAATAGATCCCCAGCATGGCCACGAGTTGCGTGGCGTATGACGGGACGGGTGGTGATTGGCCTTGCTTGCTCTGCAGGCCTTGCTGGCATTTCTCGAATTTTTGGCGGAGCCAGAGAGAAGCCTCCGGAAGCTCGACGAGGAGGCGGAAGTGTTGGACCGGTCGATGTTCGGGCTAGGGTCGGTGGTGGAGCAGCAAGCGTCGTTCTCTTGATTATGGCTCGCGCTGTCCTCACTGGCAACACTTCGAGCAAGAGCAGCCATACCCATCCCGTTGCACCGTCTCGAGTGCGCCGGACAAAGCGCCAGGCTGCGAGTCAGCTTAGGTCAGCGGAGTTGGATCACAGGTTTGCTTGGAAATGGATGCAGTCTTGGCTCACTCACACAAATCTTGGGGTTGGGGTGAATGCAAGAGTACGAGCTCGTCTTCGCAAACGAGGCCAAGGAGTTCTGGGAGAGTAGGCGATTGGAAAGGTGCTGCATCGAACTCCTGTTTGACTCGATAGGCGAGGCCCTTCGGTGTCAAGTCAGACGCGGTCAAGTCTTGAATGCTTTGCAACGTATTGAGTTGATGCTTGGTTGGTGCCCAAGGACCGCGGTCAGCAGTGGGCGGCGGCGGCGGCTGGGCGGAGGCCCGCGACTTTCCCATCTCCTCCATCTCCGGTTGGTGTTCACCGGATACATCATCAATGTTCCTATTCATTCCCATCGACACCTGGACAACACTGGGCAGCGATATACCACCCGGGAGGGTGACATCGGGGCCAGTGTAGCTCTGTTTCAACCACTCGTACACCATCTCAATAGCCAAGCCTTGCTCCTCGTCATCCTCAATCTTCGTCCACCACGGCCATGCGACGAGGACGCAAAGCATGACGATCTTCTGGGACTCGAGACGGTGGTTGCGCAGCTCTAGCAACGAGGCTTCGGAGATGCCTTGGGTGTTGAGCAAGGCAGCGAGGCGGTCGGTTTGCCAGCGGGCCAGGGCAGGCAGGGCGTAGGCGGTGTGACGTCGGCGCGACAGAGCATCGTCGCGGGAGAGCGGTGTGGATGATGTCGACGACTCGAGGCCATAGAACTGATGGTGCTCTGGTCAGGGCGGGCTCAGACGAGCGTGCTGCATGGAGCATGGGAGAGGGCTATTGTACATGGTGCTGCGTGGTTTGATTTCGGCGCTGGTTACCTCGACCTTTGGGATGGAGTCGCTCATGGTAGCGCTGGCTGCAGTGCGTCGCTGTCGGGCTGTTGGGCAAGCCTTCTTGCGTTGAGGCGGCGGTGTTGGTGGTGGTGTAGTGTTCGCGCGTACGCAGAAGTTCAAATCTCGCGGAGGACCTGTGGACCTACCGAGCTTCTCCGCGCAGGCGTAGGCCTTATCTTATCTTATCTTATCAACAGCTGGCTGCAAACCTGCACACCTCAAATCGTCCACAATGCAGGGAGCATAACATTGTCGCATTCAATCACGCATTGCATTGCTATCCAGTGCAGGCTGTGATATGCATGCATTGGTGCTATGCTGTGCTATTGCGTAGTGCCTCATAGTAATAATCCGGCTTGCAGACAGGTGGACAGACAGGTGGATGGCGGAGGTGGACAGAAATTCCTGTCCACCTCAGCGCAATCCAAATCTCATCCCAGTCCGCACACCACTATTCCACCATCCACCATTCCACCATTCCACCATCCCACCATCCCACCATCCCACCATTCCAAGCACCTCGACCAAACGATCCCCAATTCACCATGTTTCTTGCGCATGAGAACAGTGAAAGGTGCACTTCGAACGGCGTTGTTATACATCTCGCGCCGTGGCTGCCATCCCCTCTCCAAACTCCAGACGTCAGTCGCGCGACTAACACCTCCGCTGCTACATCGACCATGCATGACACGTGCGCGCTCTCTGTCTCGAGACTACAGCCTGCCAGCTCACCATCTGATGATAGAGGCCGGGAGCAGTCGGAGCTCCGACAGGCGCGGCGGTGACGGCCTGGTGATGGCCTAGCGGATATCTGCAGAACGATGTTTGAGGTCTGCTTGAGGCCTGCTTGAGCTCTACTTGAGGTCTGTTTGTGGTCTGGTTGAGGTCTGGTTACGGTCTTCTTGAGGCCTGGTTGAGTCTGGTCAAGGTCTGACTGCACTGCGGCGCCGATGAGCTCGACGGGCATATAAGCGCCACGAAGAGCTCGCACCTTTCTTTTCAGAACACATCCTCGCCAGGATACAGCTCACACCTTCACCAAACGCTGCATCCTCGGGACCCAGCTAGGCATGCCTCCACGCACGCGCCATTCCAAGCACCGCAAGGCCATGGAGAACATCGACTTCACCGATGCCGACTACACCGATAATGATCATGACGCCTTTTCCTCCGACGAAGATGACTTTGTGCTCGCGTTTGGTAACCTGTCCGTCAATGCTATCCTCGAAGGTATGAGCAAAAGCTGGCACACAGTCCGCTGTACAGATCGCTGATTGATTCCTAGGCCGTCGCTTCACCTGGCCCAAGAAGGCTAAGGCTCTGATCGTCCAGCACGCCCTCGCTGGTGATACGTACGTCTTACGCTCTTCCCAAATGTCCCAACGCACGCGCTGATGATCGGTCCAATAGTCCCTTCGCTGCCCACTCCCTGCCAACGCCTTATCAGCTCCTCACCTTGGGCCAGGCCCTCGAGCTCCCGTTGAACCGCGGCAAAGAAGTTGCCAAAATCTGCATCGACAAATTGGTCGCTCATGTCCAGAACACCCTATCTCCTAAGGGTCTCCCTGGCTTGATCGAGGAGCGCCGCCGCAGCGATGGCTCTTGGCACATTGCTGTGTCTAAGGCCTTGATCAAGGAAGCCCGCCGCGATACTTTTACTTGGCACTCCATTACAAGCGGCGATGTGGCCGAAAAGCATGCAGATTGTGGCCGGAAATTCCGTGAGATCAAGAATGGTAACGACACTAGCAAGACGGCTTTGGTGAAGGAGACTATGGACTTGTTGGTCCGCGGCGACGTAAGTCTTTCTCGATGGCATCTTCTAGTCTCTAGGGTACTGACTCCTGTCGGCAGGTCATCACCAAGTCCTCCAAGACGTCCCCAATGAAGGCGAAGCCAGACCTCTCGTGGCTCAAGTCTCCGCCGCCCGGTCCTGCTGCAACCTCGCCAATGCCGCTACCTGCCATCGGCAAGACTCGCAAGTCCGGCTACTACGGCAACTTCATTGCTTCCGATACCAACTACGCCTGCAGCAGTGACAGTGGCAGCGAGAGCGAACCCCAGAGCGTCGTCGTGAAGAGCAAGACCAAGACCAAGACCAGGAAGCCACAGGAGAAGATGCCTTCAGCGAATGCGAACATGGACGAATCTCCCACTCCGATGCCGAAAAAGTCGACCACTGCCAACAAGTACAAGTACAAGTCCATCAAAGCTGGTGGGGCGTACAACTGCGACAGCGAAGACGAGATCATCCCACCAAAGCAGAGCAAGTCTTCTTCTGCTTCTGCGAAGAAAGACATGTCCTACTCTGTCCAGTCCGACAGCGAGGATGAGATGACTCCACCGAAGTTGAACAAGATAACCTCCGCTAAGAAGTACAAGTCCATCAAAGCCGGTGGAGCGTACAACTACGACAGCGAAGACGAGATAATCCCACCAAAGCAGAGCAAGTCGTCTTCTGCCCACAAGGATATGTCCTACTCTGTCCAGTCCCACAGCGAGGACGAGATCACTCCACCCAAGTTGAGCAAGCCAACCTCCGCCAAGTCCATCAAAGCTGGTAGAGTGCACAAGTCCGACAGCGAGGACGAGATCACTCCACCGAAGCTGAACAAGCTGACCTCCGCCAAGAAGTACAACTCAAGCGTGCCTGCTGCTGCTGCTGCCGCCGCCGCCGCCGACGATTTCGAGAGCGAGAACGAGACTCCTGTTCCTAAGCAGAAGAAGTCCGTGAACAGGAAGGACAAAGTTGCTCTCCTCGTTGCAGCTGCTCAGTCTGAGAGCGAGGCTGGCACTGTCCCAAAGCCGAAGTTCTCCCCTGCCAAGCAGGTTCAAGGCACGTCGCGAAAGCAGAAGCATGTCTTTTTCAACGAGAGTGATGGCCAGTCGGACGATAAACCAGTCAAGACCAACACGGGAAAGGTCGACCAGCTCGCGGACGGGCACTCCACCAGTTCGAAGACTGAGCAGAACGCTGCGCTCAATACCGACACCGCCTCTGATGACAGCATCCCACAGGACACACGCAGCTACATTCATGTCCTCAAGGCTTGTGGTCTCAAGCCAGCTGAGATGGCCGACAAGATCATGCAGAAGATGGCAGATGAGCAGGGCGCCGCGCTCAATGCCAATACTGGCACCACCGGTTACACCATCCCTGAACATCTTCACACCCTCGTCCATGTGCTCAAGGCCTGCGGCTTGACGCCAGCGGAGATCGCCGACACTTTGACGAGGAAGATGGCGGATGAGAAGCAGGCTGCTGCCTCCAAGTCTATGTCCGACGCTCCCTGCCTTCTTGGCGATTGAGTTGTGCTTCAACTCAACCATGGGAGACAATGTTGACCTAACAACATTGTCGGTTTAAGGAGCGAGAACGATGAATGAATTACAGTTGCGGACTCAGCTGGCGTCGTGACGCCTCATGGAGATCCCTTCACCAGTGCGGTAGGTGAAGGCTGGCGCTAAATCAAGGGTTTTCTTTTGTCTCGATGCAATATTCGACTGACCAGGCGGCTCAACGTACGGGAGACAGTGCTTAGGACAGCACCAAGCCTCCAGTTGCGTCTGACCACGAGTTTTCCCAAGGGATGCTCTGCCTTACCATGGCGATGGGTCTATCACGTCTTCCGCCAATGATTGATGGATCAAGTCATAAAGATCTGTACCAATCAAACTAGATAACGGAAATCCAAAACCATGCTCACAGCGATCGAATAGCCGGCGTATCGACATTGATGCACTCGTCTTGTCTCTTCCGCTACAGCTACCAACGATTGAAATGCTCCCTACCTTCCGAATAGCCTCTTCTCCATGTATTAATCAATTCTCGGTCAAACTACATCAATCCTGCTGAAGGCGAGTCTGCACGACAATCTCGCTCGTTGAGGAAAAACAAAGAGCTCCTTTTGCATTGCCCATACCTCACTTCATCGCCTCGCAGCTCCGAGTACTCACTTCGCTCGCAAGCTTACTTGGCGCGGTGTTGATGAGTTGTGCCCCAAGTCCGATCAAAGCTGAGTCAAATTATCGGGACATGGATGCGGGGAAAGCTGAGGTGCCCGACCCTTCTCGAATTGAGACCAAGACTCCAAAGAGAAAGAAGCACCCTCGACTCGCGCATTGCGCATCGCGCATCGCGATGCCTCAAAATAATATCACGTCACCTGCATACCTGAGATACAGACGCACTAACTCCCCGGCATCACGGCCACCTATGGTTCGCCCATACCCGTCCGCCATCATGGCGCGCCCATACCGTTCCCGTCTACCGAGCAACGATGCACCTGCAGACCCAGACCCAGACCCAGATCCAGATCCATCGAGCGACAGCGACAGCGACAACATTGTGGCAGCTCAGCCTTGTAAGGCGCCGCCTCGCGGCCGACGTCGCAAGAAGACTGCAGCAAGTAAAGCGGCGCCGCAAACCAAGAGTGCGAGCCAAACCAACCATGACAGGCATATTCGCGACCAAGAAGCTACTGGTGAGGAAAAGCAAGGCAAGACATTTGCTTCCACGATCGCGCGCTGTCTGAGCGCGCGAGAAATCGATGAAGCCGAGACCTTGGAAACATACAGCCGCGCCTGGCAGGCAATGCTTCCAGCAGACAGCATGATTTCCAGGCTAGACAAATTCATTCCAAACGACATCGCGACTCGGCTCGACCAAATCGTCGCATCTCGAGCCAGGAAGTGCAACACTTCAGATTCAAGTTGGCGCAAGATCCAAACTTGTCTGAACAAGCCACCCTGGAACCTGCTCAAGATACATCTCTATGCGATCTTTGGGGAGGACTGCTTAGCCCGCACATTCCTCCCTGTGATGCGAGAGCTTTCGATGCTGACTCGAGCCGAGGATGGCCGAAGCCTCAGCCTCGATGAGGCCTTCCCTGTACTCTCACAGAAGCGAGATCAGCGCCGGAATGGGATGGCAAGAGTGAAGGGCGTAGAGCCGGAGCCACAGTGGCAGGCGTGGGAACTTAAACAGACAATCAGGCATTTCGTGCAGGAGGGCTGGGTCGAACGCATCAAGGCACCGATGCAGGGCGGAAAGAAGAAGAAGAAACAGCAAGATCAACATGAGCCGAGTGGCCAGGAGAAGGGTAAGAGCCTACGCGAGCACGAGCTAGCCCCGCTGAACAAGAATGGAGCTGGACCAGATGGCGAGGGAGAACAGGCCGATACAGAGACAGAAAATGGCAGCGCGCAGTCTGGCGATGGTACAGCAGAGGACGCGAACCTCTGCTTACCAACACGCTCGACGACTGCGAATGGCAAGGAGTCCGAAGCAGATAACGAAAAGATCGGTGGTGCTACTGATGGCGCCGACGACGCCGAGGAGGTCTCGCACGCATCGCAGGCAGACAATGAAAACGTTGGTGCTGCTACTGATGGCGCCGACGATGACGATGAGCGAGAAATTGAAGAACTGCGACGGGCATCAAGGCGCTTATCCTTGGACGAACTTTCCGACGACAATTCGTGCGACATGTCCATTACCGATGTGTTCTTCGAAAGTTCGGGCAATCTCGGCGTTTCGCGCGCCTCCTCCGTCTGCTCCAGCCACGACAGCACCGGCAGCAACAACGACCACTTCGATGATGCACCGCTTTTCATGACTCCCAGCCCCGCTCAGCGCAACTCCCCACCTCCACCCGCACCGGCACCGCGTGACACGAGAGCTGTCGTACACGACAACACCACTTCGCCTGCCACCGCCGCCGCCGCCGCCGCCACTCCAACCCTTGTTTCTAAATCGCGCCTACCCCTCAACACCACCTCCACAATGGCCGACGACGATGCCTCCGCCTCGAGAAAGCGCCCACGGACCGATGGGTTCATGGAACATCTTCAGCTTCGGGGAGATCTCCGCGCAAAGGTAGAAGCTGCGTTGCCGCCTACAGTGCGAGATGAGCTGGTCCCGGGGCTGCGCGCCTGCTTTGATGTTTTCTCTGTGACATCGCCATCACGAACCCAGCCGGCAGAACCGACTCCCAACGACGATCCTGACGACTCACTCACTCCATGCCGTCTCGACGCGCCTGATGGATCTTCCTACATTGCCTTCATGTACGGCATGTGCCTCGGCTACATCCCTCCGACCCCCAATCCTGCGAACGACCATCCACAAGCCACTATCTACGTGCCAGCGCCGAGTCTTGAGTCAGAGCGCGGCGACATTCTCGACTGCTTCTTCTCTACTACTGGAATCACGGGAATCGAGGAAGAGCATGTCCATTTTGAAGAGCTGGGCTCGTTGGCCGAGCGTGACAAGCAAATCTTAGTCGTGGCAGCGAAGGCTCTCTGCGCAGCATATCCAAATGCAAACCCAGCTCAGGTTCAGGTTCAGCAGGACATCGTTCATTCGGTCTGGCGCCGCTTCATAGGGCTATGCCGCAATCGCGTTGCATCGCGTCTGAGCTCCGAATCGTTTATGGAAGCAGCTGTCACCTTTCCTGCTATGGATCTCGCTTCCACCTTTCCCGCTGGAGAGTGCGTAGACTCGCCGCTCGCCGCTCGCGCTGCTACTGCCGACATCGCTACGCTGCAGAAGATGGAGGCTTCTCTGGAAGACATCGAGAAGCTCCTGCGCACAAATGAGGAGATCCGAAAGATCGTCATCGCTCGCCTCGGCCATCTCGAGAAGGAGGTCATACCTTCACCCTCAATGAGGAAGCAGATCCAAGACATCGAGAATCTCTTGACAAAAACCCAGGACGCCTCTCTCCGAAACGACCTCGACAAGCATGTCCATCGGCTGCAAAACGCCGCACGAGAGAGCCACGACAGGCGCAAGAGCACACTACAGGGCTTGAAGAGTGCACTGGGCGTGGACAAGGCCGACTATATGGATGCGCGAGATAATCATCCAGTGAAGATTCAGATGGTGAAGGAGGAACTGGTCGAGGCTTGGCGTGCGGCACTGCGGCGTGTGGAGACAGCTTGCGGTCTTGTCCAGGCCGAGAATTAATGGCGATGCACTGATGAATGCTCTCGAGGCATGCAGGACTATTGGACGACTTACGAGAAATGCATTTCGATACCCATGTACGAATAGACTGATTATGATCCCAGCGCTGGTGTTTTCTGTTTCTACCTAGTGTGAGTAGTCAGCGTAAGCTATTCACACAGTTCCGTCGCTCATGATTTGGCAAATTCCCGCGAGACCATGGCGAAGTCTAGGCAGGAAGGCTTGCTGTTTGGTGAATTGTAGGTCAGCTGGGTTGAGGATGGCGAGATGGGAGAAGGACGAAGACGGTTGCCAGGGCATCGTGATTTCTGGAATCCTGCCTACTTGAGGACAGACTGGCTAAAAGGCTGGACCTGTCAAGCTATCTTGGTGTGCATGAGTGCGGAAGTCTGTTGCTCGGCGAGTCTCTTTCAGCGCACCATAGCCGAGACGTTGCTCGAGGACGATGGCGTGCCCGGGCTACAATGTCAGTTCACGCCATGACGGACAAACGTATCGTCTCTCGATATGGCCAGCCCGGCCTCCTCAGCAAAGCATTGACCTCTCTGTCCTGGTATGTATAATGCAGTGGCAAAGACTGCTGCGTGGAGTGGAGTTCGTTGCGGTTATCTCCCTCATCGGGGCCATTCATGGCGCCGCTGATGCCAGGTACTGCCTCGTGCTCGATGGATCGTGCCACCAGTTGCATCGGAACAACATCCTGCGAGCAGGAACAACATCACGAACCCCCTCGAGACATCATCTCAGCCTACCAGACGCCCGTTGCCCGCTGCTGTCAGTCACACATGAGATGTACGCTTGGCAGTTCACCAGGCTGTCACGGAATTCCCTGACCCAGGCGTGAAGCACATCAATCACATCGTCACCACCCACGGCTAGCAGCGACCAGGATCAAAGCCAGAGCATGGCACAGTCCCACAGATACTTCCAGCGCTGCGAGACATGAAGATTCTTCATTCCACGAAGCGAGATGCAATCCACTGCCTGTGACAAAAGTTTCCCTCGATTCAAGCTGGTACCATCCCAGGACCTGGCTCGTACCGATGTCGGCAGATGCTCGTGCTTTGTCCTCACCGGTTTATGCTGTTGCTTCCTGGCCGGAACTCGATTCCCAATGCTCCGGTCGAGCAAAACGCACGATTGTCCACACCTCACGAGTCACTGGCGCCGGAGACGCAGCTTGGCATGGACTGTTAGAGCGATCATTCCGTTTCCAGACAATCATGCCACCAACCACGCTCGACCAAAGAGCCTGTCCAAGGCTGGGTTGGGTCTGAATGACCAAGAATTTCCGCGTTCAGGAACATTCATGATGGATTCAGCACATAGCCAGCCTCACCATGCTCCGGACTTGACGCTGTGAATTCGCATTCTGGACTGGCTACCAAGACATCTATGAAGTATCACAAGGCAGCATGAAATCTCTCGGCGTGCGCATAGAGCGGTTGGACCGCCTCATGGCGTTCTTGCACCAGTTGGGCGCAAGGAGTTTCCTTGTAGCCCACGATCCACGAAGCGAGCTCATGAGTACTTCGGTGTCTATATAGAACGATTGACTGGAGTATATCTTGCCATAGGTCACATGGGAGCCACCACCTTGTGTTTCGCACAACACTGCGCCAGAGGTAGCTCGAATTGACAGCATTCACGGGCTCTCGACAGCCCATGAGGGATGCATCATCTTGCACGCCCATTTCAGCTGACTGCTGCACAACGAAGAGCATTGGTCATCAGCAGCAGATCTCGGCGGTTTGTGGGCGGATTATTGTCCCAATTTCATCACACTACCTGTTTCGTTAAACAAGGCGTATTTGGTCGAGCTTTCATACCAATGTGAGCTTTCATACCGATTCGATGAAAAGGCTGATCTCCTGGTATCTGATCAAAACAGCCATCTTTGAACGTCAGCATTTCTTCTGACCAAATGAGCCCTTTGCCAAAACAAGCCGTTCGAGGGAAGCTTGCTCGGTCAAAGTCACGACAATGAGACTGGCCAGGAAGAGATCAAACAAGGCCATGTTTGGTGGTGTGATATCAACTGACGGCGACGGGCCGAAGAAAGTTCCAGCCGTCATTCAAAGTCGCAAATCCGGGGTACAGAAAGCTTCTGTACCGCAAACTTTCATAACGCACGCAGGCACACTTCTATACCGCACCGCAATGCTTGAGATTCGCGCTTGTTTCCAAGTTGCTTTCATTCCGATCAAATCCGCCAAATCTGCCCAAATCCCGCCCACTTTCACCAAATCCGCCCAATTTGCCCAAATCCCGCCCACTTTGCCTAAAGTTGTCCTTTTTCCCAACTTCTCCCTTCTCTCATTGAACAGACTGGCCTACTCTTCCCAAGTTCGCGCGCCTTATTAACTAGATTCCCCTACTTTGACCAAACTCGCTCCCATTGACCGAATCTGCCTACTTGGACCGAATCTGCCCACTTCGCCCAAATTGGCCCACTTTGCCCCAAAATCCACCTTTTTTTTCTCCCCCCTTCGCCCTCCTCCGCATTGACTACATTCGCCAAGCAAGAACCCGCCCATCTCGACAGCGAAAGTGTCAAAGCAAGCGATGAGGGTGAGGGATTTGGGCGCCCCGCCCGTCCCGGCGAAATCACGATTCTCAATGCGAGACTCCGCCATATTTCACACCTTGCTCAAGTTCTCGGCAACTTAGGGCAAGTTGGTATACGAAGCAGTATATCCTAGGATAGAATACTCGATTGCTCCTGTGATCGAGGATGAAGAGTGGGTGTATCTCTTTTCTGCTCACGGTGAAACATCAACAATCGATTCTGGTTAACGACGAGTCCCATGAAGATGACAAGAGCAATACCTGCGTGCGAGCGACATTGGGTGAATCGCTGGGTGGGTCGCTGTACCGGGTGTTTTGTCTTTTTGGCTGCCATTTTCATCACGACGGGAAAGGTCATCTCTGTATTCGGAGAGCGCTGACGGACGGCTTGACGCTGCCGATCACCACGTCGTCGTCTCAGCATTCACACAGGACGGGAAAGCCGTACACAGGTGCCGACAGCTGTCATGTCGTACGTCTGCGAATGACCAAAGCATCGCAGGTCAAGGTCAGTGTCAACAGGAGCAGAGCAGGCATAGACATGAAAGCCTTCTCCATATCTCACATTGGCCAACAGGATACCTCGAAGGCTGTTATCCTTTGGGTCATCATCGGTCTCCGGCGTGTGGTATTTGCAGCATTTCGGCGCAAGCTCATGGACCTTCACCCCATCAATCTCATATCTCCATTTCATCAGCAGCTTTCGGTTTGAGTGCGAGGGGTTTTTGGTGTGCGAGGTGGTGGGCTCTTTCCAACAATTTCAGGTAGGCTCGTTCCAATCCGACAAGCACGCGTGGAGATCCACACTTCCGCCATTCCATGTACGAGGCAATGTGCAGAAGATCCGAGAACCGATCGACGCTGGAATCCACGGGCAAGGACGATTGATGTCACCCTGCGGGAGGTGTAAGATGGAAGGTATGAGGACAGGTGGAAGGGGGAAGGTGGTCTACAAGAAGAGCCCGAGAAAGGATTCAGGTCAGCTGAAGAAGCGCATTGTGGTGCTCTTCGACGTTTCATGGGTTCTCATCTAACGTTGCTTCACAGTACTACGGGTCAATTCAGCACCGAGAGCGCCCACCCAACTCTGTACTGAGGCCGTGGGAAGCCTTCGCATTTGTCTCAATCCTCCTCATGCCTTTTGAAGATGATGGATCGAGCTGGCCTCCGCTCACCACCGTTCCTCCTACTCAATGTGGTCATCTCGTTGCCGTGGTCCGGATCGTGGTGATACTTAAGAAAGAAGTCCACATGCAATGCTTGATGGCTCAACATAGCTCTGCTCACCCTCCCACGTAGCCTGAAGTCACCAAAAACTTCGAGTACACGCTATACCCATAATCCAAACCTCGCCACTAATCGCAGATCGTTTTGAAGCGGATGTGACGCACGACCGGACATGTCTCCTGACGTCTGGCAACCAGAGTTGAAAGCCAGACGCTGTCCAAAGTTCGTGATCTTGCATTCGCCCTCCTTTATGCTCGAGACGACGCCAGTGCTTCCAGGAGAATCGTGTCTGATCTGGAACTCCTGCGTATAATGGATTGAGAAGTCGAGAAGCTGAGAAGGACCACGCCAATGCTTCCAGGACCGTCGAGTCTGCTCTGGAACTCCTGCGTGTAATGGATTGAGAAGTCGAGAAGTTGAGATGCTGGTGAGTAGCTATTATATAGTATCTCCTTCGCCTCCACGCAATTGTGATGAGTGTGCCTGCAGAAGAGAGAAGCTCACTACACCAATATCCCAAGGTCCGTGGGGAGTTACTGACCCACGAGATCTTGACCTTCCGCGTTCTTGCGTCAGAGTAGATCTAGTTGGAATATTTGGTTGCAGATGCGAAGAAGGCAAAGGCATGCACCCATCTTGTATGCGTTTTCCCGCAAAAGAAGCTCCTTCTGCAACCCTGGCAATCAAAAAACAAATTGCCATACGTCACTGACTTGGTCGGCTGTCCGTGAGCACCCTGTAGCCAGACGGAGCAGCCCTTGAAAGTTGACTCTAGCTTCGTCACGAGCGATGGCACCTGTCTGACCTTGCTTCCTATATACGGCGAGCCACATCGTCTCTGCGGCTCCCACTAGACAATCACTACCAAAGGGAGGCATGACGAGTGGCCAGGATGGTGAAAAGCATGGACTGCCGAGGCTTGAATCGTCCCAGTCGACCATGGCGTATGGCGAGCACTGTTGGGCTGCTACACTCCCTACCATGTCGACAACTTGGCCGAAGTGGAGCTTTGTCTTTCCAATACTCATATTGCTATGCAGCTGCAGATGCGATTGGATGACGAGTGTTCTCCCATAAGGAGATGGCGGGGATGATTTTGAGGACGAGGTGACTCTTCAGGAAGAGTGCATTCGCTAGGCGACGCCAGGAGGATGCCTGATGAGAAAAAAAAATGCCGAAGTCACCAGAGCTCAGGCTTCGGGCAAAGATTGGAGATGTAATCATGCCAGAAATATAATTCCAATCGGCTTGAGGTATTGTGAGGGTGGCACGTCTCGATATTTGTCGCGCTGCTATTGTGCATGTAGACTGATGAAGGATCCCAAAGATGTCAAGTTCGACACTTGGCAGGTCGGCGGCCGAGTGCAGCTCTCTTATGGCGAGCAGAGGAACGATGTATGGGACAGCCAATTGCCCCGATCTAGCACTTGCTGCCGTAGTGCTGTCGACATTGGACTTGTTGCTCACTGCTGCTACGCTGGGCTCGCCGGATGGAACCACATTTTGGCCCAAGTGGGCCGTGAAATCTTGGGACAGGTGCATGTTGGCGGCAGAAGCCTCCGACATGTATAGGTGGGTCATAATTCGCTGCTGGCATGCAGATTGAGATGACCGCACTGTCATCGCAGCATCTGCCGTGCGGTGCACCGAGCGTGGGAGCTTTACTCTTCAGAATCTTGGGGCCTTTCCTCGTGAGAATCCTTGCGTATCTCGCCATAATAAGGTCTCGACGTTTGTCGTATCCCTTTTGAGTTCTTTCGCCGTCTTTGAATTCCATATCGAGAAGGTCGAGTTGCTTTCGAAGGTTGAGAGGCATGTCAGCTATCTCATATTCTTCCTTGGAAGCTATTGGATGTCGGACTCGTTGAGTGGTCTCCGGGTTGCAGTGCTGATGGGATGCGGCACGATGCGCTCGCTGGCCCTCAGTTCAGCTATGACTGCTGGTTGGCGCAGATCTTCATGTCGGTATCTCCATACCATGCAAGGTGGCGACATGGATTTTGGCGAGTGAAGGCTATATGCTGGGAGTATGAGTTGTAGCAAGGGACCTCAGTGCCAGATCGAAGTGACGCTGAGGTCCTCCTTGCAATGGAGCGACCGAGATGTCGATGACAAAACTCCCCATGCCTCTGTCTGCAGGATTGCGCTTACGGGTCGCACTATCAGACTTGACCATATCAGCTCTCATCACCCGACCTCGAAGGCATCACAGCAAGAAGGTAGGCCAAAGAGGCTCGTCTGGTCGTCAGGATACAACTTTTCAGGAAAATGGATACTGTCTGTGAGATGGACAAGCTCATAATCACACCCTGATCATCGGCCCAGAACGCAACATGAGATTTTTGTACTTTGTCGAACCCGATATCAAGGCGGAGGGAAGGAAATCGTCATGTTTGTTGCCCGACTGACGCTTAGGTGCGTGAAGGGGTGGCCAAATACCTCTACCAGCGGCCAAATTGGACAGCCCGACTCTTGCATCAGCAACATTCTGGCAGCGGGAATGGGGAGAAATAGACCATGATGTCTTCAACGACGATCAATATCGACTTCATTGGTATCTCGAGATCCTATCCCATCGTAGATGTCTGGAAATCTCCTGCAAAGGAGCTTCCTACGCCTCTCCTCTTCCGGTCACCCACCGGGCCGCTGCCTCCTCCTGTAACCGAAGTATGTTACCAGTCTCTTGAAAAGCCCTTGCAAGACATCCTGCCCAGAACTCCATCTGCGGCAAGCACAGCGAGTCTATGCTGACTTTGAGCTTCTCTTTCGATGTGACGTATGGGTTCGTCGTGGAATTGGCAAGCGCTCGTGTCTCGTGCGCAGAAAACGATGTTGATGCTTGGCTGCATGCGTGTGAAAGGCGAAGGCGGGAGGGAGCATAGAGCGGCAATTCGTGGGCGCTGTGTCAGGCAGCTGTAGGCGATGTCTCCGAGCTGCCGGCCTCAACAGATGGACGTGCTCGCAAGCGCCCGAGACTGCCTCGTGGATGCTCAGAAGTGGGCTCAAGTCGTCGCCACCACTTCCCCTGCGTTCTGGCAGTTTCTTCGCCGTAACGCCAGGATTTGGCTGTGCGCCGGCGTCGACGTGGGCGGGTGGCAGAGGCCCACGTGCTCGTAGCGTTGGTGAGTCCTCGCTGTCGGACGCAGAACGGTCATCGGAGCTGCCGTCAACGCTGCGAGGATCTTTATGGCTTGCGGGAGAATTGTCGCTCCCATCGGCGTCTCGCGCTTGTTGGTCGTCGTTGTCGGATTCCTCTCGCTGCTCTTGCGCCACCGTCTCTTGAGCTTCGGGCTGAGATTGGAGCCGGCCACTATCGTTGTTAGACCAAAGGTGATGCAAGGAACTCAGTGTGGTGAAGTGTGGGTCAACGGCGTGGTTGTCCGATATAGAATGATGGTAGGAAAGAGCGGAGCCCACCTGCCACGCAAAGACATTGTAAGTAGAAGGAGCTCGCACAGAGAGACGCCTTGCGCTCGAACAGCAAGGACCTAACTTGAATCCAATCTATGTGGTGATTGAAGCGGCCTCGACAGGAGTGTACTCAGCAGCGAAGTCTTTAGCATGCAACTTCGCCACGATTGTCTATCTCCATAACCTGGCGATCGGGAAATTGTACTCCTGTCAACGTCAGCTCATATCGCCCCTTTCCCAGCGCGCTCGTAGACGAGCTATTTGCAAGTGGGTAGCCATCGCTGATCCTCGCAGCACAGGTAGGCCTCGTATTATCCCATTGCACAAGACCACAATGTACACCTCGGCGTCACATTTCTCTGGGAGCTCGGCTGCCTTGTGCCTCAGGGTCGAGCGGCGCTTGCGATATTTGTCTTTGATTGATGAGATAACTAGGCGTAGCATCTTTGAACTCCTTAACCGCATCCTGGTGTAGAGGACATGTATATACGATGCAGTCTGGTCAGCTGAAGAATGTTCAAAGTCGCGAATGCGGGGTATGGAGAGCTTCTGCGTCGCAAGAAGAGTATTCAAAGTCGCACTTTTGCGGTACAGAAAGCTTCTGTACCGCAATTCCTTTCATGACGTAGCCTCCCGTTCCACAAGCTTCTGAGCCGCAAGACTCTGTGCCGCAGGACTCTGTGCCGCAGGACTTTGTGCCGCCAGACTCTGTACTGCAAGACACCTTGAAGCCGTCGGAGTCAAATTTTCCGTCTTGTCCTCTTCAAACAACCAACATTCTTCTATCCCATGCATGGTACCGGTGTCATTGCGCCAAAATGCTCAAACGTCTCGCAAGACGCCAGAAAATCAGCTCACTACCCAACAAACAAAGCGCGAAAAGGACAATGGCGGAAACTCCTTGTCTTGGGGCAATCCAGCGACCTCAGCGACCTTGAAAGAACTATCTGATCGTTGACAACCCTGATCAGCCAGCCCACCATCGATTCTGCGCATATAGTGACCTCACACAGGACATCTGCCTATGTGCAATCCGAGCGCGACCAGTCCTTCACAATCTCCGGAGACCACCCGCCATAAGCCGAGGAGCAGTTGGGCAGATTGCAAAGCATCAAGAGCAAGTCTGGGAAAGCTTGGGTGTGCCTCGCAATAGCGGCGATGAGCGGCAGGGAAAAGATCGCTTCGTGCTCGATGAAGCAACTGAGTACGCTCCATTCGAATCTCTGCGGGATACAAGAATACAACCAAGGGCGCAACTGTGACAGGTTCGATCGACAAGTGCTTCAGATCCTTGCCTACTGCACGCAGCATGTTGGAGACCGCTTCCCATTGCTCACGATGCAAGTTGACAGGCATCTCGGTGCGGAGAAACGACTCACAGATGCCGGGCGAGCAACGAGTCGCAGAGCTGTGACTCCCAGAAGAACATCCAACAAGCCCACTGGCCTCCGTCACGTTGGCCAATGAGATGGTGGGGTCTTGGAGTGCAGCACATAGTGGTGGGTTGAAGGGCCGGAAGATGAAATCGATCTTGTCGGTTACCAGTGCCAGTAGGGTGGGAAGATGCAGCTGGCTGTCGTCAGAGAACACAAGGTGAATGTGAAACATGCAGCTGCGGTGGGGATTGTAGCTCCCTTCTGACATGCAGAGGGATGGCAAAGGCATCGATTCTGCATCCGTCAGTCCACTCCTCCGCCCGAGGTCTGAGTGCTACCTGACCGGCAGCAATTTCCTCAGATGAGTGAGGCTCTGAACAACCATCGACAACAACTCATCCTCATTGCGGACGCTTCAGTTGCTTGGCTGTACGATTTCGGGGTGGTCGAGTCCCAGACTGGTCCCCACAATCCATGATCTGACATGCTGTGCCTGTCGAAAGACTCCTTTGCGAGCATGGTCCCACCGAACTACAAGGTACCTTGAGCAAGCCTCACGGTTTGATTACTTGGCCGAATAGTTGCCCGCTGACTATCGCGTTGGTGGTTCGGTCGACGACAGCCAGGCAAGTGCGGTCGACATCCTCAAGCTTGTAGCCTTGTCAACGGCTGCGCAAGTAGCGTCGGTGTACTTCCATGGTCGCAGAGAATGGTAATGAGCTCGTAGATCTGATACGACTGACATGCTTGCATTGATTGCGTCAAAGGCCTCTTGCTGTCTAGCCGCGAGTGCACACCCTTTGTGACATGGTGCGCTTGCTTACATGTAGGCGCCGAAGTGGCTTCCATATGGAGCTTTGTCGCTGCGGTTCCGATCCCCACCCACACGCCCAGAGGCATTCCCGAATGAAACGAACTTTTCAGACGTCAGTCGTTGTCTACGCAGTAAGATGGGTAACTGACGCATCCTCGTAGCAGTTTCATCGAGCACTGGTTTCAACTTCCAGGGCAGTCTCCTATGCAAAAGAGAGCAGATCAGCGATCCACCACCGACACTCCATCTGAATCAACAAGTCTGAATGGGGACCTTCACCGCAAGCAAATCAGGCCGCCAGCAGACTCATCCAACGAAGCTCATAACGCCAGCTGTTTCCAAGACACTGGGCGCTGCATGGCCAGCGCCGTGCTCAACCAAGATCGTGCTTCCTGTACCTCAAAGACATCCCCGAATCGACTGGGCATGGTCATAAAATGATCGTCACAGTCGCTCACGTATGGCACATATCCACAAGCATCGCGTGTGCATATAATCAAGGGACAGCAAGCTGCATCAGAGGCCCGAGAGCCTTTATCGCTGCGTGTAGTCAAGGACTTTCCCGTTCATGGTACAGGAGATCGACAGCCTCTACGTGGCGTGATCACTCTAATGCAGAAAGACATTGCGCCGATGCTGCAAGTTTTCATGGCGGAGACAGGCCTTCATTTCCACGACTTTGTGCAGTGGCCTCGTTGCATGGGATGTTTCAGATGCCAGGTACTCCCCAGACATCAGCGACCGACTCAGCCCCAGTGCTGGATTTCGAAGATGGAATGATGCAGCCGCATGGGGAAGATGCTGGATGGCGAGCGAGGATATCGTCGATCATTCAACAGGTGCGAGGCCGATCTCCAAAAGAGCGTGACTGAATCATGACAGTTCCTAGGTGCATTGGATTGTCGACAGGGTAGTTAGAAGATCCAGTACGGAGATGTCCGCGAACGGAATGTTCTCATGGCCACTAGTCGCTGTGGCTACAGCGCTCCGTTTGACGGCCACTTGCTCAGGATTCCGCTGCTGTCCACTCGGGAACTATTGCAAACAATCACGAACATCAGACAGACGTGAGCAACTTGTCGCGGCTCATGCTGAAGTTGACATGTCCTCATCCAGCCACACCAACGGCAGTGGACCTGGACAGTAACGGTCGGGAGCTCTACAATCTGAAGGTTGGTAAAGACGTGCCTACGAGTCTTTGGCTGATGCATTGAAGGACGATTGTGCATATGCAGATGCCCTCATGCGCGCTGTTTGTCGCTTAAAACAATCTTGACTTTTACTTCGCAGCTCGTGCAAGTGTTGGGCAGCCGCCATGCGAACTGAATCATGGCCATGGCCGTTCACTGGCACGTCCTGAAGCTGGACGGGAACGAGATCCCATTCTGGCGACCTGTGATGCCATGAGCCGACCCCGACAGACTGCTATGACGCGATTCCAGTATCACTTCCGACTCGTTACAATTGGAGAGTGTGTGCCTTGATGAATTCCCGGCCCCCATCGTCGACTTGACTCGGCCATTACGACAAATCTGCATCCATCAAAGGTGCGCCCAGCACAACCAGCACTTGAAATCCACATCCAGGTGCGAGCAAGGAGTCTTCTCCAGCGACCTTTCCAAGGTCTGTCGCTCTGTCGAGTCGCCATGACTGCCATTCATGACTGCCGCTCCCTGGTCGATCTCGCAGGATAAACTCCGCATCGGTGAACGACACGCCTTCGAGCAAGTGACGCAAGATGCTGGCAGCATATACATGTCTCACAATGGAGGAAGATCACAAAAGAGGAAGGGGCATGTGGCACACCGGATACTGCTGGCTTCGCTTGGTTGAGGGCGAGGATATTGGCCTGGGCTGCGGTGAAGAACATTCCAGGCCATACCGTGTTCCACCACATCATCCATACATGCTATGATTGTTCTTACGGATAGTCTCTTCTCTCTCCAGTGCTGCCCACCCATTCTCTGAATCCTGTTCCACTCCTCGTGCGAGCGCCGGTCACTCCTCGCTTCATTGGGCCCTACAGCTCACATCCGACGTCTCAACTTCAGGCAGTTTGGTCGGACTTCAGCATATGGGAAGAGGCAAGAATGAGGTCGGCAAGATTCTTGCACCCTTTGGCACCCCGGCTGCAAATCAGTTGAGCGAAGTTCTGGAGAGCAGGCGCCGTTCCACATGAAGTGCGAGTAGTAAGCTATACTCACTCGATGACAACACCAAGAAGATTCTGAGTCCCACGACAGATTGAGTATCAAATACCAAGAGACCCGCGGAAAGTCCGAGGAGTGTTCGTCTCCAAGAGTTTCTTCCCGACGACATTGGGTCTTCAAGTACCAAAGCTAATGTAGTGCGTGGTTCAGTCGAAGGACTCGAAGCTACTCCAACGATTGAACCCTTGTCCTTCTACCCCAATCGAATGAGACGGCAATGGGGACGCAGAAGTGCAGCGTCTCGAGATTGCTCTGTGGGTATCAACGTCGCTAATAAAGCCTTGAATGATTTTTTTCCGGTTCCCCGAAATCTTCATACCAAATGTTATCGGCAGATTTCTTCGGGATTCTGTCTTCCACAGCCATGCTGTCGTCTTGAAGGATCAATGTCATCTTGGACGTCTCTCGAATCATCGCCTGGCTCCGACTGATCTGCCAAAAGGTCCGCAGCCATCACATCTCGAGCTTGCCAACAATGAATCAAGAGGTCAGGCTCCATCTGCTATAGTAACGCCGACAATTGGTGCTTCTATAGCGTGGCCGAGTGCGGAGAGATGTACGCGAGCTGTGCGGCAAGTGACTGACGGTTGTAGGTGTTGATGATTCTTCGGTGCGGGAGGAGGTGGTAAGCAAGGCAGTTGACGCAGAAGCACTGTCGAATGGAGCAGCAACTGTCGTTCGCTTGCGATCGAGTAAGCATAGGAGCAGCGGACTAACCGGTAGCTACGATTGCTCGCTTTCGATTCTTCTTTGGCGGCTTCCCAGCATGACCTGACGTGTTATCAACCACATGTGATGAGTGGGTAAGTACCCCCAAATATCTTTAATCAGTGGAGGGAATGCGAGTCCATGCTTGTGAGGCATTTTGAGAGCTCCTCGTCCTGCGCCTACACCTTCTCTCCTAGCTTGCGACGGCCTTCGGGGAAGTTGATGCTGACAATGCACTTGCACTCGCAGAAAGTTCTCCAGGCCGTTTCACTTCGAAGCCCTTCTGCCTAAGATCAGCTATCCTAATGCTTTGGAGGCCGAGGACACTCCGATGGACGCACTGATGGCCGAAGCGCATCGTGATCCTGCACATCCGATTAGCAAATGTCGACGACGATCAAGCAATAGGCGATATCGAGATGTCGCCGATCAACCAAGACAACCCCAGCAGCGACCGGGAATATCTGAGCAGTAGGATGAAGCATTTCATTGCGTATAGGCGAAACTACGACGACGTAGAGCGTCAAGACCGCTTCGAAGATGAGCCAGCAGTGTTCTAGTCACAGGTGCCTATCAACTCCTTATCTCTTGCCGGATTGCTACCAGCATTTGATCAGCATTGCATGGATTCAATCGAAGATGAGTCGGCAGTGCCACAGTTACACGCGCCTCTCAAATCCTCGTCTTTTGCCGGACTGCTACCAGAATTTGAACATGACATGCATTCAATCGAAGAAGCACTCAATGCGGTCGATTACGAAGGTCGGCCTGCCAAGATCACTGGGCTGGACTACGCAGGTATCCGCCGAAAGTGCTTCCTGAAAACTGAACATGGGCATGATACAGGAGCTGTATTGTCTGTCGTACATGCTGTCCGATTTCACAGGTCAGCGTCTAAGCACACCTTCGCAGCAAGGGCTCCGTAATCATGAAGAAAGACAGAATGGACCAGACGTCGCCAACTATCTATGTAGAGTGCCGCGTCGTCTATGGTCCTCTGGACGACGATGCTTCGGTATCAAATCGGCCAAGAAGATGGTTGATGAAGCGTTCAGAGCCGCAAAATCACCGACATTGCAAGATCGTGAGACGATCGTGAAGCTTTCGCTCGAGCAAATCATCTCACAGTAGCGACGAGCACCGTCGGTCCAGCCCTGCAACTATTATACATCCTGTCGAGGCTCGATGAGTAACAGCATCTCAGCAACCAGTCAAGCCTTTGGCATGGTTTTTAAGTAAGACAGCTCCGAGGAACTTTGATTGCATGGCCGAGAAGCACATTCGCCTAATCTGAAAGCTCGCCTACGAATTCGGTCTCATCACCGTGCTGCTCGACATGCTCGCTGTTGCATCACACTCGTGAAAGACTAATTTTGGGCGTCCCAGAATGCTCAAGATCGGCTCTAGGCAGTGGAATCATCTCAGCCATCGTGTTTCGGGACTCAGATTGTGATTGAGCAGCCCGGGTATCGACTCTCGGTGTATTGGAGGTGGTGCACATATCGAGAAGAGAGGACGTTTGGTGTCTGCTACACGATGGAAGTCAAGCTTGCTCTGGTCCAGTCACTGCAATATGCGGGCCTTCCCTAGCGGACGTTCTAATAGAGCTTCAAGAGCACAAATCGGCCATGGCCGAGTGTTTCATCTGCCGTGCGAGGCTGGTCAGCGTGCCGGACACCCTGTATTTGGCAGTGTGAACTTCCCCCATAGCTATATCGAGTGGCCGAAACGTACAGCATAGAGCCCGTCGCTCATCATAGAGCAAGCTCTAGCATTGATACATACTATGCCAACATCGCATCGAAAAATGAGTCAACAGAACAACGATTCTCCGACCTGCGGAAGCTCGCGCTAACTTTAAAGATGCCTTGTACTTCACCTATCCTACCAGTAGCCTGCGGACTGTGCGATACTCACAGTCACTCTGTTAGGCCTGTTGTCGACAAAGACTAATGCAGCAGCATGAAACCACGACCAAAAGTGCTCTTGCAGAGCTTTCACTCCCCTATCCCTGACCTACAGCGTTTGGATCCTCTTCGTCACTTTCTCGCGCGGCTCGACTGTATCAAACTTGACCCATTTAGCTTAGCATTGGCACATCGCCTCACAAAGTCGTGCACTGTAGCTTGAAGTCGCTCGCGTTCCACTTTCTGACTGTAAGGGAACAGCGGCGCAGGAGCATCACTTACGCCTGGACTGCGTGCTTGAGGGCGAGGCATTCATTGCGCCATTTAATCAAAGCCCGTGCAGGCATGGCTTGGCTATACACTTGCATAGTGACGGCTTGATTGCTACTGTGTCTATGATCAAGCATGTGCGTGCATAAAGGTCGTTACAACACTATTCTATTATGTCCCTCCAAGATACCCAACAACAAGTTCTCCTACGCCATCCTGCTCTAAGGCCTGCTGTGATGCTTGTGCAACGATCGCCAGAGCAGCAGCATCCGCACCATCCCTAAAAGGATACCCATTACCAACCGAGCGGTCTATAGGGCATGCGAGTAATCGATGAACGCTAATGTCGCCAGCTGTTCTTCGAGAATCCATATGCCACTTCTGTACGAGCTCCGAAATGAACACACGAGCTGACGAGCGACACAGCCCGAGAAAGCGGCGGGTCCAAGCTCTCCAACTGGCACTGGTGTTGTTTGAGTAACCGTTCCTGAATCATATAAGGAGGATCCTGATGCGGTGAGCAGTCTCTCCCAATCAGCCTAGGACGATGCAAGGTGTCTTAGGTCGCAAATCCGTGCAAGAATATCAATATGTGTCTCCACATTATATCGGTTCCAACAGGCTCGGACTTGAGCCATGCCCCATAACTAGCTCATCAGGTATGTAGAGTAGCATTGAAGAATTGAGTAGTAGTAGTAGTAGAGTGAGGTATGTAGAGTCCTTTGTCCAACAAATACCTACTCGAGGCCTTTTCGATCGCCTAAATACTAAGGCGGCAGATGACGTGAAGGTCTTAGTGCCTACAGACAGGGCGAGTCAAATGAGTCTGAGTCGATCGCGACAGCCATTCGTGTTGGTGAGGACGGTGATGAGATGTAGCTCCCGGACTTCGTCCGCCATTGGAATTGAGCTTGGCACGACGACTCGGTTCTGTACACGTTCCCAAGGCATCGAGACAGCCTATGAATTGTGGATTCTCCAATTCTGGATCCCTGTGTGAGCCGGAAGCGGCTTCTAGGACGGGGACTTCTGAGCCTTGGTGTGATGTGTCGCGAACACCTCGTCAACGATGAAGTGGGCCTTAAGCAGCTTTTGCCTCTCTTGCAGAGCATCAGTAGAAGCTCCCAACCAAGACCCAAATTGATGATTCCATTATGTCACCAATGGTCCGGTACCTAAAGCGGAAGAAACTCGAGCAGGACTTGTGGACGATCCTCGGCAGTCACGAGGCAGGCTGCACAGGTCGGGTGGGCTTTGCTGCAGCGTCTTTCTGCTTTGCGAAATTGCTAGTATTGCATAGATCGAGCTGATCTTGTGCAAGGGCACCTTTGATCAGTCTTCGTGCGGCACAGGTCGGGTGCTTCCTTCCACATTTCTTCTTTGTCTTGCGGGACAGGCGACGTGTTGTCCACGACTGCAGCCATCTGTATCTCACTGAGACGAACAAACGCAAGGTCTTCAGGAAATCAGTGAGCTTTCGTGTGCGTCCAGTTCCGGGGCACGGTCCAAAATGCAAGCAGAGCGCCTCATGAATGACTAGTGGTAACATACGCAGGTTGTCGACTACCATCAATTCTTCGTCCGCCCGCGAAAGGAAGTCTGGCATCTCGGGGTTATATCTACTATTCGTGTTTGGGACAAACGAGACATGGTAGGAATTGTAGGCGTGTCCGACGCGCGCAGAAGATGTCTTCCAGACATAGACGGTGATATCCGTATCGCATATGGAGCTACTGCAATGGAAACTCCCAACGCAGGCCGCTCAGGCGGTGTTGGACTGGGTGGGGTGACTTCGGTATTCCAGATGGCGATGATATGGCCGCACTTGCATTCCAACACCTGACGGATCGACAGGAGATGAAGGACCTTGCTGTCAAGGGCCTCGATGCTTGTCCCCATGGCCCACCACTTCGCTCGAGCCTCGAGGTGCCTGTACGGTTTGAAGTTCTCGATGTTCTTGGGATCGCGCATGTGCAAGGGGGAGTGATAGGTATCAAGTAGATCGCGATATTGGTAAGGTGTGCTCTTCGTCTGGTGGATGTCTGGTAGATGTCTTCAAAGTTCAAGACGGCGGAGGAAAAATCTGCAGGTTCAGGACCGAAGAGACTGGAGCAGGAAACGCAATTGGTCGTAATATGCCCATTCGGCCAGGCTACGAGATGCTCGTCGTTGTGCCTACATCTGGGGTGTCAATTCGCATTGAGAAGTATGTCTGGATTGATGCGGTAAAGTAAAGCGCACGGCAAGCCCCCGCTTTCGCCCCGGCGCCCTGCTCGCCAATCTTAGCTGCTGCTTCATCGATGCCAGACACAGCAAACTTCTGCACCCACCCTCTACTCGCTCTCGACACACACATAGCGTCGTTACATGTAATGCAGTAAGCTCGATCTTCCAGCTGAAGGAAAACACGTGCCACATACAACTACCACGAAAGGATCAGCTCTCTTACCTTGAGGAGTCAACGCTTGGTACGACTCCTGTGAGGAGAGGTCTTTGAACTCGACTTGGAATAGGCCTTGAGCTTCAATCTCGAGAAGGAAGTCATGGATGATTCCAGCGACGGTGTTGAAGTGAACACGATGTCCTGCAGCTACGAAACGGTCCGAAACGTTGAAGAACAAGGCGCCGCAAAACAGAACTGCCGACCTGGGTACCATCAGTAGGTCTAAGGTTGGGACTGGATTCGGAGCGAACGTTCCACTCATAAGCGGCGTGCCGTTCGTAGAGTTTACGAACACTGTCGATTTGCCGGAAACGCGCTAGATTATCTGGTCGGTACTCGCCTCGAAGTCGCAGTGTTCGACTAGGAATACCGGAGACCACTGTGGCGACTTCGCGGCCACGAGCTACTGGTGGCATTCACCCATGCTTGAGGCGGAGCGATGAGGGAGTGGTTTGGCTCCCCCTCCAGGAGAATGAGGAATATTGCATCGAAACGTGCTCTTCGTAGGCACTTCCATGGCCAGCTGTAGATGTGCTTCATGGACTGAAACGACGATGCTGATACTCATGTATTCTGCGTCAAGTCCTAGGAAGCGGAAATCGCACGTCGTGCTGCAAGCCCACCTCCACCACTGATAGTTCGTAGCATCCTCAAGTAGCAATGCATCGATACCACGCTCGTATTCATTAGAGACGAGGATCTGGAAGTCTGCTGGTGCGAACTCAATACATCCTGAATTCTTCCCGTGCACTCCCGTCAGCCATAGGTGGACTTTTCAAGATTTGGAGATCATTGCGAAGGAGCCACCACGCTCCTTGCCCAAACTCGGAGAATTGTGGTGGTGTTGCGTGATGCGGCCATTCTTTCGTTTGAATGGTTAGGCAGTTGCGATGCATTGTGAGATCTGTTCGAGCAGACAGCTGTATGAGAATATGTCTCAGATCTTGACCTTCGACATTAGCAAGCTTGGACCACGCCAATCAGCCATTGCTCCATATACCATTAAGCTGCGAGGCACTTTGGATCCGCTGATCGGCCACGAAAGGACACGGAAATTGTTTTGCGGCCCCAAAGACCTGATCAACACTGAGTGCATGGAGGACAGATTTGGCGCCCGTGTTGCCGTGGGCCACGGCTATCGCACCTGCGTTCAGCAGACGACATTGCCTGGTTTCAAAAGTATCACCGTTGCCAATTCACCTATGACAACGATTGGCGGTGGAAGGAAGTTGATTCAGGCCTTCGCCGAGAAATACCGATGAGATTCCCAGACATATCGCCAAATCACGGCTTCAAAGGCAGAGCATGTCCACGAGAGTATCGCATGAAGGATCATGGCCGGGATGGGCGACTTTGTGATCCTTGGGTGGAGGGGTGACGACGGATTCTTGTTTCTGCCTGGCCATTTCACTCAGCTGTCTTCGGACCAAGGGCCTCTGAAAGAGCTCATCAATAGAGAACGTCCTGAAAACCTCGTCAGCGGCGTCCAAAACAGCCAAACAGAAATGGCACCACTGGCACACCCAATCGTTTATAGATTCAGCAACATCCTGGACCACCGTGGTGACTGGCGACGGCAGTTTCGAGATAAGTGATGAGTGATGGCCCCATCAACCGGCAGCTGCGAGCTATGCTGGAGCGACAGAACAGTACCTAGGGTGCTGACGAGCTCACAGTGGTGTCCGAGAATAGCAGAAGGTTCCTCCTGACGAAGTGTGTAGTGTACATTCGCGACTTCCTCCCCAGATTTGGGTGTAGCACCGATTCATGATTTGCCAATGTCTTTCGCTGATGAACGTGCTTTTCCGCAGAGAGTGATCAAGGGAGGAAGCTCTTCGGATGTGCTCGGAGCCATCAAGGGCATTCAGAATCCAACAAGGAAGATGAGGATGAGGCATTTGTCGTTCGAGAAATCTGCAAGGTCTCAATTCGGATAGCTTTTTCGCGACTCTGTCTGGCTCCCTATCGTTACGAGCTTCCTGGTGTGCCTCCTGACCATGCGATCGTTGTGGGATTCCTCCTTCTGACATTCCAGAACGCTTCCTTGTGCTTCTTCGTAGCCCCAGGATACGAGGTGTCTGCATTGTCCCCGTGTATCTCCCGCGGATGTGTCATCTCGTCGAAAGACCATGAGTTCAACTGGCGCTCCATACGCTGACTCTTCTCGACGTTTGAGACTTGCTGCGCAATGTCTGGCATTGACTCGATCGGCTGAGGTATGTGATCTGATCAGCACCGGCGGCCTCGAAACTGATATCCATAAGCATGGAGTAGCGACAGGATTCTGCATGTCTTGCGATGCGAGCGCGATCAATGCCTACCTCCTCGGGTTGTTCCTGTAGACTTCATCCACCTTCGAATTCCATCTTCTGCCTTGCACTTCTATCTTCTACCGTCCACCTTCCGTGGTGTGACTTCTGTCTCGTTCTTAGGCTCGCTCGGTTCTCGGAAAGAAGTCTTCGGTGCAGGAACTGCAGGATGGTTCGATGTGGGTCGGTCGCGTGATTGTGCGATGTAGAATGCCATTGTTGGAAAGAGTCTACCTGCTACACAAAGGAACTGCGAGTGGAAAGAGCTCACCTACCGCACAAAGAAACTCCGTGCGCTCGATCAGCACGGGGCTGAAACGGAGATAGAGCGATGCGCGCTCTATAGAGACATGCGAATCGGTTCTCTGCTTGCGCTTGGTAGTGGACATTTTGTAGCTTGATGTGCCGAGTCCTGCTGATGTCGGATCGCAATCTCCGCCAGCGACAGCACGATACCTGCTTAGCTGGGTCTGCCGGAAGCGCCTTTCGGACATAATGATGAAATTGACAATGCGCCGCCAGTGATGCCATGCTGTGCTGGCTGTGTTGTACAGAAGCTTTCTATACCCCACATTTGCGGTACAGAATCGGGAGCTGCCGAAAGCTGCGGTAAAGAAGCTTTCTCCACCCCGGATATGCGGTACAGATTGCGGTACAGAATCGGGCAACACCGAAAGCCGCGGTAAAGAAGCTCTCTCCACCTAAGATTTGCGGTATAGAAGCCCCCCGTCCTCCGAATGCCACGCACCGGGGCCAAATTCCCCAATCCTGGAATTCACAGTTCGTAACAAATCGGAAATCTCAGATTCCACGGGCCGCTAGCATCCACCCTCACTCCGATGCGTCAAGACGCTGTAAGACTTTGAACATTCTCGACTCTCGAGAGCTGCGCGAGGAGCGCCCGCGCCTACAACGCGCCTACAATGCGATTCAAGAATCATCACGGAGACAGCGCGCGACTCAGAATCACTTCCGATGCGTCAACAGATGATCACGTACGCTGAAGCCTAAGGGCAGATTCTCACGCGTCACAACAATGCAATACAACCCTATTGTTCAACGTCGCAATCACAAACGAGCGCCGAGTCCTCCGAACGATACCGCCGCAGTCCAAGACGGCAGGAAGGAGATAGAACGGCAGGCAGGCAGGCGCGCAGGCAGGAAAGAAGTTGGCTAAAAAAAGAAGGTCAACGGCACACTGAAAGGCAAAACTGTAGACGGGCAGCACCCGGAGTCGCCCTGGTGGACAAGATAAGACACGTCACGATTCGACTCAGTGAACATGCCTACCAGACTTTGACCTCACATACCTCCGATGAAAGCCATGCCAATACAGCAAACCGGACAAGCTGAGTTTGAAAGCTGTTCAATCGCAGAAGCAACGTGGAAGGCATTTCATTCTCTCTCAAGCGATACGTAGATACTACGCAATATTTTCGCCCGCGTCAATGAACATTTCACATCTACGCCCTTGCCCAAGAACGCCGTTCTTCCTCGCAATAGCAACTTCCGCATAGCGCCACTGCTTCCTGGACGTTATGCTTTGATCCCAGTTGTGGCGCCAGATGTCTGGACTGGTCATCGCCGCAGCGTTGATAATAGCTTTCTCCAGCGCTGGAATAGATTCCGCAGCCCTCCCTCAATGCTCTTTCCCCCTCGGCCGAGATGCAGGTGTCGAAGAGGATGCGTAGCTTGCCTATAACGGAGACAAGATCGTGCTGCTGCCAGGAATATCCTCCGTCGGTGAAGGTGTTTCCTATTATGAGACTGTTCGGAAAGACTTGACACACTCCTGCCGGGACAAGCACAAGGCTTTTTTTTTCAGTAGGTAGAGCGTGTGCTCCCGCGGCTTCTCAGTTTTCGAAAGGCTAATCAGCAAGATCACCACCTGCGTGCCGCACTATGAATCCAGCCACATAGGGCGATTCGCGGGTCACGGCTGAACACGTTGAGCGTCGTAGGCCTTAGAATAGTAGTGACCACTCTTAGAAATAAGCCTTGTTCGCCATAAAGGGAGTGAACAACAAATTCGGATAGCTTTGTCCCATTGTTCTTCTTTACACACGAACACGAGCCTGATGCTTTCTCGGGCTTGGCTGTACGATATGAATCCTGTCTGGTCGGAACACCTTGCCAGGTCGGGTCTTGATAAGCCCTCTGTCGCAGGGCTGCTATGACGGCCTGTGGGAATTCGTTCGATCGTCGTAGCTTCATCATAGGCATGGAACTGATACGTTGTAACTTGCACGTCACCATCCGTTGCATCAAGTGAGCTTTGCTTGCGACTTTACTGCATACTCGTGAGGCTTGAGGCCCTGAATCAAGCCCCAAGGGAGGTTCCTTTCCCGCCGCACTCACACTGCTCGTGGTTGTTGTGTCGTACTCCGGGCTCCAATAGGTCTGAATCGATCACATCACTGGCATTCTTCGTATCGGTCGTTCCAGGCCGCTATGATATGGCGTTCACATCGGTTCTTGGATTTTTGGGATCTGGCGCTGTAATGTCATCTTCAGGCTCTGTGTATTGGCTCCGGATTGATCTGTTCCTCTTGTGCTCATGCTCGTGATTCTTCCACGTCATGTCCAACAGTTACGGCGCGTTGTCAGAGACCTGTTCAGGGTGCAAGTCTGCTGTCAAAGGCTTAACATGGCTGCGGGTCTGCTGACAAAGGCTTAGTGGCAAAGTTGCGGGCTCATTGTCAAGGCTTGGGAAGGCGGCGAGTCTGTTGTTCAAGATCAATTGCGCTGCAAGTCTGTTGTCGAAGGCTATCTCCGTTTCAGCCCCTTGCTGTTTGAGCGCAAGGAGGTTTTCAGTGTGGCAGGTGGTGGGCTCTTTCCAGCCACTACCTTCAATACTACCTTCCACCTTCTAACCACCCTTCCACCTTCCACCTCCGACCATTCTATATCGGACTACCACGCGACTGGACCCACACACCCACACACCTAACCACACTAACCTCCTTGCGTCGGTGCCCCAGTTTCGCAAACGAAGTGATAGAGAACGATAGCGATCGAGGAGTGAGACGTACAGCCCACGGTAGACATGCGGCGAGAGTATAGTGAGAGAACCCCAAAGCTTGAGTCGATGTAGTGATTACAAAGTCTGAGGAACTCAGCCTACCAAGATTTCTCACGTCAAAACTTCTTCGCTCTCCTGCTCAACAACAGACACCGCCTGGCTGGCATTTTGAACTCTGATGTTGTGGAAATCTTGTCGTTCAGCTTTGTGCTGCCCTCTATCCCATCAAGCTCGTCCTCAGTCACTTTGGCCTGGACGAAACCATAACTTTTATGCTTGCGAATCGTGGCTCGGAAAAGGTGAAAGACCGCGAGCCCCAAAGATTTCGGTGTCCCGGAAAGGTCCTCGTCGGCAGCGCGTTGGACATCACCAATGACCTCTGTGCACTGCATCAAGACCTCCGTGCAACCGAACCCCAACATTCTTTCTTCGTTTTGAAGCAGTTGCCTTGGCGTCTCCAGATGACTTGTCGCTCGACATGCATTGTTTGACGAAGATCGCTAGTATAGAGTGGAGTGGTATGCTGGTCTCTGCACCGGCGTCCTGTGCATCATGATTTCAGTTCGTCTGCTGAATGTCTTTGACGATGTTTTTGTAGTGCACGCGTAATGCGGGAAAAGTCTCAAGTACTCTCGAAAATGCAGCACTCGACTCAATCCGCACATGCACAGGCGAGAAGCATCAGGTCCAGCATTTGAACCCTCGACGGGGCTCCATCACACAAGAGGTCTCACTAGCGGTGCATGTCGTATGCATAATCGAGTGCAAGCAGCAGCTTTGTTAGATCGGATCCAGGATGGTGTTCTGGGACCAGAGGACCAACTGCAGCCTGCGAAGCAATGAAGTGATCTATATCCACGCACTCCTGAGTGATGTGATGGATCCTGATAAACGAAGAGCGCTGTAGAGGTATGCAAAGATGGCCGACGAGTATGGGGCTTCCCGGGCGAGCGCCATGAATCCCGCGTTGATCGGAGTCGAATACTGCACGGCAGAGGGATATGGCGTGCGCCACGCTTGTGTTCGTAATCAGGACGAGCGATCAGGTCGATTGTTTCATAGGAGCAATGCAATTTGATACTGTACTCACAGATGTTGATTGCGGACCATTTCGAGCATCTCCGCTGCGCCATTGATGCCAAACAACAGCCGCCGTGGAGAAGTAATAAGCCGGTTGCGAAGCCCCAGATCCGAAAGAAATTGCTGTAGTAAGTGTGTTCCGATAATTACTATCTTCCAAGATCTCAAACGCTGCGAGATGCATCTGACACGTTGATGATAACCACATTGAAGTTTTCTGCTCTTCTTCGGCTGGGCTTGCCAATCCCATTCGTCCACCACTCCGTGTTTCAGCTCAAAGCTGAGCGAAAATAGCGCGACCTTCGCTATGAATGGCTATCGTTGAATGTTTGGTGCTCAGTAGATATTGTCAACCTCAGGATGGCCTAGGGCGCTGATATCCAGTTCCTCCAAAACTCGATTCCAGTTCGACGCATCCTAATTCACGGCCACACAATGTTCTTTCATGCATTTGGTGAGGGCAATTGTCGTTGCAGCGACTGTGCTGGTATGCTGAAAGCTGACGTCTCCATTCTCGAACGACTGCTGAGTCGATCTGACTCATGCACGTTCATTACCGAGTTCGTGGATGGGAGACCAGAGAGCGAATTCCTAGTCATCTTGATGTTTCCCGAACTGAAAGACGGTGCTTCGAATGTCGAAGTCTGGCCGATGGACATCGTGTTTGTATTCGCGAGATTCTGGTTCTTGTAGAGTCAGATGATTGAAAAAGCTAGTAACGCTTGTCTCGGCCAAACTGCGTGATGCTGTGTAAATGAGCAGCCGCTGGATATAGCAGAGCACACGAATAAAGCGTTGATGGCTCTTATCGTCATCAGATGGCAATCTTCCCGCGTTCCGAGTGAATTCTGATGGCTGATCGCTGAGCACTGCCCCAGTGAGCTATTCTGCCTCGTTCCTGGGACGCCTATGCTTTCTCTAGTGTACATGATCCAGCAGAACCGGCGCCGCACTTCCGTGCGCTGGGCTTACACTCAGCGTGTCCTCGAGTGATTAACTGACTTGCACCTCAAGCGCGGAATTCGGCCACCATCAATACCTGTGTGCGGGCTCAGGTCCCAGTTCAGCTTCCTTCTCACCAATCATTCTCCTTCTATTGCTCTTCTCTTACATCCGAGGCTCTCTATCCTTCCCTCTCTTCCGAACAAGCTGACCAGCTCTTCCTCGCTGTAGACGCACGAGACCACCCATTCCTGATTGTTATGTGTTTACGCGAATTCCGGTGACCTCTGCGCACAACGGCCGCTCGCTTCTGGTTGACTTTCGAGCCGTGCGGATCGCTGTCATGAGTAAATCTTCGAAATGATCGGGTCTCGGCGTACTGGTCTGCTCTCTTCCCTGAGACTCGTCGGATGGCTGCTCCAAAACCGAGCACCCTGACCGCAATCATCTCTCTGGTAGCCTCCAAATACAGCCTGCCCACACTCCGCTCCAAGGTACCCAGCTCACCTGTAATCCTAAATCATTCTCTTCGGCCCAGTTGGATGGAGTTTATGATGCTGATTCGGATTCGCGGACCTTGAGCTCGAGCAGCCCACTGACATTGGACTGTATACGTTGGTGAATGAGATCGGTATTGGGAAAAGGATTTGTTCTGTGTATGGGCGGCATCGAGGGGCTGCTGTAGAATCTGGAAGAGTCATGGAACTGAGATGAACTTTGGCTTCTGCGTTCGAGAAAACCACTTCAGAACAGAAGAATAAGGTATTCGCTGCGCAGGGATGAATTAAACTTTGACAGGGTACCCCAGCCTAGCGCGGCGTTGATGTCTGGTATCTGAAGCAACTTCTTCAACATATTTACTCTACTATAGGGCATTTGTACTCGATCTATCGGAGCCAGCAGCACGACAGTGAGATCACGCAGAAGATCCTTGAGCATAGCAACATAGACATTGACACCAACCCATCAATTCCAACACAGCCGAGCGTACGACATCCAGACGCCATACAGCCCTGCATTGCAGCCACCACCCTCAGGCTCCGCATTCATTCAGCTCGGCCCAAAGAATAGCAACAGTCTCATCAGAACAGCGACAAGTCGACCAAGCGACAAGAAAAAGCAGGCAGCAGCAACGCAGACACTCCCCAAGGTATGCAGCTCAATAGGTCCCTTCACTCCTACCAGTTACTCCACCTAGCCAAGCGAACAACCTCTCAGCAGGCGAAGGCGCCCAACTCATTCATCAAAGGCGAAGGAATCGAAGGGCAGAGCGCGACGTACTTCGACGGAAGACGCATAGTCGATCTAAGGGCATCGAAGGGTACACCAATCAATTGGTGACAGGAATGTCGATGGAAAGGCGACGGCAGTGAGGTAATGGCAAATTGCAGCTAATGCGGGTGCATCAGGCCAGGACACGTATCTATAACCCGCGTAGATCAAAGGTCTTCAAATGGGCTTCAAATGACATACCAACCAACCAACTCGACCTCCCGGAGACTTCATTCTATCTAGCGAAAATTTTGTGTTTTGGGTCCTATTACGGAATGTCGAATTCGCCGCTCTCCGTCAAAACCACCTCATCCAAGGCATCTCTAGACATATACTTTCTTCGAACGTCTGGTCTTCGCTTCTCCTGCTGTCTTCACACCAGGCACAGTGTGAACTCTTCCATATGTCACGCCATTTCAGAACGAACGTACACTTACGAAGCAAGTCCAATCCTGTACTTTATGCGCCATGAAGCCTGCCTGGATCGCTGATGTTGCCACTCGTGGTAGTTCTATCTGGCAGGTGATGATGGCTCGGGATGGGTGATACATTGCATGCTCACTCACGAGAAAATGTTTGACCTCTGAGACCGGTGATAGGCCTGATGTCATTATTGACATTTGTTCTCTACCCAACGAAATTGCTCGGGTAGTCTTGGTTCTTATACGCATCGCGAATCCCACCTCACACGCCCGGTTCCTCACTTTTCAGTCTCTCGATTGACCTCCAACAGCTGCTCAAGGACGACATACCCTGCGGCATCTCCAGCGGCGTTGATTAGGTAGTGATGGCACGTCACTGTGTGCGAGAAGCCCTAATGGATGGAGCCATCCCTGCCGTTCTTCGAAAATTCTCTGGATTCTTTTTCTCATTGTCACGGTCCAGGAGGCGGGCAGAGGGAATCACAACCTGTCGATCCCGCCATGGATCGCGAATGCTGCAGCCTGACACGCCACTCTGCGATCCGAAGAAAGGCCACCGACTGGGTAGAAGGATGAGCAAAGGGAAACCCATGTGGAGACACGAAGGAACGAACATCGACGGTCGACGTCGACCAGCGCCCGAATTGGCCAGATGTCCGAGCGCGTGTTGTCGGTGAATGCTGTGTGCGCCGGGGCCTGCTGTGACCGCGATGGTAGCTTGGTCGAAAAAGTAACGAAATGAGGTAGGGATTGCAAGCTTGGGTGCACCAGACAGTAACAAGAAAGTTCCATCCATGGGGGTGAATGCCAGTACCTCGACGCGAAAACTGCCTCTGCGATGTGTAGTGACTTGCATTTGTATCGGAATCACCGAGAACGTGTGGTGTGTGGATTTTACCATGACTCGTCGCCGTGATGAGCCATCGCCTGAGGTGTATACGACTCCCATTTCACTTTTTGAGGCGCAACATAAGTTGTAGGAAGCAGATTTTCAACTGAAGCAACAACCAGTCAGTCTGGGAAGTCGAGAGTAAGCAACTGGAAATCCACCAGGACAGAACTGGAATGAGCAATTTCATCGGTGTGATTTTGAAGCTGTGCTGGAGCCAGATCCTCTCAACCGAGTGGCATGATCCCGGCGTTTATGCCTGCCGCTCGCATTTCTTGACTGAACATATCAGCACACACAAGGCATCGTGAGAATGGGCCTGGTGCTGCAGTCACGCGGAAGAGGCGCTCGCGAGTATATCAGGTCCAGCTGTACAACACGGAGCTTATGGCGATGGGTTTTCGGCCGGCAACACCACCAAATACGTTGACAGATCCTCGCAATGGTGTGGCCAATCCGCCTAGGTTGATCCCGAGTGCTTTGCTGGAAATCTGTAGAAAAATCAGCTGACGTTGGAAAGCCTCCAGTTCAGCGGAGTGTGGAGTTTCGTGCGATTTTCGATGGTGAGGAATGACATACAACGCAGGGACTAGAGCCATCTCCTCAAGGACTGAGCCTTTCCCAGCCAACACCAGTTCAGTGCCAACGTTGAGCTGGAAGGAGTCGAGGAAGGCACATGGCTGTGGTACGAGGAGTATGCATGCGGGAACAACAGGACTCTGGATGTCACCTTGATGGCCCCAACGCTGTCCTTGGCCCAGCAGCGAGTCAAGTTGTCGATGCGATTGCTCTCGGTGTCCTCATGGACGATGCAGAAGCATTCCGGTACGCGAATGGCATGTTGCAGGCATGAAGAGACGTGGATGGTGGTGTGTTGGAAAGCTTGATGCGTCGTCTGCTCAATCGGAATTGGACCGATATCAACCACGAGTGTTATGTGCCGGAGTGAGGCAACTTGCTTCGACATTTGGCTTGTCGTATGAATCAGGTCGCATCGCTTGCCAGGCAGAAGGCGTCCGAGTCCAGATTGGCAGAAGGAGAAATGTTGAAACTTGCCGGCCAGCAGAATACACGCATTGCCTTACGATTTGGGATGGCCCTTGTGACCTTCTCTGGAGCAGAGGCATCAAATCGAGAGCACGAAAGCTCGCAGGAGGTACGCGGCCAATTGGGCAGCCAGTGGAGGAGGTTTTGCAACTTCGTGGTGAGCGGCATCGTACCGTTGAGGCCCACGCATAGGAGACAGCATCACTGTGCGCCGGCCATGATCGACTGAAGCAAGGTGGGAGAGCAGCTTGCCAGGCTTCTCCTCATGCACGACAATCAGGCACAGGCCATTGCGGCAGCAAGTGCAAGATCACTCATGCACAGGCGGCAGGTAGAAGATGCCTTGCGAGCAATGTGCGTGCCACAAGGTAGAAGATGCCATGCGAGCAATGTACGTACCAGAAGGTCCATGTTTTCATGCCGATAAAAACGATGTGAAGAACCTGAAGTGGAAGGGATGCGATGTTTCAGCTCTGACACCTGTCGGAGACGCTGTGATCAGTTATGGCACCCTTGATGTTGGCACTTTTGAAGTCCCACATCTTCAGAAACGCAGGTGAAGCGACAAAGTGAGACCGGGGGTGGAGCCAGCAGCCAGCACGTCAACTTCATGATACAGGAGCCTTCGAAAGGGATGTTGTTGTGCATTCCCATGGAGCCTTACGAGTCGAGAGAAGGAAAACGTTGCAGAGCTGAGGGGAGTTGCGTTCGAAGAACCTGCAAATGCTAGCTCTGATCAAGTAAGATTATGGCATGCCACTATTGCATTCCGTCTCAATATGTCCACCCGGTACGCAAGTGAGCGGTCGAGGGCCTCTCGCTCGCTGCCATCTTTGTCCGACATCCGCTATTCTCGCCCGGCAGAATAATATCGGTGCAACCCTCTCGTTGCTTTTGATGCTTTCCCATGCGAAACCTCTTATAGGCAGATGCGCGAGATCACAAAGTCCACGATCAGCGCAGTCGATTGTCGTCACATCTGGTATAGTCATTGGCTGGCGTGGTATCGAGGGCAAGGACGCGGCGTGGAGTATGGTCGTGGGATTCGGTATCGTAATTGGAGCTGCAGTGATGTAGAAGGCCAGCAGGTGTTCGCTTCTCCGGGGGCTCGAAGGGGAGGGTCGTAGACACGATCGTTATAGATTTCGTAGTAGCTCACAGACACTTGGATGGAAGTCTCGCCTGCTGTATCCTTTTCCACTTTGCGTGCTCAGTGGTATATGCCAGAACGCAGTCGAGGTATTCACCTCCATCTGCCAATGCCTTTCCGCCTCGCATAGTATGTGTCTTTCCGCCTCGCATAGTCTGTGTCTTTCCGGTGCGGGTACTGGTGCCTCCGTAGGCGAAGAGAGTCACGTCGGAGCCCTTGAGTAGGTGCTTGATTGTAGGCGAGACTTCATTCTCGAAGATGCCCTGTTGTGTGGCATGTTGATCGTACACGGTGTCGAAGGGGAAGGAGTACAGCTCGGCATCCGTGATTGAATTGTGGGCGGGCCTTCATTCTCGAAGATGCCTTGTTGTGTGGCATGTTGATCGTACACGGTGTCGAAGGGGAAGGAGTACAGCTCGGCATCCGTGATTGAATTGTGGGCGAGCCTTCATTCTCGAAGATGTCCTGTTGTGTGGCATGTTGATGGTACGAAGCAAGGGGCTGTAGGGAGGTAGATTGTGACTGCGAAAGGTTGAGGGGTGCAGTCGGTAGTGATGCGTAAGGCGATCAAGGCGATGGGATGGGTGGTGTTCCATTTCAAGTCCCATGGCCAGCCCCAGCTCCCCATCAATTCGTAAGCAACTGTTAGTTGGCCCTTTTGAAGGCGCTCAGGTTCACCCTTCGGGTTTACCTTGACGAAGGCCTGCGGCGCGCCTCGAGTGAGGGCGACGATTCGGAGGGCAAGCTTCCTGCGCCCGCACCCGCACCCGCACGTTGGCTCCTGGCTTTCCAACAGATAGTTATTCTGATTAGAGTGAACTTGGAAGCGATTGGGTGGGACTTGAACAGAGTCAATCAAAACTTGATGCGGGGCTGGGGCTCGGGCTGCGTTTGGCGAAAGCGATGGCGCTGCCAAGACTGTCAATCCTTGTTGCTGCTTCGTGTCTGTCCTCGAGACCTCCACCGCTGAACGCAGCTCAACTTTCACATCATTCACCTGCGAGACAGCATCACGACACTGCTCCTCTCGGCAATCGCGCCGACTCTGCTCTGCTCAGGCTTGCTGCGCGTGACAGGCTCACAGCAACCGATACTCCACGTACCTGCGGCGCATCCCACCATCTCACCTTCTACCTACACGGCGTACGGTCCCCCACCACGTGTAGACGTACACAGGATCAACCCGAGAGCGATGGGATCCCGAGAGCGATGGGCCCGAGAGCGATGGGATCTCGGTGCAGACAGGGTCTTGCGAAAATGGGTCCTCCAAGACCCAACGAGAAGGTCTTCGCCATCTCGCGGCTGACGGATGTCGGTTGAGGCAGTGTGAATCGATGTGTGAATGTGTTGGCCGGGCTGTGCTCTTTGTTCAGAGAATGCCGAAAGAGGATATGTCGTACAAAATGCGAGGGACATGAAGCTCAGGTCGAGATCGTGGCGTAACAAGTGAGTCGAAAGCCGCAAGTAGGAACGCGACGACTCTCCAAGATACAATGACAAGAGCCAATATGCATTGTATGACATCACAAACGACGAGGGACGAAGTATGGAGCAATCTACACGAGGATGACGAACGGCACATTCAATGCTGCCATCACATCTTCGCCAACGAAAGAATTTCCAGTCTTTCGAATCCCAATATTGACCTGCACAATGCGCATTGCAGATGAAGCCCGGCCGTGATCTGATCGGATTGGAAGTCGGAAGAGGCACCAAATCGGTGACCTGGAGACCCTCAAGATTAGAGAGCTTGTTGAGAAGAGTGTCCCATAAGCATGAAGCTCCGTATCCGCAGGTATCGCTCGGCGTCACGTCACACAAGACATCGCACTCTGGAGACGGCGCCAAAGCTGCATCTCTTGTCTGAAGTAAGATTGCTTGTAAACTGATTGTCGAGAAAGGAGAGCGGGTTGATGCGCGGCCTTCAATCGTTGGGATTCAAAACGCAACAAGAGAACTCACGAACAAGCTAATTTCGGCGGCGATAACGGTAAGGAGTCACGAGAAAACGCTGACAATGCTAACCAAGCCGACAATTAGCAGCAAGAGAGCACGCGGGAGGAAGACGCTTATGGGAATGGACACGACGATCATAGGCATTTCGGGGACGCTGAAGACGATGGCGATTACTTTCCCAATCCCTATGATTCCACCCCCCCCGGCGTGGACGCTTTCTTTGCGGGTGTTGATGACAATTCGCCACTTGCGCTGAACTCGACTTATCATGCAAAAGCCTCCTTGCCTGCAGCAATTCAGCCCTTCGCCCCTACGGCAGCCGACGTTTCAAATCGGGATATCTCCTTCATCAGCATCCATCTTCAAAAAGGTCACCCTCAGGCGATGGCCCTACCCATTTTTGAACGCTTGCTGCAGGAACCTGAGGTGGCTATGTCCAAGCCCGTCCATCTACGCAAGAGGGCCACGCCTTTCGCAATTGGCATCACATGACGTTTCCGTTGCGATTGATTCATTCTGGCCCATCCGAGTGGGTTTGCCTTGATACCGGACGTACATTTGCGATCGTGGAGAAGGCTTTCATCCTACAACATCGTCAAGAGATCACGATACTCAAGCTGCGGGAACCTATCGAAACTGGTGGCATTGCTGGTGCACCAGCTCTGACACCAGAAGAGCAGGAGCAGGTTGCGGCACGCCAGGCTTTGAGTGGCATCACCATGGCAGTCATTGACTCAACCAGCAAGTGCAAGCCTTTCCAGCTCAACCCACAGCCCCTGTCGCTAGTACCGCCATCGTCGCTTATGGTGAATGGAAAAGGCAAGCGATGCCCTACGCAAACCAATGATCAATGGGAGGAACATGCTGTGCGAACTTTTGATGCCACATTTCGGCAGACGGGCGACATGTATCCTGAGAACCAGTCTTGAAACGTGTCGAGAGGAGGCTGGAATTGAATGAGCCCTTCGGATGAGTTATGACGAAGACTGCACATCGATCTGGGGAATACGTCAAGCTCATAAAAGAAGAATGAGGCAATAAGATTTGTCCTATGCAAATGTCCCATCATGAACGGACTTGGTCGAAATGTCTTCCTAGGAAGAACAATCAGTTATAACATCGCAAACCATCTCACACCATCTCACAACCATATATGAAGCGTCGACGTCGTCCAATTGAAGCCCCCCGGAATGCACTTTGCGACACCCATTCAATCTCACTAGGGCCGCTTCTCCATCCCCTGTGACTACGGCCATTTCCATTGCACTACCAGCACCTCAGGAAGACGCCATATGCTTTATCCGGCCTGTTGCAGATCCAATCTTGCTTGCTATGCTCATGCAAGACGACAAATTCCGGGCCTGCGAAACGTTGGTGGGGCAGTTTACCCGAGCTTGATGCCCGTGAGATTCTGCAACGCTGTCTCTGCCCGACGATCCACTTCTATGCGACACTGATGTTCCAGAGGAGCATCGCTTTTTCTCACGCCTTCGCTTTGTTCAATATCAAATACTTCAGCCTAGTCAGCCACCTCTGATCTGACGGCAGCTCCCAGGTCTTCATCGATCGGGCATACGTTTGTATCCTTGCAAAACACTGGTTTCTTCCGCTCCTAGCAAGGGTTGTCGTTTTCATCGCGGGATGCACGATCTTTCGCTAGTGCTGCGACTAATCTGGTGAGTCGTATAACGAATTTTGATTTCTAGCATGAGCTGATGTCGAGACAGGTGGGCTATCTGATCATGTCGGTTCGATGGATGGCACGGCAGATACTTCGATGGGAGTAGATATAGTGGCCGTGAAGAAGCTCCGTTGCAGCCGAGGGAAGTGCCAGATAGGAGTTGAGAGCTATGATTTTCGTAACTGATGTTTACTAGAAGAGGCGAGAGGAAGTTGTTCGCAGACGGGATCTATGTGCCTCTACTGCTTCTGGCTTGTGAAGTCTTGAGCTGTGCGAGAGGCGGAGTGTGTAACAGAGCCTCAGATAGTGACTAGGTGTTCGAGAGCAGATGGCGGAAGAGCATCGCGTTTGTTGGGGATTTGCTGAGGAATTATTCTTGCAGTTGGCATCGCGAAGGCCTGGCGTCTTCCAAGGTAGAGCTCACCAAGCGTCTGGGAGATTTCTGGCATTTCTTGGGCACCCACTTGGCTTGCAAATTTTCTTCTTCGAGGCCTTTGTGGTAGAACTGATCATCATCGTTGGTGGGCGTGTGAAGGAGCTGCAGCACTCGGAAACTTTTGTGAACATGAAGCTGCAGAATGATGACAAATGCAACCTGCTCGAGTGCCAGTGCTTATGTCAGCCCTCAACTCTCCGGACCTCGAGACTCGAGCACACCTTGCTGCATCATGCTACAGCACTCAGGCGACAATCTGCTCCACGAAAGACCAACTTCTATCACGAAATACCGAATGTATTCCCAACATCTCACAGATCTGGAAATCCTGTCCTCGCCATCGACGCAGATCATGGAGTGCCGTCCACACTCTCGAACAATATCATCATCCTATGCGAACGGCATACATTGACACCCAGCCTCCGCAAGGGCTTTCTCTATTCCGACCTCTCTGCGCAAGATAGAGAACATTGCGCCACCGTCCCCAGCGTCTGAAGGGAGACAGCGCAAGGACACGAGGAAGAGAAGAGCTGTGGGTGGTACACGCACGATCAACTTCTGCGCCGAAATGCTACAATTGGGAACATGAGCGGAAACAGCTTTTGCGGGTGCTCAAGCTCTGCGTTCAAGCGCACGCATCGTTGAGGGAATTCATGGGCGGTGCGGTGGCATCTGAGAAGAGCAGAGTGACCACTACACCATTGCAGGCACTTTCACTACCGATCTCTGCCTGGTCCAAGTGGACGAGCGCATTTCAGCAATATCGACGATCTGACGTTCTGCACATGGAGCATACCTTGGCCACGATTGCTCTGCGCTACCTGCATTGATGCCCAAGCTTGCGTGAGCCAAGCTCTTTGGGCAAATCCCACCTGCTGGCTGAACCCATACCAAAACTTGGATACAGAATTTTGATCATGACACGCGTGATACCTGGTACTATGTCCCAATTCGCCCGGGCGCTGGACAGCTGGAGCCTCGTCACATCCCCCTTCGAGATCCAACCTCGCTTCTATCTATCCTGGTCCACGGCGCACACGAATGGTGATATTCTGCTGACGGGGAAATGATGTTGCAAAACGCATTCCCAGAAGTGATTTCAAGCTCATCCTTAGAGGAAGACACGGCGATGGTGAGTCTTCAGCGCATCGTATACACGTCATTCGTGTCTGTCGATGCCAAATTGACACTGGATCACAGTCATTGCTCACCCAAGGCCAGCTTCCTTGCCGCTTTCCGACTCGTTCGTCGAACCTTGTCAAGATTGTACAGGTTCAGCTTCATGGATAACGACGGAGCACACGCCAACAATTCGGGACCTTGATTCTTCACCATGACATGCAAAACGCCAATGCCAGACTCGAAAGTCTTCAAGTCTACCGGGCGGTGCTGATTCATCGGAAATTGGTATCAAAACGCATGGCAGAGCTTCCGTTTCGCATTTCGGTTCTGGTCATCGGAGCTTCACAGTCTATGCTGCCCCGTCGCTCTTTTGGCCAACCTTTTGTCCAGCATGACAATCAACACTTTTGTGTCCATGGCGAAAAGGTTGGGAGGAAGGCCATAGATCCCGATGGCTTCCCGCAGCTCTCCAAGGATGAACAGCGCCAGCAAGGAGTCCGTTCCCTTATCCTCAAGATCTTTGTCCTCACCAACTTGGTGCTCGGCCAACTCAATCTCCCGAACGACAATGCTTTGCATAATGAGATGCGAGATCCCAAGCTCATGTAATGAACATTGAGGGTACAACATTCACGCGTAGACGACGCATGAAACAACGGCCATTCTTGGGAGACAGCCGGGAAATCTTTCAGTCGCTTCCCAGAGAAATTCTCTGCGTCCCGAAGTCGGATCTTCAGGTCGAAAATTGCCCTCGGTGTCAAGCAGACGGTTTTGCCTCAAGCTTCTTTGGGTTTGATGCACGCTCGGTGCACGTCATTCGTGATACGCTGGCAGCATGTCAGACCAGGCAGGCGTCCTCGCCAGGAACGGAGTGTCTGACGTTACATAACGCAGCCCACACTTCAATCACGCTGCCGTTCACCGCCGACTTTGATGAGTAGGTTCGTGGGACACGTAATAGACCGAGCCATCAGATGCAAAGAACGGGAGCTCAGAGAGTACTTGGTCCAAAGCATTGAGGGAGAGAGCAAGTTCTCGGGTCTTGTATTCTTCTTCTTCGGGGTGAGCTGGAGAAGGGTTGCCGATTCTGGGAGCGGATTTTTGAAGGTTTTGCATCGCAAGACTGAGCACAGTCGGTCTGCCGCCCAGTTCCCATAATCACAACCTCAGCCGCAACCTGCTCTAGTTCAGGCAGAGGCCAGACCCTCCACCACCTTCATAGGACCACAGGGCAAGCTGTCAAACCCAATCAACTTGACATCCTCGATTCCGAATGTGGTTCACATGTGCTCCCGTGAGTTTGCGACAGTAGCAGAGCATATTTGCAGGAGCAAGCTCACCTTTTGGCATAGCAAAGCCGGTTGCTGATGTCACTGGCGGCGAAGGGATGGAAAGATTCGCTTTCGATCAGTCGCCCGTCGCTGGATTCGTGCACCGAAACTTGTGCGTGTTGCCGACGAGCACTAGCGGAAAGCGGTTCCACAGAGTAAAGGATAGCTAGCAATAGTTGATCCAGATTGGCCTGTACCTCACGAGACCCATCGCGAGAACATTCGTTCTTAGACCGAACACAGGTGCTGAGAAACATCTGTCCTGGATCAGATAAAGATTCTTGGCCTGCTGAGTTGCCGGTTCAGCGATCGAAACGGCTCGAAACTCAGTCAGATGGACTTGCAGAATTTCGCCAAATCATTCTCCTCGAGAGAGACCTACACTACATCGTCGTCCCCCAAAGAAAACCAAAGCGTGGCTATTGGCATGAGCAACGAAGAAATGCCTCCTTTCGCAGGAAGGACAATCCTTGTCTCTCTTCAACCTGCTCACTTTGCCGATCTGGACGAATGGATAGGACGTCAGAATACAAATATAGCCTGTTGCTGCAAAGCATCGTCGCCTGCAAGATACCTGCCTCTTCCAGACTTGAGACAGAAGCACTCTATCACGTCGGCTTCAGTCACAAGAACGACTACCCTGGTCTCCAAGAATGCTTTCCCGGTATCACCCTCGCCAGTACTAGAAAGAAGCCAAGTCGTCCTCGTCGCACAGGCCATTTCCGGAATCGCAGCCAACTGTTAGCCGTGCGGTGCAATGGTACCATCGCGACCTATGTCAAAGATTCCGTACTGAACACCCAAGAGAAAGAGGAAAGCGAAAGAGGCTTGACCGCTCACCCGGCGATCGGCTCCTCTCGGAGTGCGTGCCCTTCTAGAAAATCCACCATTGGATGCCTTTGTCGATAATAACGTCGCAGAAACCTCTTGTCCGCGCGAAGGATATCGCTTCTCCAGTCAGATTCCCAATGTGCCCCCGGCGGTGACATTGGGAGCTCATAACTCGAACAACCCAAGCATCACTTCATGCCTAGGAAAGAAGATAGTTGGGGAAACGCGCCTGCTGCGAAGCCCGGCTCAGTCGATCGCAACCTGCCGGTCACTGAGGACTTTGCCAAGATGGTTACTGGTCTTCGAAATTGCCATGTACTTCTGGCACATGCTCAAGCTGCCGAAGAACAAGCAGGAGGGCAACAACGCGCTGCAAATTCATGGTCTCAGCCATCAGCTCAACCGTCGGAGCCCTGCCATGTAGCTTCTAGATGTTGCCCTTCGACCTGATTATGCCTGAGGAAGAAGATAGTTGGGGAAACGCGCCTGCTGCGAAGCACCCTCAGTCAGGATGCGGAGCCGCTGGCGAAGGGAATTGGGAAGAATCGCCTGCGCATCAGTGTCTGCCTGTCTTCCAAAGACGACAGTGACTTCTCGGAGCTCGTGGAATTCATGCATAATGACGAAGCCTTTACTAGATAGGTCGAGAAGTTGAAGGAGCGAAAGCTGGTTCCGCCAAACAAGGTCGGCAAGCATACTACATATGACCAGCATCTCACTGACGAAGACCTGAAGCAGATGTTCTCACCAGGACTGAAGCGAGCTGAGTGGATTCTCAACCCACTGAGCGAGTGCGCGGTCTCTGTCCAGATGCCGCACCTCTCTCATAGCGACCTCGAGGCGACGACGGAGCGCATGGCGATCGACCTTGGCTATGCTCGTGTCATCGATGGCAACAAGATCAATTATTCTTACAGTAGCTACATCTTTCTTGTCCTCGCCATGGAGGAACTTCCTGGCGTCGGTCGCACTGTTGATGTCTCTCGGAAGTGCTACTGCCCGCAGTAGTATTCTTGATGGCTTTGTGGGTAGCATGGCAGACCATTTTGAGAATGCATTCTTGGCAGACTTGACAGCTCTACTGCCTCGCCTCCTTGGTTCCTAGCTATTGCAGAATCCACCGAATTCGACATGGCTTCGATTTCCTCGCAAGAACCATCGCTCCAACGTTCAGCCCCAAACCCGACCTACTGTCGGCGCTCGAGAAGGCCCTTGCGTTCCCTCAGCCTTCCAGGAAAATCAAGGTCATGGTTGTCGGTCCTGCTGAGGCCGACATTTGCATCTCCGCCGCCACCATTGTACAAAGCTGTAGTCGTGGGGACTGTAGGAGATACGGAAGAAACACTTATAGCCGCGCTAAATCACCTCGCTCGAAATCGAAGGCCTTGACCCAAATCCACGTCTCCTACGAACCCGAATCCATGAGCACCGTTTCCAAGTTCGTTCAAAGTTCGCAACAAGGTAGCGGAAGTCCAGCATGCGAATGTCCTGTCAATTGGAGTTCTTCTAGCGGGCGACAGTGAAGTGGACCTAGAAGACGCTCACTCTTACAACATCATCGTTTTTGTAGGCATTCTAGAACTATCCTCAAGGGCTTCCGAAGGCTCGAGCTCGCGCTTCGATCGCTTCCCAGATCTCTGAATCCTATGCCGCCTGCCAGCCCCACCCCGCAGGTCGAAGACAACGTGGTCGATGTCTGGGGCGACACAAGCACGCTTCACGATGCAGCGAGCACTGCGGATCCTCGACTCTATGCCCAACATGGAATGTGCGTCGAACGGCGCTTTTGGCTCAGAAAGTCCCGATCCAAGAAGCGTGAAATTGGGTTTGCAAAGGGTCAAGGAATAAGAAGAGGATCAGGCGGTTGCGGGCATTGCTGCTGCTTTCAAACCTTCGTATAGCGACTGAATACGGCAGATGGCTGAGGTGATCAAGAATGACACCGGATATAGACCGGAAGATTGCATCTCTTAGCCGGCAGATGCACTTCTCCTACTATAAATGCCTAGGCTCGAGGAAAAGTTATAGCGTAAGGAGGATGTATATGGGTAAAGTTAGGACATCATTTGGCTATCGAATCAAAGCGTTGCTTGCTTGAGCGGCTTGGCACGGGTCTTGGACTGGAGCAGTAGTGTCAGTCTTTCGCTTTTGCGGTGCGTTGTTGTTTGGTGCTCGCTGAAAGTTGACTCACGCCCGGCTGGCGCCCGGCTACGATGTTCGAGTAGACTTCAAGCAATCATGATGTGTTCCAGAAGCTCGTTGATGCGTGAAGCGGCGATTGGCTCAATCAGTATGGTGAGAGTGATTTGGATATTTTGGCTGCCTTCCCAAGTCCGGCCGCAGCATGTCAGTAGCATGGATTTTGGTGATTTGTACGAAGATGTCGGAAGAGATTGAGACTGGTCCTATACATGCATCAGCAGGGTTCTATTTGAAAGATGTTGAGCTGGCCTCACTTTGTCACCATTTCACGATGAATTCCACGGCGTGACCTTTCGAGCTGTGCTGTACGCACTGCTTCGTTACGACTTTGATCTAGCTATGTTCGGGAAAACTCCATGAGACAACGAAAGGCCCATCAAACAAATACGACTGGACCAAAGTGTGGTTCTCGATAGTGGTATTCGGCTAGCAGGAGCTGGGGTTCCTATAAACTTGGGACGACATATCCCACGCTTCGTCGTCGGAAGAGCGGATGAGGCAGCGGACGGCCAGCGCAAGCACGGTGGGAGTGATTGTTCGCAGGCGGAATACAGTCTCGGTGAAAAGGAAATTGGGCAATGTTAGATCCGTATCGTAGGCGGGAACCTATGAGAGTACTGTAAAGGGCCGTCTACAAAGATGAAAGAGCACCGATCTTCGCCAGATTTCCGCCTTGTATCAAGGCACTTCACGCACTATGGATAGCTGAATCGATCCGGAGTGTGCTCGCGGTCGGCGGTTGGCGTGATCAGAGAAATCTTAAGAGCAATGTCACTCGTCGTGGATATGTTGACGCTGGAAGATAGCGAAGTCGTAGGCGACATTTCCGCCATGAGTTACTGGAAGCTGACACAACCAAACCACGGCAGTCCAAGGGCAAGGGAGAAGCGCATAAGTCGATCCAGCTTCGGACTGTGTGGCTATAGGAGGCGGCAGAAGGTGTGAAGAGGTCAGGCGAAGAAGGAGCTTCAACGAAGTAGTATTGGACGAGGTGAGATCAACAGAAATTGTCAGTCGGAATCAAGTGGGAGTTGGTTCCGATGCTAGACCTGAATTCATTCGTGCGTCAAGTTGTTTTGATTTGTCGGAGTCTTGTGCAAGGAGATCGATCATAGGGAGCTCGCAGCAGTGGAGCTCGTCAGGCCAATCGTTGTTTTGTAACGTCTATGCATTGCGCTTTTACGAAGGGGTAGGTGAATGAATGTCGAGATGGGCCGGTTCGCAGGCCTTCTTTGACTGGGTGGGATAGGGCGCTGCAGCATGTGCCAAACGGACATGCATGCCCCAGTACGTGAATACATCCACTCATCACGCCAACTCTGGCGCGCCGTTGAGTGGTATGTGAGTGTGAAGGAAGGAAGGTTCTTCTCCATTGCCGCAGGGACTCATGCGCCGAGTCAGGGTTCGTCGAACCCAATTTCTGGGGTCGAGAAAGGTGGTGGGGGTGGGGTCGAGAAGCGCGACCTTTACTCGATGACACTAGATGTTCATCTTCAGCGCCATTGGCACCAGGCCTCAATTGTGCGAAAGCAAATCGCTGCCTCTCGAAACTGTGCGAGAAAACCCGTCGCATGCGGGATTGTGCGAAAACATGCGGCCGCCGCTGCGAAAACGCTTACCACTACTGCCGACCGCACCCTTCATCATCTCTCCAACAGCATACGAATCGGTGGGAGTCAATTGGAACTGGACCCGGACCCGGACCTGGCGCCCACGCTGTACTGACTCAGATCAACCGCCATCATCCACCAAACGCCGCATCCGCAGAACCGCCAAGTCAGAAGTCCCAGCAGAGCCTGCAAGAGTCGGGGAGATTGTGACCATAAATCACATCAGTGCGAATAAGTGAGTTCGGGAGAAGTCCCATCTGTGCAACGACAGAAAAGAGGAGATTGAAGCGGTGGTCGAGGAGAACGGCACAGCAGACGGACAAGACATTATGGGCAATCATCAGCTTGCAGAGAGCTGGTCGACGAAGTGGTTGATCACCTGATTGGCACCACGCTGCGCTGATGGACAGAAGCGCTGCTTGGAGATCGACTCTTTCAGCTCCATGTCGGCGCCGGCACATTGCCTCGACCCACACACGATTTTCCCCATGTCCACCGTCTGGAAAGCCGAGCGGCCCCCGCAGCAGTGGAGGCAGAGGATGCTTTTGGAATGTGTTCAGTCAACGTGGATTCACAATCCATTGGGAAGCGCGTCCGTACACAACCTCAATCGTGGAACGCAACCCCATCCCGTTATGAGGTATAGCTTGAGCAGCGCTTGTGGCGTGAGGAGCAGAAGTAACATGGAGTGGGTGGATGCTCAGGTGAAGACGATCAGATGGCCTCAGACCAAGAATTCTCCTCGCCCCACGACACTCATTTCATCTCCATTTGGCCAGGACCACCCCAAATAAACCCAGCACAACACGCAATCATAGATCCGCGCTGGCTGATACCACCATCGACTTGGTCTCCGCTCCTCACTAGGTCGCCGTCGTCAGAGAGCACATCAAGCTTCACAAGCAACGCACCCTCGCGCAGTACCCAAGGGACGATGAATGGAGTGCTTGCAGCGACAAGTTGAATGCTGCACTCGTTCCACACACTGCCCACGCCTCTGCAACTCCCCTCCGCTCCGATTCCGAGTGATCTCACCCACGCCGTTGTACCAGGACTCCATCACACCAATCAACATTCCAGGAAGTCCAGGCACTGATGATCCATTGTTCGCGAACTTCAAGCATGCCACCACGCACCATCATCACCGCTTCACAAATCGTGAGCATTTGACGCACCTGCTGAGCAAAAAGCGAAGGATATCCTTTACGAAGTGGAAACATACCTGGTGCATCAACATCTGCAAGGCCGCGACATCCCTCCCGGCCAAGGAGACCGCGCAGATCGAAATGTGACTTGACAGGCACCTGGAGGAATGGCGGAAGCCGAAAGACTCGAAGATGTCAGATTCCAAAGTGCCAGTTGAAGACTGACGAGCTGCATTTCCTGTTGTATTTATTTATACAATATCATGCTCATCTTACCCCCAGTTACGATCAAGAACCTTCCTCGAACTCATCTGTCTTCTAACTGCCCAGTCTATAAGCCTCCAACTACCTATTCATAATTTTCATAGAGCACCCACACCGGCACGGACATCATACTCGATTTCTAGCATAGGCGAAGGTCGACGGCCCAAAAATTGATCTAGCAAGAGCTGAAGCCGATTATAAGTGGAAGCGTCTTTCCCCATCCATCAAAAGGCTAGTATCTAGCAGTGCGGATACACGAACAGCGGGTGAGATCCCAATCTCCCCTCTATCTCGCCTTCCCAAAATGTTCAACTTTACCCGACGCTGGACCTCTTCCGGCAGGATCACTGGATTGAGAAGCAGGCCTGGGTCCTAGGGATGCCTTCTGGAAGCATGGAATGTATCTTCGAGCAAGACTATAGCATGCTTTGCCGATTGGGGAAATCATAAGGCCCGAGAGACACAACGTACAGCATTTGCACTCGCACTAAACACAACTCGTCGCGCTCGGCGGCTCTAACATAAAGCCTAATTCACAGCTGTACTTGTCGTTGCATCTAGTCTATCCCTGTGCTTTTTTTTGATACAGGAATTCTTCGCAACGTTCATAAATGGATCGATCGCCTTCGTAGTAAGTGTACTCGAAGAAAAAAGCTTCATTTTGGATATAGAAGTACGGAAATTCGCGGCTTCATTTCACATCTTAGTGTCGGCTCCATCTCGCTTGCAGGTTATGTATACCGGATTCCTGCTCCTAATACTGCTTCTCCATTACGCCGCCAACCTGGAAGCAGCCCTCCTTATGCACATCGCCTGTTTATGCCGACTTCCTTCGCAGCCCACGAGCTTCGGCTAAGCTGAGCTGTCAAAGGCCGAACATGCTCGTGAATGAGTCAAGAATGTTTGAGTTCGTCTGGTTAGGAACATGAAGGAAGTCTTCCAAATGCAGCTCGAAGTATCGTATCGGTGAGGGTTGAAGTGATGGATGCTTCCGAATGATGGCTGCCGGCTACGCTTTTCCCAAGCTTATAGGCGTGCTACACTAGTATTGGACGGAGAGTCGAAATTCTCGGGGACATCGTGGGCGACTCTGTGACGCCGAGGCGCTGTTGGACCTACATCTTTCTGTACTACACTCGAACGCAGGCAAGGTGAACGTTTGTGAATGCGATGTTGTTAAGATACTTGCTCTCGCGGTGGAGGAATGGACCTGGATAGAACTACTCTAGATCGTCGTTGTGGCTTCATTGTGGAGGTCTGATTGGAAAAGAAAGATTGGCGTGTTGCTACAGCGGAAAGAATCGTAGTGATGGATGGTATGGCTGGCTTTTCAGGTGCGAGGAGCTTTTGCAAGCCTGGCTTTGACCTGGGCGAGGCTGCGGGGAGGTTCTGTATAACTTGGTTAGAGGTTTGGATCGAGCACTGAATGTTTGAAGCTTGAATCATGCATACAGAGAATGATAGCTGGCGTTGATGGAATGTGACTGTGGAACGTGGAGGTGGACCGTGGATGTGAGGTGGATGTGGATGACCTTGATGAGTCAGGATTCAAGTAGTCTGTGCACCGAGCCCAGGACTCGCCGAAGCCGAGACTCATGCCACATGATCGGAGCAATACAACGAACGACATACCGCAACATCTTTACATCCTCCGTGCCAACACTCCTCGCTCCCACGGGACAATGGTGTGATACGCCTTCCCTGCCCGCGCTATGTCGTAGACGATCCAGCCTCGAAACGTGACAGCAACCTCCGAGCATTCTTCACCTGAAATCATACCGAGAATGGCTTTCACTTGCCCAACGAACCACCTACAGCGCGCGGACGGATAAGTTGACTGTGTGGAGCAATGAAGACATGTGTGCAGGAGTCGCACCTGTAAGAGCTTTCTTTGGAATACGTGAGTCTCCTGGCGAAAAGGAAAAGCTGTCTGTGGGAAGTCATTGGTCTGACCTGTGGTCTGAGGATAGCATTGCATACACAATGGCTGGATCGGTAGCCGTGCCTATTGGAGAAGGGCTGCTTGTATGTCAGCAACCACGCCGTCTGTGGTTTCATATCACATGGGCGGCTATGCCCGATGCGCGATCAGTTCAGTGCAGCCTCGAAGGACATTCTGCGCTGCTTCTTGCCTAGGCTGTTGGGCGCCAAAAAGGTCGCACCGCACACATATCATGCCCAAGTCTTCGAGCATGTCGCTCGCCGCTCGCCGCTCATCGCTCATCGCTCACGCTGCACTTCTACGAACCTCCATCGCTTCGGGGAGATACGTCATGCTTATCTGACGGCGGCCGAATCTTTCCAATTCGAGAAGATTTCCGACACGACGGCCAACCTCTATCGCTTCTGGGAGATACGTTATGGTCATCGGGGGCCGGTGGAAGCTTTTGGAGAAGATGTCCGACACCACTGAGAACCTCTATCGCCTCTCGAGAATGATTTGCAGAAGATATTGGACACCACTGCGAAACTCCATCGCTCCTGGAACATGTGTGATGGTCATCTGGGGCCGGTGAACGCTTTTGGAGAAGATGTCGGACACCACTGCGAACCTCCATCGCTTCTGGGAAAACGTCATTGTCATCTGGGGCCGGTGGGACCTTTGTGGAGAGGATGTCAGACCCCACTGCGAGCCTCCATCCCTTCTGGAAATACTTCGTAGTCATCTGGAGCCAGTGGAAGCCCCCAGAGAAGACATCGGGCTCCACTGCGAAACTTCATCGCTTCTGAAAATACGTCATAGTCATCTGGGGCCGGCCGAACCTTTGGTAGAAGATGTCGGACACCACTGCGAACCTCCATTACTTCTGTGAAAACCTCAATTGTTATCTGGGGGCGGTAGGAGCTTTTGGAGAAGATATCAGACCCCACTGCGAGCCTCCATCGCTTCTAGAAATACTTCGTAGTCATCTGGAGCCGGACGAATCTTCTGGAAAAGATGCCGGACTCCACTGCGACCTTCCATCGAATGCATCTTGGTCATCTGGAGCAGGACGAAACTTCTGGAGAAGATGTCAAACCTCACTGCGAGCCTCCATTGCTTCTGGAAATACTTCGTAGTCATCTGGAGCCGGACGAATCTTCTGGAAAAGATATTGCTCTCCACCGCAAACCTCCATGAAATCCGTTATGACCGTCTGGAGCATGTCGAAGCTTTGGGAAATGATTTCGGGCTCCACTGAGAACGTCCATCGCTTCTGGGTAATGCGTCGTAGAGCTGGCCAAATCTTTTAGAGAGCATGTTGGACTCCACTGGGACCCTCAATCAAACACGTTATGGTCATCTGGAGCAAGTCGAATCTCTTGGAAAAGATGGAAAGGATGTCAAACTCTACTGTACACCTCCATCACATCCGTTATAGTCATCTGGAGCAGGTCGAATCTTTGAGGAAAGATGTTAGACACCACTGCGGGCCAAGAGGCGTGACTTTTGGTGGCGCTAGAAGCAATGCTGGCCCCATCACACCAGTTACGTGTGATTCGAACGTTTATATCATGGACCGGTCACTGCATCGAGCGCAATTGGCACACGGCCTCCTCCACGCCTATCGTCTAAGGAGTTGTTGCGAAAACATCAAGTTCTATGGAGCATTGTCCACTCAGCTAGCCAGTCTTCCCACGCACGCCACGCCAATCTTCATCGCCGGCCTGGGTCGTATGGGAAGCAGCAAGTCATTGGATGTCGGTCTTCAAGAACTTGGCTGATATGCTGACCACCCTCCCGATGCATGGCCCGTGGTGTGGGTTCTGAACGCGCACAGCTTCAATCCGATACACGCCCGCCAGCAGGTGCTCACTGTGGGTATTCCCTTCCATGCACGACAACTCTTGGAATGCCCGGATATTCAATCTCACCAAGCCAGTCTCGTGCAGCAAGTTCGCTTTACAAGACCGCGGAACAAGCCATCCCTGCCCAGTGATGAGTACGGCATATTCGTAGCCATCTCCGACGAGACTCACCTCAACACGGTCCGAGCTGGTGAAATGACGAAACACCAGTTCCAACGCCTCGTGGAGCCGATTCCCATTTCCTCCGCTCTGTGCAAGACCGGCCGTCAACACACAAGATTGGTGATCTTCCAGTTCGGAAATGAAGCAGTGTTTGTCCAAGTCTGGGGCGATGAAAGCGAAAGAGTGGTTTTTGGCTTTCCGAATCTTGCCGGCTCCTGTCAATGAATGCCGAAATGTGTTCCTGGATACACTTTCTTCGGAGCAGGAAAGGAGGGACGTGATGGCCTCCAGATTCTACTCCAGACTGGCTCTCGGACGTAAAGAAACGGCGTTTTCGTCTCTGCGAAGCGGTGGGCACCCCTCAGATGGCGCATGTTCCCTACGAATACTTGTATGCAGCATGCAAGTGTTCAGTTTCTGAATTGCTATGAGCAGAACGCCCAGCTATGGTGACTGCAACAATGAACCGTGTCTGCTCGGGTCGAACGCGAGGTGAGTCGGGGAACTAGACGCTACACAGTGAGCTGCGATGATAGCGGAGAGCGCGAGGATAAGGATCTGGCCAGCCGCGCTCATCTCTGCCATTCAGCTCTCATCTGAAAATCATCTGTTCTCCCTTGCCAACCCATGCCAACCTATCTGAGGACCAGCATTGCAACAACTTACCCATACCTCTTTATCGATAGCAGTGGCTCCTCCATCTGATGCAAAACACACCCTTCAATCCGGCTGAGCACTCCTCGACTCGCATGGCCATTGCGATCCAGACATCGCTGAAGTATGTCGTGTATCGGACACTCCCATAGATTGACGACTTTGGTATTGCGCTAGTCGCCTCTCGTACTTCGTCGACTAGAGCCAGTACGAATACACATTCACTTACCATCACTCCTTAACAGTAAGAACCATCTCCCATCCTCAGAAGCTATCTACTTCTCGCGCTGGAGGCGCCACCGTCTCGTCGATGGCCGCAGACCCACCCTCAAAGGTTCGAGCCACTCCTGACGCCGTGCCACGCAGGATCTGCACCAGTCTTTATCGAGCAACAACCGACACACCTGACCGCGGATCTTTACGCTGCTTGACGCGCAAGAGACAGAATGGCCCAGAGTCGCCTCGTGGCACTCTCCAATTCTACATGATTACCGACTTCTCGCTTTCTCCGCCACCACTATCTGATCGTCGTAACAGCACGGTAGCACCGGTCATTCCGGAGACTGCGGAAGAGCCTGCTGCCCTTGACTCACAGTTCCACCGAGATTTGGTCAATCACGAAGTTCAGCTTGTAGACCTCGAGGACCAGCGCATTGCTGCTGAGCGGAAGCGTGACGACGCGGAGAATGGGCTACGCGGGACATTGATGGGAATCAAAGACGGCGCGAAGACGCAATCCACATTGCCAACGACCGTGTTGCGTACTGGCCGAAGCAATTGGATAAGGCTATCGCAGAGGTCCGGCGTCTGAATCCTGTCCCAGAATCGAGCGGGAGCAGACAGCAATTCGGCTTTCAGCGACACAAGGAAAATTCGGATAAGCTCCCTGATCCAGAGGAGTACGACAGAGAGAGTGAGGCCGCTCTCAGGGTATGGACAATTGGCATCTTCTCGAAGCTTACTGGCAATGCCGACCGATGTCCTACTCTCGAGAGCCAACTCTGATACGTGCTTGGACTCAAGGCCCGCATCGTCCTGGTTCTATGCATCAACATCGACCGTTCCTCGGGCACGCTAGGCATCGGATTCAAGCTCCAGTCGATAGCGGAATTTGAACGAGTCCTGATCGACGCGTTCGGAGACACGAACAAAGAAGGCAAAGCCTCAACAAGGATGAAACCTTTCAGCGATAGGGGAGGGAGCTCTCGTACTATCGAGCAGAATTCAATACTCTGAACGCCCTTGTCAGCCATTCATGAGTTGCGTGAAGGATTAAGTGAAGAGCTCCGTACCGCTTGGTCAAACTGGTGGGATGCGGACAATCTGTCCTTTGAGCACATCGGCAAGCGCTTAGAGCCACTGGATCATTCTATCTGCAAAAGCAAGGCCGAAGTAGAGTCCTCTTGCACGCAGCTCGGCCAATTCTCGACCACTTCCAACTCCAACACGAAGATGGAATGACTTCAACCAGTTGGGCTCCAACCACGCCCTCAGACTCGTCTACCTCCTCCACATTGGCGGCGCCCATCGGTGCCAGCACCTGCACGCAGCGCAGAACCACTCAGCAGCGAGTCCTTGCGGTATAATGGCGGCGACGCGAGGGACCTCTGGGCAACGACCTGAAACCGCCCAACACCCACTCCAGAACAGTGGGAGAATCGGCGCTGTAACAATCTGTGCGGATACTGCGGCGGTGCTGAACATTGGAAAAGCACGTGTCGGTAGACGCGCGAAAGCCGACCAACATATCGGCCATGGCCAACGGCGACACCTTGCATGACACCTCCCACAGCGACACAGTCTCCATTGACGGATGCGTGCCAATCCAGGAAAAGGTCTTTGAGAAAAATCGCCCTTGGAGAGCCCGCAACGAGAGTCGTCCAGTCCAGCAACCACCAGTCCTCCCTTCCGATTACCTGCCTTGCCTTGCCCCAAAGCGTTCAACACTTTATCAACAGAGTCACCCACAGCACATCGATGTGAGACCAACGACCCTGATCACCACACCCTTTCACAGAAGACACGTAGCAAAGATTCGCTTCGCATCATGTGGCGGCATTGAGCAATAATCACTATCCCTTGCCACTACCTCGTCCTACTTCTACTTGTGATTCTATAGAACATGTATCTCCCAGCATGCTCGGTCTCGGCTGTACTGGACACTCTTTTATAGACACTGGCTACGCGCAAGACTTCAAGGAAGCCCAGCGACAAGCACAGGCCCATGCAGCCAACCTAGCTGCGGCCCAAATTCAGAAGCACCTGAGCAGCACTGGTCGACGATGCCCGACTTTGATCCGATCCCACTCAATGAGCTCAACAGCACGCAGAGGCTTCATGCTCATGCCTTCCCTACAGGAATGCCCTGGGGCACTTGGTGATCACGTACGCGCACGCACCCACGCGAGTTATCCTATTGGGATGAGGCAATGTTTCACAGGCTACGGAACCGTCATTCAATCTTAACCAGCATTACGATGACTGACCTTTTTCTGGCAGCTTTGATTTAATGAAATTTTGAGCGCCGATTGGAACAAATATCCTGCGATTCGAACCGGATCGCCAAATTCCTGATGTTTGCCATCTCGACTCAGGACATGACTTACAGCAAGTCTGTACTTATACACGGCGAGGCTTTCAAGATGCGCATCTAGTCGTTGTTGCTTGTGACGCGGAAACCTGCCGAGGCAGGTACTGACTGAACATGTTGTATGAATTCCCCGCTCACGGGTCAGAGGAGACTGGCGAAGAATGATTTGCAACGTCTCTTCCAATGGATCCCGCAAGTTTTGCGAAGAATCGAGACTCCCTTTCTCTCGATTGTTACAATGTTTTGGAGGAGTTCAATGAAGGACACCACATCTTCCCTCCCTCGCGGATGAGAATCTCGGGTACTCTACAAAGACTCTCCTAAGGATACACTCGCCCTTCGGGCTGAAGAGATGCAGGAGTTCGTCTACTGCACACCGCCCAGGAATTCTCCTATACAGGACTCGATGCTGCGGTGTAATGGAGTGACTTGCGAGTTCTTCGCCCGACGTCCTGCAGAGGCGCCTCGTAGGCGACTGAGGGAACTCCAAGATTGGTCAAACAATTGGCAAGGCAGGAGACCAGTCGTCAGACCCATTTCATCCCAGGATCAGCGGATACTCGCGCATTCGTACAAGGAAACCCAACTATAATGCAGATGCCATCACCACGAGTGACCTGCAATGAAGTCAGCATATACGCAACATGATTGAGGACGCAGAAGGTGGCCAGCTCCTTCTCTTTCTAGCTGTGAGCATGCCTCGCGACACGGAATCATTCTCCATCATTTACGAAATACGTAGCATACACCGAGGGCACGTCTTCCATCTCGTTCACCAGAACTGCGGCGCCATCTTTGTGCATAATTCCAGAGAAGAAATGGTAATGAGCAATTCCACCAACGAAGAACCTACCTCGCCCCAGCCGCTCCGCTTGTAGGCTATGATGTGACTTCGCCTAGCATTCATCTGAATAGGCACGTTTTGGTTCTCGGATGTGCGATGTGCTTGATGTGGTACCAGGTATGGTGGGAGAAGATGCGGGCTTCCCAAGGCGGCCAAAACTAATTCGTGTGATGCCAGACGAAATGACTGAAGCACGGATCTCAATGGAGAGCTCGGCGGAAGGAGCTTTCAATGGCCCTCTTGAGATATCATACCCTACGTTCCATGCCAGCGGCAGGCCTCGAGTGAGGGCAGCACGTTTTTCGCTGCGAAATTCCATCGTGCTCGGCAATTCCGGGTAGGCTTCAACTTCCATCGTGCTCGGCAATTCCGGGTAGGCTTCAACTTCCATTATGACAGCGAGTCCAGAGTCATCAATAGTGTCCACCTCGGTCTGGTCCTTCGCAGAGAAATCTTGGAGCACGTCTACGATGGGCTGATCCGACTTTTCGTACCTGTTATTGGAGGAGTCTCTATGGATGGGCGCTCCTGGAACAAGCTGTATGATCAGCCTCGGGAGCTCGTCGAGGCAGCGCAATGGCGAGGCGCGTTGGGACACCCAGGAGCCCAAACACGAGGTCTTCCGGTTTTGGTGGGCAGGGAGCAACTCAGGCGGCGAACTTGCAGCCAAGCGGTCCGATTGAGATGAACAACCACGTTCCCCAGAGCCAAAAGGACACTACAAGGGAAGAATGGCGATCCGGCTGGCGAGTGGAGTGCGTCAACAATGTCGTGTAAGATGTCTCGGTGTAGCGCTTCGGCAGATTTCAGCAGAGAAGTAGGCATAACTCCAGGAAGATGACTATGCCGCCATAGTGGCACTTGGACTGACAACTCCTGTGATGATGGCTCGCACTCGGTATGATGAGTATGATCGATAGCGGGCCAAAGGTGATGCCCGGCAGAGTCTGCTGGCCGAGGCGAAGGCGAGGCGAGGCCGGCCAGCCAGTCAAGAAACGCCGGCGTTTTCAAAATCCGTCAAAGGTGACCTAGAGCGTGGTAGAGAGTGTTGATGCGAATGATCATTGTCTGAAATAGCGCTGATTGCGTCAACCTAGAGAAGAGTTGAATGGCATTTGCACATTTTCTTGTCTATAGCGACCCACATGGATAAGCGGTGTTTCTGAAAAGCGCAGAGCCTATGTCTTCTCACGCGCATCCGCTGCTCCGCCCTATGAGGAGCTTTCTACGTCTCCTTGACTCTTTCACCGATTCCCAGCTGCCGAGCGTAGAAGATGAGGGACGCGCACGCATTCGCTGCTCCGCCTGATGAAGAGCTCTCTACGTTTCTACTGCGTCTCCTCCACGTGCCCTCGACTCTTTCGCCCATTCCCAGCAGCTGAGTATGGAAGACGTAGAGGCGCAATGGTTGCCGATCTCATACGTATCCACTGCTCCGCCCGATAAAGAGCTTTCCACTTCCCATACCTCCTCGACTCTTTGACCGATTCCCAGCTGCTGAGTATAGAAGGTAATCGAGACGCAAGAGTTGCCGAGCTCGAGCGGCTGCTGTTCATAGATCGTGAGGGTGAATCCGTACGAGCACAGTGTGCGCAATACCCATCATTACGGCCGTCTCGCGAATGTGTTGTTGTAGCGCCGTTGGAATTCTTGCAGAAAAGAATTGGACGAATCAGCCGACGTCGGCTAGTACCATGACCGCGAGGAGGTGGGACTCTAACGCTGTCGTGCAAATGGTTCAGCTCAGCCTTGCTCAGCTCCAGCCAAGAATCCGGAGAAGGAGGTGCGGAGGTGGGGAGGTGCGAGTGCGGATAGATCCGCAACTCTCATTCGTTATTCTAGCAAAAAAGACCACGAAGGAAAACATAATGGCAGGAGAACCAGATTGAAGACTTCCGTTATGGAATGGGAACGAGCCGTTGAAGAAATGCGAAGTCGAGGCACACAACCACGTCACCTGTCTGAACCTCACTCCTTCCAGACCTCCCCATCTTGACGGATCACCTCCGATCCTCTCCATCTGCTACGCACCCGATATGGTGAGCTCATTAAACCTCCCACGATCCAACCTCGCGTCCACCTCGCAGTCCCAAGTTCACGACGAGGCGCGCCAACATCGCTGCGCAAGATCGAGCCATCAGCAAGACGGTTGACAACAAAGAACTCGTCACAGAGTGAAGTCCGAAAAAGAGAAGGATGCACATAGCGGAGGCAGCGCAACAGCTACAGGCAGCGTTAGGGATGCGAGAGAGAACGTGCAAACGCACTACACGAAAGAGCATTGTAGATCTGTCTGTTATACCCCGCTGATGAGGAGCATGCTGGCTCGCGCAGAAATGGAATTGAGTCACAGCATTTCGACGGCGAGGGCAGGCATTTCAAGACTACCCTAATCACGATGTGAAATTGAAACAGTTAGGTGTTCTTGCACCCCAAAGATTGTAGAAACCACTTCCAAGTCTTCATTGATATGGTATGCGTGAGAGAAGATGAGAGATCACTGTTGCTCGGTCGGAATTCATGCTGGACTGGCGCTGGAGAGTTCTACGCTCCGTCGACGGAGCTGGCTCAACATCGTCAAACTCCACTGTAGCATAGCGGGATGAAGTTGGTGTGGACTTGGCGGGACTATGCTGATGAGTACCCTGTTCCCATGACGAGGCTCCATCAAACCGATGACGACCAGACACAGCAGTGGCTCCTGGACCCGCACATGGTTATGGTGAAACGTGGCTACGCCCGTTGGTGAAAGCAATGGCTCCCATGAGCTGTGATTTGTAGCGTGACACCAGTGTGCTGACCTCCCGAAACACCCCAACACGACAAAACACCTCGTCTGATCACGTCCTCAATCTTTGACTCGGACCTGGAGCGCGGCGCAAAATCCGAAAATTGCCGATCGGCCACATACTGACACCATTTGGCCTTGCCATGGCCCACATTCGACAGAAACAGTAGCCACCTTTATGTGTTCTCAGGTGGTCACAGTGCTTCAACAGCCGAAGACAGGGTTGACGGACAAAGGTCGACTCCAATGCCTGTAGCGAATCTAAGAGCCCACTCCCCAAAATCTTTCATGTTCAGTCGTGTATGTCCATCCGCTTGTGGGAAATCTCGACACGATTGATCGGCAATGTAGAGAGGAGGAGTGGCCCAGCCTGACCTGCACGCCGGTGCTTCTCCTCTGGGACTGAACGCTTCGCCGCTGTGATCGTCGAGCCGGACTTCCAAGATTTGCCTTCCAGCCCAGAGGAGACTGCCACAATAGCTCTGTTCTTTCCTCTCCAGTTCGGGAACAAGTGGCCGAGCCTGAATTGCATGCTGTGGCCAGCCTGGGTGCTTGCTTTCTGCTTGTGACTGAGGGCTTCGCTGCCGTAATCGCCGATCCAGAACTTCAGAATTCGCTTTGCAGCGCAGAGGGGCACCGCCACACCTGTATCTGGCCTTTCTTTCTTCTCCAGATCTGAAGCAAGTGGCCGAGCCTGAATTGTACTTTGTGACCCGACTGGGTGCTGTTTGATGAAGTTTGTGACCGAGTGCTTCGCCGCCGTGATCCCCGAGCCAGACTTCCAGGATTTGCTTTGCAGCCACGTAGCGCTGATCGTTGAACTCCAGTTGGGAAGCTTGATTCAATGTTGGGCGAGTGAGATTCCACGATTCGATATCGTAGTCTGTGATCTGGACGATGAAGTAACGATGATTCATCAGCGATAGCGAGCCATAAAAAATCGAATGCATAGAGTGTTCCTGTCGCTCTTGGATAATGCCCAAAGCTTCAAAGCAAATTCTCTGGTGGCCATCCTGCGAGTGAAGGTCTTTGAGGCCGGTGTCAGGCTCCAGGTCGGGTCCGGCGTATCATCCTGGATGCATGCGCATATGGACCAAGGAGCTGGACTCCATCACAGGAAGTTTCTAGGTTTGGATCAAAGGAGTTCATAGCCTGCGCTTGTTGATCCTGGTGCTTAACGGGATTTGATCGGCCAAGCAGGAAGAGTTTCGCCGAATGGAAGATGCGTTGCGCGAGGTGATCCAATTGCATGTATACTGGCGGACAGGAGAAGGCCGAACGGCCAAGTGTCTCTGCTCGCAGCAATCTGGGCGGCTCTTGCTGAAGTTGACTTCAATGCTCTTCAAAGTGCGTGTGATCCATACGAAATAGTCGCAAACTGAGTTGACGGGTGAAGAGCGCTGTTTCAAGGCCAGTCCATCAACCCAACAAGACACGAGCCTGCCGCATAGCGCAACGCAAAAGGTCAAGCAACAAAAGTGATGTGGTATGAAGACGGTGGCCCCGAATTTCGTGCGAGGCCTTCAGACATCGGTCCAGCTACATGGGCGGAAGCAGAAGACGGAATCAGCTCCAGTATTCTTGACGACCCAGCTAGCGATACTATGGTGTTGACTGTCGAAGTCGATCGAATGTGGTGAAAGACAGGCGTTGACCTTCAGCTGACACGACGTGATGACTTTGGCAATACCGATGATGGAGAACGCGAGAGAGATCTTGACTCGACCAAAGCAGCACATCAAGACCAAGGTCTGAGCGAGGGCGTCTACGCCTGAATTCGAACCAGTGGTGCGCTTTGTTTGGCCGAGGTGGACACCATCCCTCTTCACGAGAAGCGCGCTAAGATTGTCAATGGGGAACTTGAGCCGACCGAAGCTGAGATCGAAGCCCGCAAGGAGGAAGAACGGGTGAAGATAAGGAGGCCGAGGAAGCAAAGGCAGAAACCGACGACGAAAATGGTGTCCCAGAATGTTTCCTGTGAAAGGCGTGAAGCCAACAAACACAACTTGTGCAGTCAGATGTCGGGTGATTCGAAACGAGATGGGTGTGGCCGGTATTCACAACTCGACGCGATGATCCCATGCACCAGATGGTTGGCTGCAGTCCACTCCTCGAGCGAGAGGAAATCTGCTTGCGGGCCATCGGATACGGCTCCCATGATCTGGAGATTCACAGTCTGCTTCAGATGCATGTGAGATGGGACAGGTTGCACACCCGAATCGACAGCTTGCCGCTCCAGCAATGGCACTGGGGATCATTAATGCAGCTCCTGCAAATCTGACTTGACCGGTGGCATATTGCTCCCAAGCCTGGCGCAGTCGACACATCATTCTGGATAGGTCTTCCAGCATCCAGGAGATCACGACTGGTTTCAGTGCGTTGTGATCAAGCTCCACATCTTTGCCGGTATCCTTGCGCCTGCGGACATCCTAGGCGGCGTCCGTGTTGGAGGGACCGATTTCTTCTCCATCCGTAAGAGAGAGCTCTCGACGTTCGAGTGTTCCATATAGGTTTGGCGATGCTTTGGTTGGTAGCAAAAACTTCTACGCGATCTTCTCGAGAATGTGGATGAAATGATGATTTGACCGGTCAACTGCGCTAGTCTCACGGCTCGTCTGCAGGCTTTTGGAAGTTGTAAGGCTCGCGAAAGTGCAATCTCGATATGATGACGAACAACCAAAGTCGATTGAGCGATGAGTCGAGCGTACCGTTCGAGATTGTCGACTGTGTGAATAGTCCTAGGCTTCGCGACGGCTTTGGCAGTGGGCCCAGTAGCGTTTCTAGGCCTGGCTCTGGTACCGGCTCCAGCTCCAGCTCCCATGAGGTAATGTCGATATCTGCGTATTTGGAGTACGTCGCTGTCTGGTGAAGAAGGTGTGTATGGCAACCTGGCCTGTGCATGACTTGTACTGGCTGACGTTCTTGACGACCCTTTGGATCTTCGGGCGATCTATAGCTGTGGCTGCGGTCGCAAAGAAGAGGGTGAGGAGGAGATCGACTGATGAATGCTATGGTACCGTCTGTGGGTATTCCGAAGACTTGCTCGATGGCAGGCTATGGAGGAAAACAGGCAGTACACTGCCAGGAATGGAAGAACGCTGCCGCACATGGAATGCAAGCGTGCCTCTTTCCGCAGGATGCTGCCCAAGGTCGTTGTCCGTTTGCTGCTCGTACACCTCGACTGATCAACCCTCACGTCGCGGCATACTAGTTCGAGGCGGCACAGTTGCAATCCTTGCAAAAGAGGGCTCGGAGCCACCTGCTGCTTCTGCAATCTCGCGTCAGTTGGGGAAGGGCCAGTGGATCCGGAATTCAAGGTCATGATTGATGGGCCTGCGTGCTGTTGGGATCTTTGCCTCGAAGCACAGAAACGGGCGCAGAATGGCCCAGTAATCACACATGTGCATCATGATTATGAATAGTCGAGCCGAGTTTGCCGAAGAAGATCGAGGACTCGACAATGACGAAGGAGTATCTTGGTTCCGTGAAAGGCATATGGTACTCAGAATGGATGATTCTATGGCCCATGGATCGGCTCGACAATGACGAAGGAGCAGCTTCGTGGCGTGGACGTCCTCCGGTATTCAGAGTGATGGTTCCATGGCCTATGGATCGGACAGGCGGCAAGTTTTGAGGGTCCTTTGTGCAGCTTCGTTCATGTGGAGAGCAGCGGCGATGGAGCTCCAGACGACCATGCGACATGCTGCAACTCTGCAAGAGATTTCTTGAGTGCAGTCATCGAAGGCGCGTTTCCTGCCAGGACGGTGTTCGTGTGCATGTGGCAATGATCGAGCCATCACGATTCTTCCTTCAACATGCTGCAGGCTTTCCTGAGTCCTCGAGATGCGTTCCCATGATTCGCTGCTTGGCCACTGCATGTGAAGCTGCATCTTGCAGGCTCGTCTCCGCCCCACGCGGCCGAATGTCGCCGTGGTTCACCATTCCGCTGTATTGCACCGCCGGGAGTGTTCTTGAACAGTTCTGTATCCCTTCTCCCAGCTCGCAACTCAAGGACCACTCGGGACTCGGGAAGAGATTGTCGGTCATGTCGCTCCGATTCGGGGATCACGAGGGCTGTCGTATCGCGCAGGATCAGGAGAAAGCTCGCAGAGGCGCGATGCTTCGGTGTTTGCATGCTTCACTGCTGGGGCTCGAGGTTGGGGGTGGCGCAGCATTCGTGGCCGATGTGGTACTCCGCGATGGTCTGGGTCTGACTGCGAAGAAGATGGTGATTGGGGGTGCGAGTGTGCGATGTAATGCCATGGCGAATGCAAGCCGATTGTTGCCGCCGCGTGACGGACATAGCGAGGCTGGAAGGCAATGAACGACTCAAGTTCGATGTGCGGACTACTCCTGCACGTGTGGTGACCTTGCTGGGGCGCTCTCTGGCGTGATGTTGGTGCGCTGAACGGTGTTGGGAGTTGGGACTGTGAGGGCAAAGTTGTGTGGGCGGCAAGTCGGCGATGGTGATGGTGACCAAGGCACTGTCGCGCTCTGACAGGGATCAGAACTCAAACTTCGCCATGACAGATCCTCGCTCATCACCTGCACCGACTCACACGTTCTGGCTCAGCGTCATTCACAGTGGCACACTCCTCCCACTACACCTTCGTCACCCGGCAACAGCAACAGCCACCATGCCCTCCTCTACGTGGGGCAATGCTCCAGCTGATTGATCCCTGGTATTCTCTCCAATTCCTGGAAGACCGACGCCAATCTCCCTTCCAGGTATGCCTTCGACATAGCAACAACCACTGTCACCATATGCACCTCCACTTGGGCCAGTGCCCTAGCTGATCTTGTCGACAAGGCCTGATCCGACAACAGCATAGTCATCATGGCCACCTCTGCGTGGAACAGTGCTCCAGCTGACACGTGAGGTTGTGCACCTTCGCCCATCACGCGCACGTCGCTGGGATACCCGCGGATGCCGTCGACAACTCCTGGAAGGCCACAATCGACACCGGTGCGGGCGGCGATGCTGGTGGTTGGCAGGCCGATGCTGCCCTCCATGCTGGTCTCAGCTGTGACTATGGTGACTGCGCCCATTTCGTCTTCTTCGCCACCTTCCCCAAGGACACCCGCGAGATGGCCCACAACTACACAAGGTACCCCAAGGATGCCCACCACGCCGATTTCATGTTCTCCGCCACTTTCCCCAAGGCCCTTGCGAGACGACGGCGTGGAACTGCATGGCTCAAGAACATGTTCGCTTGCGTGCCGGCCATTCTGACCACGCCCATCTCACGTTCTCCGCCTCCGCCACCTCCGTATGGGCACTCGCGACATGGCGCGCGCAACTACACGAGCCAAGGGTGCCCCTAACGCCTATTTCATGCCCTCCAACACCTTTCTCAAAGACGATTGTCAGATGATGGCGCTCAACGACTTGTCCCAACGATGCCGACCACCCCGATCTCACGTTCTCTCCCACCTTCCTCAATGGCGCACGCGAGATGGCAGGAACCCGCATGGCCCAAGAGTATGTTCCCTTGCGTGTCCGCCGTGCTGGTCAGGCCCACAAGAACATCAAGCAATCAGGAAATCCTCTGCGTTGAGTTGGGCGGGATGTTCTCTGCCACTTTCCTCAATGGCACTCGTGAGATGGCGTGGAACTCCATGGATTAGGAATATGTTCGCGTGCGTGTCTGCTGTGCTGGTCAAGCCCACAAGAACATAAGCAAGCAGGAAATCCTCTACGTTGAGCAGGATGTTCTCCGCTACTTTCCTCAGTGGCACTCGTGAGATGGGGCGGAACTACATGGCTCAGGGTTATGTTGGCGTGCGTGTCTGCTGTAATGGTCAGGCTCATGCCAATATCAAGCAGGATGCCAACCGCCGGGCTGTCTGAGACTACGCTCATTTTCTGCAGCTCCAAGCCAGCAGTGGGGTCCACCGGACTGGCGAGGCTCACAACAACACGTAGCATGAAATCACCGAGTTGATGTTTGCTTCCAAGCCGGAGCGCGCCCTCATTTCCTGCAACTCGAAGTCGGCCGGCGATCGTCCTAAGGATCACCTTTACGAAAAGCACCCTGTCAGCTCAGCAAACGGGTCGCACATGCTGGTCGCCCGTGCTGTTCAGGCTTACAACAATATCAGTGAAGAAATCATCAACATTGAGCAGGATACCGAGCGCCCGGCCGTCTGCGACCTGCTCTTTACCTCCAGGCCAGAGCACACCTCACTTTTTGCAACTCCAAGTCAGCCTGCGATCTCCTTAACGACCACCTTTACAGCAAGCAGAACAACAAGTAGACTGGACACCGTGTCAAGACATCAGTGGGGCTGGTCACGTTGGCCAGACTCACAAGACCACCCGGCAGGAGATTGTCTACGTGAGCAATATGCCAAGGGCTTGGGACAGCGGCCAAATGGAGAGGAGACCCTGCTGTCAGTTGTGGCGATGATGGAGGAACAGCCTCCTAGTTTTCACAGCAGCGATGCCCTGTAGTAATACCAGACGCTTTCATTCATGCTGTTTGAAGGCTACCGTTCCATCGTTGCCCTCTCGTGTCTCACAACCGAAGAGCAAGTCGTGCAGATCACCGAGTATCTGACCTTCTCCCCGCTGAGGCCATGGTTCGCTGTTGGTCATTCTGAAGACACGACATTGTGTTTGACAATCAGACGGCATTCCGCTCAACCAAGTGATCACTATTCCTGCGTGCACGGGATGGGCAGCCAGCGTCGGTATCTGTTGCTGCTGACTCCGAATCGTGACTACTCGGCGGTCCAGGCCGATGAAGTACGGCTCACGAGTGTGTCTGTGGACCATCGCAATGCATCACCTCGTCTTGCCGAAGTGATGTTGGGGCATATCAAACAACTCTCGCAGATCGACCTCGCTGGGATGCCAACCCCAGCTGTGAAAAGCCGCGCCTTCTCACCATGGTTTTGAAGAAGAAGGCGCGGCTGATCTGTTCATCAGCGATCAACATGCGCGACTTTGACGTTGAATCACCATTGTCACTTTCGCACGGCTCTCGTTACAAATCCCACGCGAACATCACCTCGCAAAACCACCACGGCCAATCGTCGATCGCTGCTGCGCGACCAGCATACAGTGTCCGGAGGCGCGCCCGGCGAACAAGTTCCGACTCCAACAGCTGCATACCATACGAACTTCGGCGCCGATCGATCCTCCACCATGGAAAAGCCTTCTGCCTTACAAGAACACCCTACAATCCTGCCACACACGACAGAGACTACCAACGCCATCTGCTCGTCTCCGTCAGCCTGCGCCGAGCGAATGTTCCTCGCGCTGTACACACTGGACATTTTGTCTATGGCACTCGATTCAGCGGCAGACCAATGTCCAAAGCATGTCTTCAGTGGTCCACTGGAGGAAAAGCTCGAGCGAGGTGTGCATGATTTGCAGCTTTGCTTGGCGAACATGAGGGCTGAGTTGGAGGTCATGGAGGCTGCGGCACAAAGTGGAATGGTTTGAGCAGAGCCAAGCAAGGCACAGGTCATCAGTCACAAACGGGGTTTCGAGGAGAGCCGTCGACCAAAGAGATATTCAGAAGGAAGCGTTGGGTGCTGGTTTGGGGATTGGTGTCGATTGATTGAGCTGAGGCGATGGATGAATGCATGCATCAAGTGGACGGCCATGTGACGGACAGCATTTGCATAGAATTGCAACAATAAAAAGCATGTGTTTTTTCTCAAATTGGCTATTATCTATGATCTTCCTTGACATTGATCGTCTGCAAATCTTATGATCAGCCTCTCTCTACAGACATTTGACGTGCCTCCCTCTTCCTCTTGAAAACTGATATTCTCTTTCCCAAAGATAAAATGTCTGCACTCACTCGCTGCCGACATTTGACGTGCCTACCTCTCCGTCTTTCTTCTTCCTAAAAATAAAATGTCTGCACTCACCACGGCGTGAAGTTCTTCAGTCTTCTACAGGCAAAAACTCATTTCAAGGTAGAAGTTCAAGGAAGTGTAGCAGAAATGTGCCCCCAAGTATTGAATTGTAAAGTTATTTATTCGTGTAGCTCACAGCCTGTTGATGCTATAGATATTGTTGCTCCAGCCTGCAGGTATAAACTGCTAGGTCAAGTAAGCGCTTTCCTGGCAGACTCTTGCGAGGGCTTTCTTGACTTTTGGAACGCCTGCTCCTCGTTAGGACACTCACTGGCAAGACTATCACCCTTGAGCGGCCGCACTCTGTCCGACTACAACATCCAGGACCAGCAGCGCTTGATCTTTGCCGGCAAGCAACTCGAGGATAGCCGCACTCTGTCCGACGACAACATCCAGAAGGAATCCCACTTCGCTCGCTCGCTCGCTCGCCCGCCTGCGTGGTGGTATACAGATTTTCGTCAAGCAAGTTCATTCGGCGGGCAATTCTTTTTTTTTCAAAAAAAAAAACGGAAATGCGCGGTCGAACTGTCACCGACGCCGACATAACGGCAAGAGATGTCCGTCTCTGGGTAGATGGCCAAAGTTTTGATAGATGCTGGCGTGAGATGGTGATTCGGTCTCAAATGGCCGCGAAGACGAGCTTATGGGTGTATAATTGCTGGGAGTATCTTTACCGACAAGATCCAGTCCGAGCGCAGCAGCATTTGGATAGGTCGGACAACCGGATAGCGTTGAACGCTGTCATCGCGTCTGGCAACAATGTATGAAAGAGTCATGAATCATTACAAGAGAGTACCTCCATGTTTGAGACATGTGCTAATCATTGCCGTCTGCTTTTAGTACAATCGCAATCTGGCCGGTCTGCGGACGGCGATTGAAGCGTTTTGGCCGAGCTGGAACTGGGAGATACCCCAAGCAAGCGGTAGAAATACCGCAGCTTTGGTAGGACGCACCCCAAGGGTGTACAGTGAGCGGCTCCTGAAGGAGCTTAAACGTTTGGCCGAGAAAGTTGGAGAGGCTGGCTGCGCCGATGCAGTCCAAATGTTGGGCAACCAAGTCGGAGTCCGCTTGAGGACTACCACCTCGAAGATGCACGAGCTGCAGCCCCGTGATGTTGAAGCCGTGCTGGCTAGAATCGCCGCACGCACGCCTCCTCTGCCCGCTCCGGCTCCGACTCCGACTCCGACCATAGCTCCCGTCGCCTCCTCTGCTTTCATCTCAGATCCTTTGGATCCAGGGGCTGAGAAATCGCCCGAAATTGAACAAGGCCGTGCTGCCCGCACCCCAAGTTTGCGGGACGAATCCTCTAGGGCCGGCGCCGATGAAGAAGAAGGCGGAGGAGGAGGAGGAGAGGAAGAAGGAGACGACGACGACGACGATGATGAGAATGACGATGAGAATGACGATGACGATGAAGATAAAGAAGAAGGGAAAGGAAAAGGAAAAGGAAAGGAAGAAGAAGAAGAACAAGAAGAAGAACAAGGAGAAGAACAAGGAGAAGAAGAACAAGGAGAAGAAGAAGGACAAGAAGAAGGGCAAGGACAGGGAGAAGAAGGAGAAGCAGGAGGAGGAGGAGGAGAAGAGCCGCCGCCAAAGAAACGGAGAACGCACCCGGCTTCCTTGCGGGCGAAGTTCGAGCGGCTGAAGGAGGAGGCCGCCAAGGCCGATCGCAAAGTCCTCCGAGAGGCAAAAAAGTCGGGCGATGCCGCTCGTATCCGGCGAGCCGAGAGAGATCTTGGCCAGACTCTGGCGTTGGCGCCGCCTCAGCACTGGCAGTAGTCTGCCGTCGACTATGGTTTGGGGTAAACCAGAAAACCCACGAATATGCTCGCACCTTGTCGTGGTGTGAGGGCTTAGTACTCGTTTTGCATTCTGAAGCATACCTTGTACGTTAGATTCTTGGTGTGGTTGTTGTTCAAAGTCGCAAATCTGCGGTAGAGAATTATTCTATACCGCACTTTTTTTCCACAACGTGAGGTTCTGTACCGTATTCTTTTTCCATAACGTCAGCTTCCGTACCGCATCTTCGTGAGACGAGCAGATCGGTATGTTTGTTGTTCAAAGTCGCAAATTTGCGGTACAGAATCATTCTGTACCGCATTATTTTTCTATGACGTAAACTTCTGTACCGCACTTTTGTATAGCGTCGATCCCTCAACAGTACCTTCTCGAATTCCCATCTACGACCTCTGCTTTGCGACGATGAATCCTCAGAGTCTCTGATCTGGCGCGCCTCCATGCGGACCGCCTGGGCCAGCGGCAACAGCAGGAGTCCCATGACCACGATCTGAAGCGCAGCGAGACGATGCCCAACGACGACGCGCCGAGGGCGTGTTCACTTTCGAAGAGATGAGAGAAGCTGATCCTACCGACCGAGTAGACTTCGCCCTGCTAGACGGGCGCATTCCCAGCTTCGATCAGGTTACCGCTACGTTCGACCCATCCACGCCCGAGTACAATGTCCCACTGATGTACCTACATTTGGCTCGGCGTCACAAGTATCTGCGCGAGGTTCTGAACGACAAGAAGCAAACAGACACCCCGGGTCTGTTACATGGATAAAGCATTGCAGGTCGCCCAGGCTACGGCTCAATTCTAGAATCAGAATGAACTGGCTGCCAAGCATGAAGTAGACTACTAGAAGAAGGAAGCTAAACTTAGTAAGGAGATAGATTTTAGCTAGAATTAATACCTTATAAAACAACGCTATAAAGGAGTAGATGGCCTATAACTAGTCTCGTAGATATAGCGACTATCTAGGCAAGATACTAGATTTCTTAAACCTATTCGAGGCTTTTCTTAGAAGTTGCAAATATTATACTCTATACTAAATACTACTACCGCCGCCGCTACTAGGAAATAGTTTATTTAGACTATCGCTCCCTAAGTTACTAAGAACTTATCGTCGTTAATAGCGTAGCGATAGCGTAGACTTATCGAAGAAGCTTCTAGACCCGCTATTTTCTTAATAGGGATAAGACTAATTATAATCGATAGTTACCTAAGAGAAATATTTAGGTCCCTACTAATTAATAGACTCTAGAAACAGATATAATTTGCTATAGATTTACTTAACTAGAGGAAGATACTAAGAATTTAATCTCTCCGTAGTCGTAGTTTAAGCTTTAGGCCGGCCTCCGTAATAAGGAAGCGCTTACTATTTATTTACAGAATACCTAACTTAGCCTCGGAAACTTAAACAGTCCTATAGCGACCCTATTAAGGCTACTTCTTCCTATCGTAAGGCTAATAACTTTAGATAAAAGAGTAAGATATTCGCTTATAATAAGTTCGAATTTATATAGCTTAAATATACTAGATCTATCCTAATAAATGCCTTAAGGGATAGGGTATCTAGCGCTTTCTTAACGATAGAACTAACCTATAGACTTCGATAAGTTATATACCTATAAGCTATAGATAATAATACTCGTATTCTTACTAAGATAATCCGAAATAGGCGCCTAATAGCCTTAAGCTCCTACTAGACGGCTACTTCGAAAAGGTAGCCGGACGGCGCGAGTACGTAGTATAAACGATATAGTACTATTACTATTACTAATAGTAGTAGGTATAGTAAAGAAGAAGCTCTTTAAAGTACGACGTAGTATTAATATTCCTATTAATAGTAGTAGATATATTTAAGTTAAAGGAGAAGCTCTTTCGAGTATAATATAGTATCGATATTACTATAAATAGTAGTAGATATATTAAAGGAGAATCTCGATAGAGTATACGGTATACTATCGATATTATTATTAATTCTAGTAGATAGGCTTATTAGAGTAGACGGCGTAGCGTTAGTCGAGTAGGTTAGTAGATATAGTATCTATATAAAGTATACGTAGAGATTCGTAGTCTTACTTAATCTCCTATTCCTTTAGTTAGATTAATATCGCGGGCGGGCTACGTATTTATTACGGATCTAATTGGTTAGAGTCCTTATATAATCTTAGAGCGACGCTAAGACTAGTAGGCTAAGCTGTCGCTCTATCTTACTAGGAGCGATAGGAGCGGTCGAGAGCGACAGCGTCGCTTACGTCGCTTACGACTATAGATAAGATGTCTCCTTTGTATTTAGGAACGCCGGAATACCCTTATAGCTCGAGGCGTTCAACTTATATTACCTACTTACTAATTGGAATTACCTTTGTACTAATTATTCTATCTCTGCCTCCCGCTTGTATTAGCCTCTCTAAAGAAGCCTCGGCTTATACGTAATAAGAAGTCACCTAACGATCTATCGCGAGTAACCGTAACACTTTAAACGCCCTTAGGATAAGTGCCTTATTATAAGTCGGAAGGGGAACTCCCGCCCCTAGCGAGATAGGCAGTACTCGACGTACTACCTCTAGTACTAGCAATACACTCGGAACCTATACCGGAAACGATTCTCTTAAGATCGGAAAGCTAGACTTTTATTACGGCGACTAAGACAAGTTCGATACCTAGGTTAGCTAGATAGATATGTATTTTATGTTTAACTAGGTTTAAGATAACTTAAAGCTAGTCTTCGCAACGACGTTTATACGAGGTAGGGCTTAGTATTAGGTTAAACTATTTCTTAGGACCTATCTAGATAGTAACGGGACCGACAATTCGGATAGAATCTTCGCAAGCTACGAAAATCTTAAGCGTACGATAAAGAAGGTCTTTAGATCTTCTAACGAAGTTACTACCGCAGTTAGGGTTATCTAATATTTAACTTAGAAGGGGTTATATACCGATTACGCCGCTAAATTTTAGGAATACGCCTAACTTACGGATTAGGACGACGAAGCTCTTATAATAATATATCGGCGAGGTCTTAAGGATAATGTTAAAGACGAGCTTATACGCGACGGTAGAAAAATGGATAATATAGGAACATTAGTTAAGGCTACGATCGATCTCGACGATAGGCTCTACGAACGAGCTTTAGAACGACGTTACGATTCTAAGACTTCTAGAAAAGCTAGTTATACTCCTAGATACGATAATAGACGAAACTATAGTACCTACGATAAACTAAAAGGGAACAACTACTACGGTACGCAACTAATAGAGCTAGACGCTACCTAGAAGGGTCGAGCAATTAAAGGAAGAAAAGGTAAGAGTTCGCCTAAGAAAGCAGGAAGACTAACTTACTATACGTATAGCAAGGAAGGCTATATAGCACGGAACTGCCGCGGCAAGAATATAGTGCGACGCGAACAGTTTAATATAATACAACGAAAGGACTCGGGCAGAGAAGGCTACCGAATAGTAGTAGAGCTATACTCTATTAATAACGCGCCGAGGACCTACGTAGAGGTCGTAAAGAAAGAGCTACGACAAATCTATATAATAGTACGACGATAAGAACCCGTATATAGAACCCTTTACTAGAGATTCTGTTACGACGACTAATACTAAATTTATTATTCTACTAAAGTAGAAGTAGGATTTTTCCCTTAGATTAGGCGACTCGTACGAGAAGATGCGAAATCCTAGTTAGAAGAAGAAACGATTAATAAATCTTGCTTAGATACCGACGATAAAGAAAACCGAGATCCGGAAGCTTTATTCCCTCCCGGGGAGGAGTTAGGAGCTATCCTAGAAGTACCGGAGTCCCCTTAGTAAGAGGAGGAACAGTAAGAAGATTTAGAAGGAAGTCTAGATACCGAGGAAGAAACTACGAATAAAGAAAGTAAAGACGAATTCGGGATTAACGACGATACGATCCTTATATTTATAATAGATGCACCTATAGTAGCGCGAACAATCGCCTTATATCTAGTACGCAAATACGAGGAAATGTTTCTAAAGGTTAACGGACAACGGAGGGTCGATCCTATCTAATTTGATTATTTCTAGATAAGCTTACGGGCAAAATTCTAGAATTACCCCCGGATACCTATAGACTATACGTACTATAACTTCATTACGGAGCGAGTACCGATAGGAAGCATAATTACGCCCTACGGATACGTCCTACCCGACGAAAGGACGATTATTACTTAAGATATACGTTAGACGGTCTAGCGATTAAATTAGCAATACCGAAAGGCTATAGTAGCGTAGGGACAAGATGTATATAACGATACCCTCGAGGAAAAATTATATACTAAAGAAGCACAAACGGTAGGACTACGGATCCGTAACTAGTTAGAACAACGTTAGGCTACTAATTAGTCGGGAAACGGACTAACTCTCTAGATTAGAGCGTTCTAAGAGAGTTCCTTAATACCGAAAGCGCTCAAGCATTAATAGTAGTCTTCCGTATAAAAGTTATCGTTAACGGGCACCCGACGAGTGCATTAATAGATTCCGGAGCGAGCGGGAACTTTGCCTCCGAATTATTCGTTAAAAGCCGAGGGATCGCAACCCGAAGCAGAAGAGAAGGAGCGTATAAACTTATAGCAGTAGATAGGTTACCGCTACCTAGTATAGAACGAGAAACGATACCGTTACTACTAGCTATCTAATAGCACTACGAGGAGATTGTCTTAGATATTACTAATATAGCTAGTTATAACATTGTATTAGGCATACCTTAGTTAAGAAAGTATAACCCGGTCGTAGACTAGAGAAAAGGAGTACTTACATTTAAGGAATGCGACTATATAATCGGCATTCAACCTATATAGCGGTAGCGTTCGTAGGCAGATAAGATTAATAAACGTAGGGCGATTCGTAAGACGTTTACGTCGATAGGAATTACGGAGAACCGTATTTAACCCGGATCGACACTACCGTTAGGTTAGGAGGGTTATAACAATAATTACGGGAAGGATAGAAGTTATACACTATCGAAGAATGAAACTAGAATCTCGGACCTAGACATTCCTAAAGAGTATAGTAAGTAGAAGCGACTCTTTAAAGAGGAGAGAGGCAAGGCAGGCTTACCTAAATACCAAGTATAGGATTATAAAATACACTTACAGGTCTAGGAAAGAGCCTCTATAGGGACCCTTATACGCA